TTTCATCAATTTAACAACCCCGATAAAAACCTGTAGGAAATAAAATCCATCTTCACAGAGGAGTTCAACTCCCAAAGAGCCCCTTTTAAACCTGTCACGTTTGTGTCGTCCGGTGAGACAGTAAAAATAAGGAGATATATAGCACTAATAAATAACTCCACCATGGTGCCAAGCCCCAAGTTAAGGTTTACAACTGGCTGTAAAAACAAAGCAAAAGGAAGGGTAGGAATCTGTTTAGTGAGGTATAAATGGCCAACGGCGTGCCATTTGGTACATTGCTGTTTTTGGACAAAATGCTGGGAACGCAAAAATGAACACAAAGAGAATTATCCTAAAGGAGGAAGAGAGTTCAAAGCTACAAATACACTAAGTTCAAAACCTCCATAATAACCTTTAAATGCTCTTCACTGAATACTGCAAGGAAATGTAAAGTGTTCTTTTCTTTATTATTGTTTTCATGCAAAAATAAAAGGTAACATTTAACAAAAAACAAACGATATAACTTATCCTTCGAAAACACTGAAGGAATGATCGTGTTTACCTGAAATATTTCTGCTGTGTAATTACAAAAGTTGAATCCATATATCCATCTTAAGTGCTTTGGCTACAACAAATCCTGTCAAAAAGCTAATATGAAAAACTGTGTTCATCTCAGAAAGCAAATATTACAAAATGTTTTATTTAACATATTTTTTTAGAGTAAGACAATGACATTTATCCAGGACCCTAAATACAACATTGCCTCTTTCTTTGTGATCTTAATGCCAATCAATAGGCAACCCCTTACTATTTATTAGTTTAAAACATTTCTACCAACCCACATGGCCTTTTGAGCATTATTAAGCATCCAAACAGTCGGTCTTATTTAGTGTGACAAATAAATTTGAGGAAAATCTAATGCCAGCCTCCAGAGCAAGGGTGTCCAAAGTGGGGTCAGGGGAACATCTGTCCCTTTTTCATGAGCTTTTTCTTTAATTTACAAGAAAATACAAAAAATCAAGCTGAATCAAAATGCAAGATTAAATATTGCTGCTATAAAAAAACATATTTTTCCTTGGCTCCAAATCATGCATGTATATATAGAGATTTATTTATTTGTCCTGTTTATCGTATATAAGTCATAACCTTAGATACTGGGTTATTTGTTAAAATCTTAATGCAATAGAAAAATTACATTTCTATTCTTTGATCGTGAAAACAGGTTTAGGTCTGACTACCCCTCTTGATTTGGTTGCAAAAAATTTTATTTTTTTCAATCCCATTTTTTGCTACCATCATCTGACTTTTGTGAAGGTCGTGAAACGATCTTTCCTCTGATGTTTTCCGCCTCTACGTAAGGTAATGTCACTGCATTCCCACAACAAAATGCAGAACCACAAAGGTTTCAGAACAATCTAAGCCAGTTCTTACCCTAGAGAAAAAACTAATAATATTAGAACTTATAGTTGTTAGCCCTAAAATCCCCATCTTTGGAACCAGTACATTGTTTAACAATAACTAGATTTTTTTTAAATCAGCTCAGAAAATAATGTGTGGAATTTATCAAATTCATTATCTTAGCTGTTGTGGTCGTTTGCAATATTTTTTCTTCTTTTTTTATCTTTATCTTACCTCTGACTTATTGATATCGGTAGTAAGTTTAACTAAATATGAATCAAAATATACAGTATACTGTAATCCTTTTGGTATTGTTTTTTCAAAGGCTCAACTATACAGAACTGTGTAGTTGAGTCTACATTTGTTTAGATACATGTTGATAGAGATTTTTTGTAAGGAGGACATAATTTTATTTCTTTTACAGACACATTTGTAAAAGATTGTAAACTTGATCACATGACTGATTTATTTTTATCAGCATGGTTTTAAAAAAAATTCTGAAAACTATTGTTCACTTTTTGGGTCAGAATTATTTTCACAGTTTATGGGGAGAGGAGGTATTCATGATCAGCAGAATTAACTTAAGTCTACAAGTTGTCAATTTAAAAAAACAGCCTTTTATGTTGTGTTGTTAGTCTGGTAATGTCTCCATGTTGATGTCTCATACCCTCAGATAACCATCAGTGAAATTTAAATTACATTATATTATAATCCAAGATAAATTGATCAGCATTCAGGGATTCAAAAACTCATAATAGACTGGGCAGAAAGGACTGAATTTATAGAGATGACTGAACTTGTTGGGGCACATAAAAAAATGGGATTCCTGCCAAATGGAAAGAGGAGAGGGAACGAAGAGGAGCTGAGGGAGGATGAAGATGAGGAAAGAAAAAAGGGGACGGGGAAACACTGAGCTGGGAGGGAGGTCCATCAGCAGCGGCAGGCTGCAGGAATGTTTCACATGCCTGTCCTCTGTATGACCTCGCCTCCCTGTAGTGTGGGAGATACTGGGAGTAATTAGCCTCTTTTAACATTGGAGCTGGGCCGCCTTTCCGCCTCAATGGGGTTAGCAGTGGCATTGAAGGAGATCAAGTGTATAATTTCAAACAAAGTATCTTCAGCTTTCATTTTGGCCACTACAAGCAATGCATATGCAGATTCTTCTTGTGATTGTTTTTGTGTTAGTAGTTTTCAGTCATTTCCAGTTGAAAAATAAAGTGAAATTACTTCAATTAATTGAAAGCAGAAGCGATTTCCTTCCCCCACCCACAGAGCCATCTTGCTGCTGACCTACTTTATCTTTTGTTAGATTTAATTATGAACTCTCAGACTGAAAATATTTCTTACTTAAAGTCAAGGATTAAGGATCAAAACAGACATAAATTAAGAAAAACAGGGTATAAACTGTATTGATTTTTTGTAAAAAGGCCACGTGGTTCTAATCAAGAAATGTCAATACAGGAACACAAGAGTTACCTGCTTTACCTCAGTGCCTCCCGTTAAAAAAGAAATGTCTCCTCTTTAAACTTAAAATCTAAATTCAAGACCCCCATACACTCTGAGGTATAAGTATGAAAGTTGTTAAATGGGGAAGTTATGTCACCTAAAAAATGATGTATAAAGAATAAACCTAACAAAGTACAATCTGTTCATATCAAACAAATTGTTAAATTCCTATTATTTAAGATTTCATTATTTTATTTTTTTACATTTCATGAACCTGCAGTTTTTTTTTATTTAAATGATACTTGCAGCATTTAAATCAATTTTAATAATACTTTCACTGAGAAAAATCTGATCAAATCTGAGCTTTTAGCCAGATTTACTGCTATCAAATAAAATAAGAGCTTTCAAAACAATTTCAAAATGGATAACTAAAAATGATTACTATGTATGATAACCCGCCTCATCAAATACCATGCCTTTAGGTTGATCTTAGACTTAGCAGCACCTAAACTCTTAGAAACATTAAAATTTTATCTTTGGACATTTTTAAGCTGCATAATTGATAGTAAAGAACTTCAAAAGTTAACTGTATGAAACTTTATATTTAGGAGAGCCTTGAGTTACACTAATTTATTACTGAGTCCTTAAAACACACACAGTGCTTTCTAAGGTACACCCCTGATGGGCTTTACAGTTTAGACTGGCTTATATTTTTCAGCAACCTATATTCATCTTATCTTTTACTCAAGGTAACAGGAGCATTAAAAAACATATACCTGTGCATGAAATGTTTCAGTTTTTAAGAACTCAAGTGCAGGAAAGCAGGGATGTATGTTCCTCCTACTGGAGCATGGAAAAACTGGAAGGACTTCCTCAAAAGCCACACAGCAAATAAGGGTTCTGCCTAAAATATATATAAAAGTCAATCTACAATAACATTGTCATGTTTTTCTTGCTTTAATATTGATGTTAAACCTGTCGTAAGTCCTTTTATATATATATACATATATATATATATATAGTCATTTAATTATGAATCAATATAAATCATTATAATAGGGTGAATAATTTGAAATGTTAGGCGTGTTTTGGAAATAGTGCAGCACAATTCTAGTTATGATAGCAGTTTATGGATTTATTTTAATTTATTTTTTAGCTTATTTAGCGTACATTTAGCTTAACAGATGACTAAAGAATACAAAATCTGTAGCACTGGGCGTTATAGTAAATCCAGAAAAAGATAAAGTGGGGCTTTAAATACTGGTCAGTTTAAAAACATACCGTACTTGTATTTCATATATGTATCTTAATAAACTTTGTAATTTATTTGTGTTTTTAAAAGAAAAAAAAAACAATAGAATGATCAATTAAAATGCAGTTTCTTTTATTTACTATTTATCTTGTATTTCATTTACAAATAAAATAGAAAGGGAAAAATAAAGATATGTAAGTCTACATATGCACACAAGGATATAAACTATGCAGGAAAAAAAATAAAAAAAGTTAAGAACTTTAGACTATACAACAACACAGGATTTGCTGTAGTATCCTGCTTTCAGTAATAACAATTATAAAACTTTTTTCATTTTGTATATTAGGTTCATCACCTTCTATTCTATTCTCAGAAGCTGTAACCTGAATAAAGCACAGTATAGCCCACAACGAGATTGAACGTGTTTCACTTTAAATAAAAAAAAAAAATAGTGAAGAACTGGAGTTAATGGTATCTTAGATTCATCCTTTCTAAAGCATCTATGTTTATTTACAAAGTTATCCAATTAACCTCCTTTTGGCTCAGATATTTGTTTGTATTATTTCCTCGAGTCAATTTTCCAAGATTTTTCATACATTTTTGAAAAAAAATTGTGGCTCCTCCTAAATTAGAACCTGGCTTCTCTAATTCCAAGCTCATTCTGAGATCCAACATATAGCAGCAGCTTTATTGTTAATGCAGTTTGTAATGTAGGCGTTAGATTTCCCTGGTTAGTTGTTGGTGTTGTCTGATATTTTAAAGTGTAAAACGCTTAAAAAATGACAATTTAAAAAAAAAATGTTTGATGTAAATGGAGGAATCTAATATTTTTATCTCACACGACTGGTGACTGGAGGTTTGTTACTGGTTTTCAGAGCTGGTGATGATGTCACAGTGAAGCTGGGTCATATGAAGGGCAGCAGTGGAGGAGGTTCACGGAGAGTTCAGCCGCATACATTAGGTAATACCACCGCACGCCGTGACATAACTAGTGCGGAGCATGTGAAGTTTAGGCATTTATCAATGAAAAAGTGAAGATAAGAACAAATCGTTCAGTAAACTTTGTTATGCAAAACAACCCGCAGACCTGGATGCGTGGAAGCGCGCGGACTTCATTGCGCACGCGGCGCGCCAACAGTTTGTGAGCTGCGGTGGAAGAAATTAAAGGTCTGTTCCGGCGCGCGCACGCCCCTCATGGTGTGATGATCCTGCTGCCTGGTCTGCTGTTAAACAACCGGTTGTAAACTATAAACCTGGCAAAAGCGGACTGAAAGTGGTTATTCTCAGGAGGAACTCCTTTTTGTTCTTCTTCTATCTTCCATGTGGAGGACATCCTCTCCAGCAGGACTCCTCTGGCCAGGTCATGTTTGACTTCATGGAATTTCAGGTTTTCGCTCCAGGAGAAATCATAGATTTTTACTCGGCTTCCAGTCCTGGCTGCGCGCTGCAGGATCTGGACCAGGACCAGGATTTGGCAGCATTCTTCCCAGAGCTCATTGGGTCGGGCTGGCCGGAGCATCGCTGCTCGCAATGTAGGTGGAAACGCACAAGTGCCTGCATGTGTGAATAACATGGAAAATAACCTCTAATCTGATGCTTAGAAGGCTTTTTGGAATTGTGTTCTATTTTTTTTTTGCAATTTAATCCGTGCTCCCTCTTTGCAGAAGCGTAGGCCTATTATTTTAATAAATTATAGCACTGATGGACTAACTTATTAATATAACTGACGATGAGAATTCGAAATAATGAAGGAAAAGGTTGGATGTGCATTCATTTATTTGTTTGTTTAACTTTTGACCGCTTTCTGAAAACATAATTGGGTAAAAATACACACAAATTGAAATTTTATTTTCTGTCATAGGGGATGATAGCTGGTCCTGTATGTAGAAGGTCCTGTCTATGTGGTTTGGTGTTTCAAGGCCTTTTAAAAACTCCTTCGCTTTATTATTTTTATTTTTTTATTTTATTTATTTTTGCAAAAATAGGTTAACATTGGATGTCTGTGTTATATATATATATATATATGCTTATAAAGTTAGTTATTAAGAGAAAAGGTAAAACGTACAATATAATATGATGCTTTGAAAAAATTAAAATAATGTGCAGATAAAACACAAAGCACATTTTAAAACAATTAGATGACAACAAAAATTGTTTTAAAAAGATCCAAACCACTTTAATAACAAAATAATCATACAACTAACATACTGCAAAAGTGTCTATGTCAATTATAATATTTTAAATTTTAAAGTGAAGGATTTTAAGGTGTGTATTTCATGTTTTTCTTTTTCTTCTTCTTGGCTTTAAAGGGGTGAAAACAAGTTTCATTTAATTTGTGCTTTAAATGTCAGCTTTAAGCTCAAAGAAAGAAAAAGCTTCTCTGATTAAAATCTATTATAATACATGGTGTTAATGTGCACCTAAGCATCTATGAGCGAATGTGATTATGTAATAATATAAACAAGGTAATAAACCTTCCAGTGCCTTATTGCGCAATACAAGTCTTCAGAAGCATTGTGGTTGATTTTTAAAGCTAAACAGGAACCAAAGAGTGGATTTATTTGTTGTCCAGGTTTTTTTTATCTTGTCACTGTGAAGCTTGTCAACAACTCTCTTTATCGGATAAAAGATAGGAGGGAAAAACAGAGCAAAGAGTGAGAATGCAGTGCAGCTCGTGTCCATGTGGTGGTCTGCGTTCTGGATGGGGTTGAGCCGGTCAGTTGGGGGTCACCAGCGGGTTCACGGGACGGTCACTGGCTCAGGAGGTGAGAGGAGAGAAGAGACAGACTGCTTACCAGTGAAGGTGGAAGAGAAGCACCAGTTCAGTACCAGTTCACCATGCGTCAAGAGTAGAAGCATATAGAGGGATCCCATTAGGGAGTGACTTTCAATGTGAGGCACAGTCAGTGTTTTATTTTTATGAGACAGGGAATAAAGGGGTCCTTAAGCTTTATTATTTGGCTTTAAATTTTATTAAGATAAACCCTGCTAAAATAAAGTCAACTTTAAAAAAGCATAAATTCAGTAAACAGAGAAAGAGTTGAAAAAACTTAAACATTTCCATTATTTGCAGATGATTTTAAGATTTCACTCAGAATAAACTTGTTTTCATTTCTGTTTATATCAGATATGTTTTTTTCTTCTTTTTCTTATTATTTATTTCAATAGTGTTGAGTAAAACCTCTCTTTTTCCAGAGAATCATACTCAAAAGATGGTAAAAGTAGATGACAAAAATAAAATTTCTTTGCAATGAAATTAAATCTTTGTATCTGAAATGTAATTTAAACTATTTAGGTTAACAATTTTTCATTATTTCAGTAGAGGGATAATAGGGGGATAATAAAAAAAGGAAATCACAAATACTTTATTATTTGGGATTCCTTTTTAATCCCTGAGTATTTCATTTCATAATTAGTCACATTTTAAAATCAGTTCATATCAGGAGCATTTTTTTAATTCTATAAGATACGAAAATTCTTCAATTCAGTTGGATTCAGTTTATTTATATGGCCCCAATTCAAAATACATGTAATCCCAAGGCTCTTTACAAAGAATTAAACCAGATCATACAGTCAAATTGGTTCAAAGTTCTCTATCTGCGGAAAAGTTTATTTTGTTACAAATTCTTTTTTTTAGATTTCCTTTCTAATCTCATTCTTTTTGGAAACTGATATTTGTTTTATTTATTTTAAAAAGCCAGTCGTCTTACCATAGAAGATGTAATTAGTTTTTCTCAAAGAGCCCTTTCACTTTAAGTAAGATGTCTCATTTAATTACCAATAAGGTAAAGTGTTTGTCTGAGTAAACTTAGAGAAAAAACATTCTTCCCATGTGGTGAAATTTGATTCTTTAAAAAACGAACAAGCAGAAATATTGTATAGGTTTCTGTTTAATACATTATAAAAAAAAAAAAGGTTATGTTAATTTAGAGTTGTAAATATGTTTTGCCAGCATAAATGAAGCTACCGCATGTCCTAAAGTTCATGCAGCAGCACCTAACCCAACCAGAGGGGGTGTGATTGTTTACCCCCCTCCCTGATCAAATCACTAACCCATGCTCTCTGTGCCTTCGTCCTCTTCCTCATCAGTCAGCTCGGCTCGTGGCATCTTCCTGCATTGTTTGGTGTTGGAGAAACCATTGGCCTTATGGGGGTTCCCTCATTTAACCCGCTGTTTGTAGGTTCAGCCAGAGGTTCAGGGGGATGGAGATGAGCAATTTTTCTCATTTTGTCCTCCTTTTCAGAAGAAAAAAAGCTTTTCTTGGTTTTCTGGTGGGGAACACAGCAGTGAAGGTGATCAGACGCCCACTGGATAGGTCAAACCAAGTGAGACCCAAACTCTGGTAATCCCATTAGAAAATCAGTCTATTTATTGGAGGGTTGTGGATCTGAGTAATGCAGCAGAAGAAAGGTCCAGATGATACACTCAAAGTATTTTTCAGAAGAAGTAAAATGCAACCAGTCTGTGGTTCTTCAAATGAGTGATCTATCATAATAGAACGCTCACTCGGCTGGATTTTCTAAGTCAGACTTTGTAGTTTTATCTTTCTTTGTGTTTCAGATAAGCAGCCCCACATCTAACGTGTTTATGCTGGGCTGTTTGTGAGCATTAAGGGTGGCAGGAATGTCCTCCTCTGTTTCTGCTTCAGGACAAGAGATAAAGGCTGATAAGATTAGTGTAGATTTACATAAGATTTTTGTCATGATAGGTAAATAAAACCTCCCACATCAAAAAATGCCAAACTGGAATGTGTCTTTTCAATAAAAGCCAAAAGCAGGAGAAATGTTTACTTCACAGAGCCTCATTCAGCAGAAATAACAGTCATAACTTCACTTTTTCTTTTTTCTTTTTGGCTCAGCTCTTCTTTTCCTCTTTACATTTTATTTTATATAACCTCTCTTAAGGTCTGATAATCAACTTGACGGCATTTTATTTAGATTGAGGTTGCCAATTTTTTTTAACAGATCTGTTGCATGTGGTTTGTTCCAAACATGGCAGTCTTTCCGAGCATTGCATGGTCTAATTCTTAGTTCAGTTTTTGTGCTTGTGAATCAGTCTGGTTGTAGAAATATGGACACAAAGTAGCTCCTATAAGCATCCCCTGACTGATGAAAGAGCTAATCCTCTAAAGTCACTGCAGAGCACTTTTACGAAGTTATCATAATTCCTGATTTCAGGAAACTTTAAAATATTAACACTAACAGATGGTCTAGTAGTTAAAGCTATGATGGGGGATTGCCTGGTTGATGGTTTATTAATATTTGTGGAAGAATATATATTTTTTTGCCTTTTATAAAAAAAAAAGCAAAAACTAAAACTGATATTATACATTACAGACTTTGTTCAGCTGAGATTCTAGTTATCTTTTTAATGTCCTTTCTCTCCACACCAAAACAGAGTCTGTATGTACTTCATGTACTTCAATCTCAGCAGATACCTTTGTAAAGTAAACCCCAAAGGGGCTGGTAACCTTTGGTCTAAAAAACTGTCTCTAGTTCTAACTAAATATCCATGTGGGAATAAAACAGCCCTGAATGTTCACTCTTATGTTTGTCCTCTTGTATAGCACTCCATGCTACTGTGGCTCAGCTGGCAACTATCAAAGTTATTGGTTCGATTTCAGCTCTCTCCTGTCTCATTTCGTTGTGCTTTGGGCAGGACACTTCACCCAAACTACTAATTAGGGCTGAAATAATAATTGTGATTAATCGATTATTTAAATAATCGTCAAATTATTTATTAATCGTTAACTAGAGCCTGGAGACTCTAAAACATGCCTTTAGCTGACAGAGCGTCCCACTTACAGCAGTAATTATACCAAGATTGTAAAAAAATACATACAATTTTTGCATTTAAAATAGATTTTTTTTCTGACCGTATGCTCTATCCGGAAGTCCTCAAGAGGAAAAGTCTGAGTTTCACCTGGTTTAATTTCATAAAGTCTTCTTTAACAAATCTTTGGCTATCCCTCTCTTTGACATGCCTGATTGTCAGTGTTTACATCTTGTGTTATTTTTGCGTTTGTAGCAGTGGAAAGCCAGAGCTCAACCTCCAGCTCTAGCTTGGACGACCTATTTGCCAGCCCACCCTCCCCACCTCCACCTCCGCGCACATACAAGCCCTGTTTTGTGTGTCAGGATAAGTCCTCGGGCTACCACTATGGAGTCAGCGCCTGTGAGGGCTGCAAGGTAAAGACACCAGACCATTCTGATAAAGGCTGTGATTTATTTCAAATAAGCAGTCATCAAAGTCTTCTCTGAAAGTTAATTATATAAATGAATTACTGATTCCTGTACTTATGTTGAAAGGTCCCTCTTAAGCATAATATATTTCCAGTGGATTTGTTTAGAGCCTGCTCAGTCCTGTTAAAAGGCCTGGTCTATGTGATATTTCAATGTTAAAAACAAGAAAAATTATTTAAAGGGGTCATAGAATGCAAAACTGAGTTTACATTTTCATAGATGAAAAACGAAAATTCAGGGGGTGAAATAGATATACAGAAAAGTTCAAACCCCATCGACACCTCGTTTCTCTGCAAATCTCACAATTCTAAACTTCCACCATAAAACGGGCGAATTCAAACGAACCACCGAATTGACGTCAATTCGGGGATGTTGCCTTATTTGGTTCTGGCTTGTACTTTTGTCACGCCCTGAATTTGACAAACAGACCAGCCCACAGGTTCACTGGCCCAAGAACATGAATGTTTAACCTACAGTTGGGTTTACTTCTACAAGAATTACAAAGCAGGCAGTTTCACTATTGAAAATGAGCCAGAACCACAGGCATAAATGAAGTGTTCCAGGTTGCATGGAGAAAGGGGAACATTTTCACAGTCTTCCCAAGGATCCGAAGACTTGACAGGGATGGATTATTTTTGTGTATCAGAGGATCCCTGCAAAGTTTTGGGTGGCGTGGCTGGGAATGGACCGAGCATTTGAACTGAGCTGTGAGCTCCAGGGCTGGTCCAGGAACCCCAGTGACCTTACCGTGCCCTGAAGCACGGGGCCACTGGTGTCCAGGCTACCGTCACTGGGTCAGTTTTGGTCGCTCCATCCCTAGCCCCGACCAGTCCCGGAGATCACGGCTTGGTTCTGCTGCACTGTAGTCGACCAAAATCCCGGACGATTTTGAAATTCCCCCCAGACATTTTTTTAGGTATGAAAAGTAGGACATGTCTTGGAAAAAGAGGACGTCTGGTTACCCTACCATATCAATAATTTGATGTTTCAGTGAGCGAGTGCTTGTTGCTATGATGCGTCTTTGCTCAGCAGCTTTGCTCGTTGTAAACCAACCAATCAGCGCAAAGCTCATCTAAATATTCATGAGGATACCATAAAAGGAAGAAAACCTTTCGTTTCATTCTATGGCTTTTAACCAGGCTTGCATTAGGGCTCATAGAACAGCAAATATGCCATTTTCCGCCCAACCAGTGTTACACACCCTATTCAGAGACCTTAAGGACCAGCAGCAAATACCCTATAGAATCATTCTATGACCCCTTTAAAACTTATTTCCAACATTTATTTTTTCAGGCATTTTAATAAAAAGAAAGAGAATCTTCATCCATTTAGAGAAACTCAGGGAAAAACATTGACCTTACTAAGGACAAAAAATCTGGCAGCGAATGATGAAACAACAGGAAGAAGGTTAAAAAGGCTGCTAAGAGGGCCTACAGAACCTTTGAACAACTATGAACAACTACGTCTTGCCATTTTTTTTCAAAACCCCTTTGAAGTCCCCTAAGGACATGAGGTAATATTTGTTTGTACTGATGAAACCAAGATTTAATTATTATCTGTACAAATCCAAAAGCAAACTGCACATCACCAAATAAAAGCACATCTGCTGTAAAGCAAGGTGGTGGCGGGAGCATCATGCTTTGAAACTATAACAAAAACCCTGCTGTGTTAATGGTAGAGAGCAGATTTTTTGATCCACTGTAAATAAAATATGTCTGGGGTCTTTCTGAGATGTCCTCTCTGTCTCTGCTGATGTCTCTGCAGGGTTTCTTTCGCCGCAGTGTGCAGAAAAACATGGTCTACACCTGTCATCGTGACAGAAACTGTATCATCAACAAGATCACCAGGAACCGCTGTCAGTACTGCCGCCTGCAGAAGTGCTTTGCTGTGGGAATGTCCAAAGAGTGTGAGTGTTCATTTTAACTCTGATTCCTCAAGAAATTATTAATCTATCTTCATAAAATGCAAAATATCTATGAGAACACAAAGCTATATAAGAAAAATTAAGATATAAAATGCAAGAGCTTGAAGGGCTCTAATGTTTAAGTTGATAACAAGGTATATATGGAATTAATATAAGGGGAATTAGAATAAGCTTTGACCTATCACCAAATATTTACGTCTTACCTTATGAAATGTCTCATGTAATATTCAGCTTTTGTATTTTTTTTTACTGGTTCCAGTATTGTTTTTCCTCTGGGTATTTTGGTTGGGGATGAGGTTGGAGGTGGATCCATGAAGGCTACTACATAACACGTGGATTTGTACAATTTTAAGGATAAGGCAGCTTCAAAAAGGAAGCTGTTTAAACTATCCGAGGAATCGCCAATGTCCCAGGATCCATGTTGAAATGTGGTTGAACTTACTCCGGATTTGGCATAACTCTAAATGACCAGCTCAGTCCCTGTGCCCCATTTTACACCATGGACTCAAATGAAAATAAAAATGATCCATATCAACAACAAATCTTTAGGCCAGATTTGTTGTTGTTATTGGTGTGCAGTGGTTTTTAGGACAAATAAGGAAAACACAGAATAGCATCTTTACCTTAAAGATTGAGATAAAAGAATATAGAAATGAGACAAATAAATCAAAGAAAATAAAAGTTTCACTTTAATCTGATTTATAATGCTTAATATTTCAAGCTCTGTTGTAAAAGTCACAGAAATCCTAAACCATGCTTAAAATTAATGCCTTTTTTTGTTTGTTTTTTGATCCTCAAATTACTTAAAACAACTTAAATGCCATTAGTTCAGCTTTTCACCAACACTGATTGGTTTTTACTAAATAATTGATTTTAATGGATTTTGAATATTTATGATTGGTATCAAACAGTATCAAATTTAAAAAAAAACTTTCAAAAAAGGGTTTTTAAATCCTGGAATTGTGCAAAACCCCATTAAACATTGATTTTATCAATTAGCAAGTATGATTTTTTCCAGCATTTTTAATTCTCATTACATTGTCACAAGTACAGAGCAATGAAATCCACTCTCTGCATTTAACCCCTACCCTTTCGGATGCAGTGTGCCCGGGGAGCAGTGAGGGGTTAAGGGTCTTGCCAGAGTGGCAGTGGGTTTCAACTCACAACTTCAGGATTCCAAGCCCTATGCCCTAACCACTTGGCCACCACTCCTACATGTGTTTTTTTTAAAGTTGTAATTTTCTTGAAGGCAGAACTCACTCATGTTCTTCAGTCTGTTTCTATGCATCCAGCCAAAGAAGTGGATCCTTTCAGCTTCTATTCCAAATACACTCTAACTGTGCAGGCTTATGTAATCTGAACAGTCCTCTGAGCAAAAAGCGAAGTATTTTCCTCTAAAACACTCTGCCTGGGTGAAAATGATCAAACATTCATCTGAGTGGCCTATTTATCCCAGTGCATTCAGGGTAGGAACATGTCAGGGGAGCTTTTACCCTCGGTACTCACATTTGAGACAGAATTCAGGCTCTCATGTGATTTTCTTTTGGTTGAGGGTATAAGAGCCGAATTTAGCTAAACATAATTATTCAGAACTGAAGATGGCTTCCTTTATATCTACAGTCTAGATTAAAAGTGTTAGTTCAGTTAGGGACGTTGGTGGGTCCGTAATAACATTCATTATTACGTTGAGATAGAGGCAACACATTGGTAATATTAAAATATTGTTTTTAAACCTTAAACCCTATGAATAACTCTCAGCTAGTGAAATGTGTTAGCCCTCTCAGAGATCTCTGTTTTTACTTCAGACACAGATGACCAGAGTTAATGCAGTTCAAATTATTTTATTTATTAATGGACAAAAGTTACTGAAATCAAAATAACTAAGTATCACACTTGGCCAACAACCCCATCAAGCAGTTAAGATAAGCATAAAAATGTCTTTTAAGTCACTGTAAAAAATTTTTTTTTTGCTTTTTTGCTTTTTAAATTATTGTATTCCAGCCACAGTTCTAAAGAACTTTCAGTTTTGGTTGATTTTGGCAACAATCAGTGGACAAAAGCTGTATTGTTTTGCCTGAAGGAAGACAGTATTGATCTCAGTATTGCCCACAGGAGCAGACAAGTGCGGATCGCAGGAATTTTAAGATGAGCTTTGGATGCCAGTTTGCTTTAGTGGAGGTGTGGCTCAAAACTGATTAGCTGTGTCGCAGGTGGATGAAGGAGAGCAATCAGTTTCTTCAGTTGAACTTCCGCCTAGGGTCCATTTCCAAAACCTTACAAATAGCTTCAAACCCTTTCTGGACTGATAGGTGTCAGTAAATTTGGATTTCTTACTTCCAGGTTCATGTTCTAATATACAGCTAGTCTCTGTTAAGTTGATATCTGGATTCTACAAGGGTCTACAGTCATCAGCCCTGGGTGTTAACACATAATATGACAAAACCTTGGTTGATAGCTGAAATAAGTGTGACAAAAAAAGGAAATCCTAAAAGAAAAAATAATAAAAAGGGGCAAATAAGTCTTCACAAAAAGATTTCCTAAGTAAGCCTCTGCAATGGTGAACTGCTGCCTGGCACCCTACTGAAAGACCAAAATGCCATGCTATGCAGCGACCTAGATAAGAGGGAATGTGCTATTTGGTTTGAGCCACAGGACAATGCTGGAGGATCCACCCAGCTACAATTTCTCATTGTTACTCACCCACATTGAGACATTAACACATTACATAAATGCATCACACGTATCAGACGCTTGCATGTAATGTAACTGCTCCCAGGCCGCTTCAGTAAGCATGTGATACGATCACTGTCTGTTTACAAAATGAGTGCCTGATGTAGGGCAGGAGGAGGAGGAGCAGGAAGGAGGAAGGTAGAGGCCAAGCTGTTGCGTAATCCTGAGCTCCCTTGACATGTGCGTAGCTGCCTGAGCCAAGTCAGTGGGACGCACCAAAACGTGTTGACGCATTACCAAAATTATTATGAAAGGCTAACCTGCATTTTAAACCTGGTTCACATGTAACCTAGACTAATGGATGACCCACACAGATACCTGGTTACTGCTTTAATCTGAACAGAAAATAGTTTACTAGGTCGGAGTGGGTCTATGGAGGGGAGGGAATACATATTACAAGAATTAAGAACCTCATTCTATTGTAACAAGTCACAAGGCTTGTTGCACTGCTGTCTCAGGAAATTTCTGAATAATTTGTGAATTCTCTTTTTCTCCCTAAAATGTGATGCGATTCATAATGACAAATGCTTATAGGCAATTGGTTTTTCTGCAACAAGGAATAACATGGTTTTATTTTGTTTTAAGGGCGATCATCTAAATCTGAGGTTTCCAAACCAATTTTTTCTTCTTACCCATAAACAAAAGCACCAGAATGAACTCATGACCCAAACTATTGGTTGATTGCACGAACATTTCTGCAAAAATCAGTTTGGCCTAACCCTGGGTATATTAGCAATGCAAACAGCAGCAATAAACATTATATTTGGTTTTAAGTACTTTTAAGTGATGTTTTATCTCTCTGAACTAGGGCTGGGCGATATGGCCCTAATTTTCTCGTGATATTGTGTCGTTCTATCGTATTAATGGTACAAAACCACTTTTCATGAATTCTTTGAAGTCGTTCTAACTGTATACCTGTGAATTCATGCCACAGCCATTATAGGCCCATAATCACAAACAGCACTCTTGAAGAATACAAATCAAATATAGGCTTCTTCAGGACACCACTTAGATAAAGAAGTGTGATTTATATCACAAAAAATCCTGTAGTAACTGCATTTAATAATGTATTTCAAATTTCCTAAAGCCCTAATGAGGAAAAAAGTGAAAGCAAACATCCATCTTCTCCTACTTATTCCTTCGGGTTGTTTTGGGGCCAGTGCCTACCTCTATGTGCAAGAGGCAGGGTACACCTTGGACAAGTCGCCAGTCTGTCCAGGGCAACACAGAGAAATATAAAGTCCTACAGCCATGAACAAGCACTCACACCTAAGGGCAGGTTGTAGAGATGCCAACGAACCTAACAGTGATGTTTTGGACTGTGGGAGGAAGCCAGAGTACCCGGAGAGAACCCACGCATGCACGAGGAGAACATACCACCTCCATGCAGAAACACCACCTTCTTGCTTCAAGGCAACATTGCTACCCACTGCATCACATTGCAGCAAACAATATATCGGCATAAAATTCACATTTCATAAATTTTTTGGTCACTAATTCTAATTTATTGCCTTGAAACTGATAAATAAAATAATGAAATAAAACTAGTCGAAATTGTGATGACTACAGATTTTCAGTAAATGATGCAATACATTTCCACCCTTACTCTGAGCACTGTGACATAAATACATTTCACCATATTATGTTTTATTTCTGTAGCAGATATTTAGACCCTATAGTACTTGTCATCAAAATAAACAGGAAAAAATTCTTGAAACGCATGGAATCAATCTGCTTGACATTGGAGTTTTATCTTTTGAATCTTATTAAGGAAATGAGTTAGATACACGTTTGCAAAGTCAGAAAAAATATCTGAAACTATTTAAATGCCTTAATGTCGTTAACATATTTTTTACCTACTTCCTCCTTTTCCCCAGCGGTGAGAAACGACAGAAATAGAAGAAAGGGGAAGAAGGAAGCGGTAAAGATGACCATCATGGAGACGTACGAGCTGACAGCAGAGCTTGGACTGATCGTGGAGAAGATCTGCAGAGCTCATAGAGAGACATTCCCTTCCCTCTGCCAGCTGGGAAAATACACCACTGTGAGTGTAAGCGGAAGACCTGACTGCTAAATTAATACTCTTCAGAGATAAAGACCTGTGCTCTTAAACTAAACTTAATCTAAACATGAATGACAAAATAACAACACATAGGAAAAAGAAAACACAAAGCAGTGAAAATAATCAGGGATGAGAGTTGCTGACCTTGTAACATATAAGTAGTCTACAACAGAGCTTTTTAGGGGGGCTTATGGTGATGGGACGTCTGCTGTGATTTAAAATGATCGGTTTCTCGGGGGAATTTAAAGCTCTGCAGATCATATTGTTATTCAGGCAGCTTCTAGTTTCTAAAAGGTCAGAGCGGAAAAGAAGAGTGGCTGAACAAATGCCTGTTCCTGTTACTTTCTGTTTGAATCATCATGTGTGAGTAAACACAACATTCAGCAGGTACAACACAAGTATGACTGCAGAGAAAAACAAAAAAAGGGAAAAATGCTTGATTAGCACTAATATTTAATATTGATCCATAAGCCTTCTATGTTTACTGAAAAGGATTTGATTCTGAGGTGAATCGGGTTCGGGGTTTTGTTAAAAGACTATGTGGTTAGCTGATGCTGTGAGTTGGACAGCTCCAGCTAATGATGTCTGTGGGGGATGGTATTCGATCGTCTCTCACCTAAACAATGGTTTCACAAATGGAAACTCTGTTGTCCAGGCAGTGGAGCTAGTCACTCTGGTGGCGCTGATTGGTTGTTCATTAATCCTCCTGTGGTGCTCATCAGACCGATTCCTTCTTCTGTCAGGAAACTGCTGATCCACGTCACGTCTGCAGATGAAACTGTCAGCTCAGTAAACTGGACGGATCGCAATTGTTTCTAAATCCTAGGAAATGTCTCCTGTTTGTTAACTAGAGTACTGAAGTCTTTAGAATAGGCAATCAGGTAAACACAATCGTGTAGAAAAATAGGAATTGGTGTAAGACTGTACAATTATTCATATATGACTGCATCAAGTCAGAGTGAGTATTTGCTGACAGTTGACAGTCGCTTGCATTGTGTTGACTCTGCAGCAATGACTCTAAAGCCTGGTTTATGTTCAGAAACAGGTCATCTGTAAGTGTGTCGAAGCTAACACAGATATGACCCCCCCCCCCCCCCCCCCCCTTCCGCAGACACTCCAGTGCACCTCCCCAAAATTGTAGGTGACCGCAGAAGGTGCCGTAGATAGCGTCACAGGGAGGAGAGAAAAGAGGTCTCTGATTGGTCAATTTTGCATCCGCTCTACACTATGCATATTTCCTGTTTGGTACCCAATGGCAGAAACTCTGGCTGTTATGCCGTCCACAATGCCTGGCACATCTTGGACACTATCCTAGACACCCAACAGGACGCTAGTTTATAGCTCTGTGCGATTGTCTGTTGGTTTACACCCAAAGCCAAAACACACAGCGCCACAGCTCGTCCATGTGTCGGCTCGTCAAGCCGATACATAGACACTCACAATCCTAGCTAGTTCGTGATGCGTTGTGACGTGGAATAACAGCGCCGACCACGCTTCAAAATTGGGCATAAATCAAAAATATCTGCGTCTTACCTGCGGAAAGCGTACTGTGACATACTGCTGTGGGAGTATACACACCCCTAAGACACTTAAAGACCTTTATACTTTCAGTCATTCAGTGCAGTCTGAGATGATTGTTATATTATTAGCCAGTTTATGTCGGGTTTCAGATATGGAACACAACCACATAATCCACATAATGCAAAACACACCTGCAGAGCAGACGTGTGTGTGTTGGTGCTATATAAATACAATGAATTTAGTTGAATTAGAGGGCTTCACATCTGATCCAGGTTTGCAGAGTAGATCTTAGTTTACTCAGTGACATTAAAAACAGGCCCACACATTCGGCCCTCCATCACCATGCCTGACAGTGGCTGATATGCTGTTTGTTTTTCTCTAAACATGATTGATGATGATGATTGGTCTGTTTCTTCTACAGAGAGCATTATTTCTAAGGGCTCAAGATACATTCAGATTCATTCAACCCTTAAAGCCCAATGCATATTGCCTTTGAGATAGCAGAGATTTTCCTTATGCAATGCTTTAGGCCAAGGCATGTTTGCTTAATGCTTTACTAGTTGTCCTTTCCTAAATGCTATTTTGTTAACTGATATCTGTGATGTCTGAGATGAAACTCCATTTATTCTTTACTCGTATTGTTGCACAATCTGACATTTGATTGAATTTGTTTAAAAGTCTGTTAGCAAGATTGATGTTGTTTAGATTGCATTTATCAAGCATCAAGACATAAACGTATTAGAAAATAATGTAAATGATGGGGGAGTGCTGGGGTAGTGGTTAGGGCATAGAGCAAGGAATCATGAGGTTCCGAGTTCGAGCCCCCACTCCTACTGACTGCAACTCTGGGTCTCTGAGCAAGACCCTTAACCCCACACTGCTCCCTGGGCGCCCCATGATGGCAGCCCACTGCTCCCCAAGGGGATGGGTTAAATGCAGAGTTAAATTGATCCAATGTGAGATCAGTAAAGTTCAATTATTATTATTATTATTAATTTAGAAAAGAATAGCTGTTGCCTTTAGGGTGTCTCCCAGGCTAAAAGCTCTGTTGACATATTAATGCTTGGTATCAGGGATTACTGCCATGTTAAAAGGACTTGATGCATTTGACTGTTCACTGTTGCTTCCTATATGTTCAGGAGGAGGAATTTCTGCAAAGGCGATGGCCCAATGCAATTTTTTTTTTTTTTTACAACTGATTAATCTGACCTGGAAATATCTGAATTGTGGTTTTCTAGTTCCAGAAATAAAACTATCAAACAGTACCACACATGTGAACATGTCAACACATACTCTGATCAGTTTACTATCTGATTATACTTTATTTATTTGAGATGGGATTTTACACTTGGATTGGATTTTGTATTGATCATAGGACGACAGCAAACTGGTGGATGTAACAGATCCGGTCCATACGCCTCATACAAGGAAGGGAAAGCATCTGTGTAATAATGACTTCCTGTTTACTAATTATAGGGGTGTTGTTTATTCTAGATTGCCTTTTTTCCAAAAAAGTATATGATTATATAACTAATGAGTCACAGAGGGATCAATGCTTAGGAATAACCTTAAGATTAGTAAGTGGGATGCTAATAAACGTACACCTCACTCTCATGTTGAAAATGTAAAAAATGGTAATGCTTTTAAAGATGTCTTCTAGTTCATGTTTCTTGGCAGATTGTGAACTAATGATACAAGCAGGAAGACATTCACCCTGCTATAGTAAACACTTTGTGCGTTTAGCTCAAACTGTCACACACACCTATCAGTAATAGAAACACATGATAGCTTACTGTATTGTCCTCTTGGTTACAGGACATATTCTTGTATGTCCTGGAGCAGAATTATTAACCATCTAAGTTTTCGTTTGTTGATTTCAGAAAATAACTAGAATACTCGATGGCTGAGAGGCAGGGCCGGTTCTAGCCCTTTGGTTGCCCTAGGCGAGATTGAGTTTTGCGCCCCCCTGTGCGGTGAATTGTGCCTACAGCTGTGCAAAGTGTGTGTTACAAAATTGCTAATTGAGTGCAAAGCAGTGTTTGTTCTTTTAGTTTTGTGAACTCAGTGAGTGGATTTGCTTTAAGTAATAATAGTTTTAGAAATTGTGCTATAAGAATCAAGGTTGTGTTTAAGCATTCAGAAAAAACTGTAACTTAGCATGGAGTGATGCATAGACAAATACCAGAATAGGTTGCAGTACCTTTTCTTTTTTATTATTTTAAATAATTTATTACACATTCAAAGTTAGGACTGTGCAAAAACACTTTTAACCATCTGTAAGGACACTTAGGTAAAGTATAACTAAAAAACTGGATTGAATCATTGAATGAATTTATTTCAGACAATTAACAAATTTAACACACATTAAACAAATATTAAATAAATCAATTTCAGAAATTACCAAATAACAATAAAAAATAATAAATTTAAGAAATTCTTCAACCAAGGACTACATAAAAAAGTAATTGATAAACATTAAATTAAATTTTCTGTTCCAGTTCAATTAAATCATTTGAACATAAATAGAAATGAGATAAACAAAATTTTCCTCTAAATAAAATATATCAGGTATATTTACCCTGATTTCTGACATTGATTAGTGATTAAAGAAAGGATTAACCCTCTACAAACAAAAGTTCTTTTATGAATACCATTACAAAATTTGTAATGGTAAAGTTTGAAGTTGTTGTTTTTTTTTGTTCACATATTCTATGATGAACAGCCATAACTTCATATATTTTGATGATTATTTGTACATCCCTTTTGAATACTCAATGCAGATAATCACTACAAAATATTTTATTTATATTAGTATCTTCTACCCATTCTCAAGCTAATAATATAGCACATAATTCTGCTGCATATATACTGAGAAAAAAATGATGTCAACATTAGGGATGGGGATCGTTAATATTTAATGATATCGATACCTTTATCGATACTCCTTATCGATCTGAGTCTTTATCGATACCACTATCTATACTTTTCTGTTATTTGGTGGAAAGACGATGCAACAAAATTTTATTATCAGAACTGGTATTGCTTCTATTGCTTAACAAGTGAGCATAACAAAAACGTTTCTAGCCTTCAATAAACATGGCTAATGTAATAGGCCACTTGGAAATGACATAAAACTAACTAGAATATATTTTCACAATTGTTGGTTAATGTATTGTCTACTGTCACTTTTCATCATGTTTTTAGTGATTAGGAAAATATTTAACAAATAAATAATTGTATTTTAAATTAAATGTAATTTTTAATAAATGTTGGCATCAGTAGTTTAATTATATATAGAGCAATGTACAACTGTATTACTCATGTTTCTCGCCAAAAACTAAATTTCCCGTTTTCTTTACGTTACACTTGAATGCATCATGATAACCTAATTATCGTTTTACTGAGCCAATCTGAACGCATCATCACGCAGCACGTCTGAAACTTTATTTACTTTTCAAGCTAACTAGCTTGTATGCTTCCGATTACAAGACGGATTTCACAATTAATATTTTTAACTGACCGGACAAGCTACAAAGTCTGTGTGCGCTCACCAGTGGTACTCTGAGTGGATGATTAAGACGGGCCGACTGCAGCTGGAGGAGGAGAGGGGAGTCTTTTCCGTTCAGCCATCCTCGAGTCGCGAGCAAAGTTAAGTGTCAGACTTCACTTGTTTTACTTTTAATATCTGTTTGCTTACAATTTCATTCCAAAATATTGGTGTACATGCTGCAGTGATTGACGTCACGACTTCCGGGTTGGAGGGCGCTTGAAAAGTGATCAGAATCTTTTCCGATTTTCTCTTAAATGTGAAAAAAAAAATAAAAAAAACGGTGGTATATTTATTTGTTCATATTTTGCTATTTATTTATATATACGTAAGGTTAAGTCAAACTGACGGACGCTTCATAACCGGTTTAATTCGCTTTTTTTTCTAATTCTATGATTAATGGGAAGTAAGCCTAAGGGCGACGCTAGAGGGCGCCCCCAACACATTTGTCGCCCTAGGCAATTGCCTAGCTCGCCTGTAGCAATCGCCGGCCCTGCTGAGAGGAATAAATCCCAATTTTATCTCTTAAATTATTTGGAATTACTTTTATTTGTGGGAAATGTTCAACAAACTTCAATTTTAGAGACAAAAAGAAATTTTAGCGTGCACTTATAATACATATTGTTATTTCTTATTGATTTTTATTGATATTTATTTAAATACAAGTTCAAGTAACTGTTCTGCTCACCTTTGCAGATACAGATATAGCATAATGTAGTTTGTTTTTTTCCCTCTCGTTTTTTAAAACTATATTATACAAGTATATATACTATATATACAAATACATTATATATTTCTTCTGCACTGACAATTGGTAATAAATAAATTTTCATGTTTCATGTTCTAAACAAAACAAGTACCTTTATATAATATATATATATATATATATAATGTTTTATTTTTTTTTTTTTTTATTACAGAAAATAGTCTGCTAGCATAACAAAGAACTTTTACAAGATAGTAATGCTCCCATAAAATAAAACATAAATTTTTTTGAGCACTCTTGTCTTCAGATTTCTTTAGAAAAACCGGCAGAAATCGTTCAGAGTTTCTTCAACATCTTGACATTTTTCACAGATTACAAAAACAGAGTCTGTTGAATTTTTGTGTCATAGCAACAATCATATAATATCCATGTTATATGATTGCTGCTAACCTGTTGATGCTGACCATGGATCATCTTTTGAAATCCAGCTGTACCAGCCCTCTACCAGACTAATCTGCCATGTATAAGTCGAATCAGTCTGGTTGGCCAGGCTGATTTGAATTTGTTATTTTTTTTTTATTATTATGCTATCAGTCTAAATAAGGGGGCTACATGGATTGTTTTGTATTCTAAGTAATATTTACATGAAATGCTGCAGAGAAGCTTAAAATATATCAGAGTCTCTGTCACAAACAGAAATCATGTTGAGATAAAGACCGTTTACATCGTTTTTCTTTCCTTGTCTGTCCAGAATTCTAGTTCAGACCACCGGATTCAGCTGGACCTCGGCCTGTGGGACAAATTCAGCGAGCTCGCCACTAAGTGCATCATCAAGGTGGTGGAGTTTGCCAAGAGAGTGCCGGGCTTCACAGGCCTAACAATCGCTGATCAGATCACTCTGCTCAAAGCCGCTTGCCTTGACATCCTGGTAACCAAATTACTTCTGTTTTTATAGTTTTTCCCTAAATTTCACTCCAGGTATTTTTGGCAGAAATGGTGGCCCTGCTCGTTCTGGCTGGGAAACTGGTCTAAATATATATATATGCAATATTTAAAGGAGGCCTAGATGCATATATGCATTTATGTACTTTCAAATCAAGCATTTATCTTCAGTGTCCTTTTTGAGCCTTTGAATAATTTGTCCAGACTGATCCCTGACACTGAGCCTGGTAAAAAGGAGTTTTTCCTTCCCACTGATGTAATACATGCTTGGTCTGAGGGATTGCTGAAGAGACAAGAGAAAAATGCAATCATAAATTGTTGCCTCAAGCTCATACAGGAATTGCAAGTCAATGACTTAATGCAATAAGCAAATTTTCCTTGATATAAACTTTTAACCAATCTGACTGAATTTTCTCTGTAAAGTGTCTTGGAATGACATGTCGTTTTATAAATAATCTAAATTAAATTGAGATTAAATGGATCAGCAGACATGCTGAACAAAATCCAGAATCCATTAACTTTAATATCAGCAAAAACATTTTCTCAGAGTTAGGTCAACGTTTATTTTGTATTTCAAGCTCTTCTCGTTTCTTTTCCCTTGGTATCAAATACCTTTTTTTCACACTGGATCTAGAACCTTTTCACTTTCTTTTCATGCCTCCACTGGATGTCCCTGACTCGTTTGGCTCCATTGCATCTTTGTTTAGGCATACACAATATCATATCTCCGTCACTTTCTTTTGTTAGAGCAAACATACGCAAAGGGCATTGTTTACTAACAAATACAAGTAAAGTGCGATACACAGAAATAAAAAAAATAACCCAACATGTGATAATATCTTTTTATCCAACCAAAGTTAGCTATTTGCATGGAAATTCATAAAGTCATAGTACTTGAATAATCCCCTTTAAGCCTGAACACATGTGAAAAGTAAAATTGTAATATATGCCCTTTAAAGCACAATATCTGGATTCATGTTTACATCCAAGATCAGTAAATATTTCGAAACAGAAAAAATAAAAAAAAAGAGAAAAGAAACATGGCCCATATTGGCTAGGGAGTATTGATGATATGCCTAGAACGCCAAACTCTGACAGCCTTGCACCATACCATTCAAAGAAAAAGGTAATGTTTTTTCATTAATCAAAGCTTTCAATGGTAATTTGAGATCAATCAAACAAGCAGCCTACCAACAGATTTAAAAGAACTCTCTCAGCCAGCCTGGTATTCATAGTGGTTATTGGATGCATGTGACAAAATATATAATTTCAAGAACTAAATAATGAGCAGCATTGTTACTCTAATGTATTTCTTTAGTCTTTATCAGAATAGCGAGCCATGTGCAGTGGTTAAAAGTTGCTTTTCTGCAAGTTGCAACATGTTCAAACAAATGTTGCACACATGTTAGGTGGAAAGTTAGTTAAAATACTGATAAATAGAGACTGCAACAGTGGTAAGAATGAATTCATTCGGGTTAAGAACAAAAATTGTGCCAGTTGTTTATTTACTCTGTGAATTTCGACAAAAATGTCGAGGCACTAAATTGCTGTCCTTGTTTTCCTGCAGACATTTGTATTAACAGAAGACTCATGAAAAGTAAAGACAACAATTGAACAACATATTACCCCATGAATTGTCTGCTTTTCAGTTTCCATCTTGGTCTGGCTGTTTCCTTTCTGCTCAAGTAGACTATTCTTTCCATGGAGTGAACTGTTCTCAATCTTCAGCCTTGAGTTATTAATTCCTTTAAATCCAAAATTCCAGTAGATTCTTAATCCTGAGACTAAATGTGTTTCCAGCAGACAGTTTTCATTGAGAAAGAAATCTGTTCTTCTCAAATAGCAAATGTTAATAGTTTTATCTTTCTGCTTTCAGATACTTAGGATTTGCACTCGCTACACTCCTGACCAGGACACCATGACCTTTTCTGATGGACTGACTCTGACCCGCACTCAAATCCACAATGCAGGGTTCGGACCGCTGACGGATCAGGTTTTCACATTTGCTGGACAGCTGCTGCCTCTGGAGATGGACGAGACAGAGAGCGGGCTCCTCAGTGCTATCTGCCTCGTGTCCGGAGGTACTGGACATGTCTCTGAAATGTGACATAGATTTTGCTGCCGCCGGCCTCTAAGGTTAACCGCTTTTCTTTGTGTGGGTGTAGATCGGCAGGACCTGGAGGAACCTTCTAAAGTGGAGGTGCTGCAAGAACCACTGTTGGAGGCGTTGAAGATCTACTCGCGGAAGCGACGACCCAGCATGCCCCTCATGTTCCCCAAAGCCCTAATGAAGATCACTGACCTTCGTAGCATCAGTGCTAAAGGTTAGTACTTGGGAAATAATATTTGATTTTTTTTAAGCCCACCATTCTACTAAGAAAAAAAGAATATATGAATATTTTCTGCATAAGTAGAAAATACTTAATAACAGCAAGTCAGACCATATAATGCACAGGATTAACATAAATTCAAAAACTGCAGGTCTCACGTCCATGACAGGACAACTAGAGAAACACTTTTATATGGATGAATTAATTTGAAGGGTTTAAGGTAGAAGCCTTTCCTGCCTGTAAATAATAAAGCACCGAAAGCTCCCAAATAATATTCTAAGGACAGATGAGACAGATGTAGAGATGTTTGCACATTAGCATGTCTGGAGAAACCTTGAGCTTAAACCCGCCTCACTCAGTGTCAAGAACAGCAATGAAAGAGGGATGATTTTCGCTTTTTCTGCTCCCAGAAACCAGGCACCTTGTAGCCTGAGAAATTATTCTAGGCTGAAATGAATAAAAAGTGGCTCACTGCAGGTTCAGGTTTTGACTTAGATAGAGATGCTGAGGCGGGACCTGAAGAGAGCCTCTTCCTGAACCCTTTAGGAATGTCCAACAACTGCAAATGTAACTAAAACTTTGATAACTAAAGGTAAAACAGATAACCTATTCCTATAGGGACATCTACTGTTTAAAAAGATGAACTGCATTTAGCAAAATGGTAGCTTGCTCCAAGTTAACAACCGTGTTATGCAAACCGCCCACTGATCTGATACACAGACAGCTTAATATTTCATGAGAACTCTTTAAGTGTACATCTTTTTAAAATGCAAAACACTTCTTAATTTATGAGGATTTGTTTCGCCTTATTCAATATCTTTGGAAATTAAAACTTTGTTGGCATTCCTGTAGGAGCTGAGCGGGTGGTGACATTGAAGATGGAGATCCCAGGCTCCATGCCTCCTTTGATTGAAGAGATGATGGAGGATCTGCAGAACCTGGAGAGAAGCCAGCACTCACACACCATCTCCTCCCACTCTCAGCGTACAAACCATCCTTGTCTCCCAGTCTGAAGCTGCCCGGAGAACTTTTCTTCCTTCCGAGAGAGATTACTAATGATTTAAGTGCAGATGCAGTTTGGACGGTCACTAGTGCTTCAGAGTTTGAGTTAGATCTTGAGACATATAAAATGAGATTCAGCTGTCAGATTAACAACATGGAGGTTTCATTGAGATGCTATCCTACTTTGATGAAAGAAAAAAAAACCTAGAATGATGCAGTAATATGCAATGCTGTCGCTGGCACCTCATATCCACTGAGAATCACTCTCAGCTTCTGTTTACTACATCTGGTTCTTGCTGTATTTATATTTGCATGAGTTATTAATTTTTACCTCATTGAATAACGCCATCCGTGTTAGATTAGGAAGAAAAGGCACTCGTGGGACAACTTGTTAAAGCTTTTTAATGTTATTTTTAAAACCTGTTAGCTGCAGTGATGGATAGATGTTACATGGGAAACAAGTAAAGGGAAAAACAGAAAATTGGAAACAAAAAACGTCAAACTTTTATCAGAATTGGTCTGATATCTTTGTACGGAAGTTAAAGTCAATTGAATAGGGGACATAAATATGTACACAGCCTTGTTAAACTGCCAAGTTTTTTTTATGATCTAAGAAACAGGATCATTATAAATCATGTCAAAACTTTTAGCATTTTAGAACCAGAAGGTTCAGCAACCTGGTTGTATGTGTGTGCTTTCTTTCATCAAATAGTTTAAGTTCATTATGTCAGCATTCAGTTTTCTTTTGAAGAAGTTGATCCGCATCCCATAATTTGACCTGACAATATTATAAGTCCTCAGATTGCAAAAGTACCTCTTGCCCATCATTGTCTTCTAGTTATTCTGTCAGGTTTATGTCTGAACTTCCCAAACTTAACTTTTTTCTAGAGAAGACATCATTCCATTGGATGTATGAACCATGTTTCAGTGTAGGTATGGCTTTCTGTAGTAATGTATTGGTCCTTTCTCCTCACACCAGAATAATCTACAATTTTCTATGAGATTTAAGCTTGGCTTTGATGTTTTCTCCGAATACAAGTCTCATTCGTTTGCCGGTTTAAAAACCACAGGAACTTGCTTTGTTTTGCCGGTATTGCCGTCTGCCTCCCAATTGTTTATTTTGTTTTTTACAGAATTTTTGAGAAAAAAAAAAAAAGGTTCCTCTAATATCCCTGCTTTAACATATTTTATGCCTAGAAGAGGTGTGTGATTGGCTATGAATGTACCAAGATTTTTTTAATAAGATATTTTCCGTATATTGGTCAGGAAAACATTTTGGTAATTTCTATACTTTTTTTCCCAGCTAACATTTAGAACAGTTTAACTAAGTAGACATGCCCTAAGCTGCTTTTTAGGGGAGGCAGAAAACCAACTTTGCAGGCAAAATTATTAATAAAAAAACCTTTGATGAATTGCTCAAAGTGACCCGTCACATGGACAAACCAGTGCGCTTAAGTTGGTGCCAAATATTTACATTTACATGCAAAAAAGTTTTTTTACGATTTACTTTTTTTCTATTATTTTTCCATTGCGAAGAGCTGACAGTTTAATAAATATGTTTTACACTGTAAGTATAAAAAGCTGTAGCCTTGTATGAGCTCGTTTAGTTGCTGGCAGTCTGTTGGATCGCTCTCCAACAAAAGATTTATCACCATCATAGGGCCGGATTTATCAAGATCCAATTTTGCGTGCAGTAATTTGCGCTCGCAAAGTGGAATTTTGCGCGAGGGGCTGAACCATGGTTTGCGGGTGATTTAACAAGAGCGATTGCGTAACTGGTGGCAGGCGCAAAACTGTTGGAGACGCCCTATTTAAATGATGGTTTTGCGCGTTTTGTGGTTTGCGGCAAAGTAGTTTGTAGTTTGTGCAAACTAGTGCATTAAGAAATTTTAATCTTACAGTGACACCACCCCCTCCAAAAAAAGAAATATATATATATATATATATATATATATATATATATATATATATATATATATATATATATATATATATATATATATATATATAAACTTTGGCAACCTTTATTCCCTAAGGTGGTATGTGGCTGAATTTCTACTTCACCGCAGTAAGAAAAAAACACACAAACAAAAATAAAACAGGTGTTTTTTATCGGCCTGTAGAAAAATGCACATACCAAATGGCTCACAAGAAGTGACTGTGGATAAGATGACTGCATTGGCATGTTGCTCCACAGGCGCAGGGTGTCGGGGTTCTCCGGTAGGGCGTCAGGGCGACATGGCATTTAAAACGTCGGACAGCACTTCTGAAAAACGAGATTGGGAGATCCCAGATGCAAAAAAGTGCAATGTTGCAAGGAGTTTCGTGATATCTGGTATTGCGTGGGTCCTCCTTGTGCCTGGCTCCAAATCCATTCGGAGTTCCCCCAACAGCTCCAAAATGGCAATGCTGGATAAACGATATGTTTTGATGATCGTTTCCTCGTTCATTCCAAAAATATTCACACGGAGTGAAAAAATGCGTTCTCTGCGTCTCCTTGCTTCATTTCGATTTCTCCTTCTTGCGACAGTAACCGCTGCCATGTGTGCGCAATTACGCATACAGACCATTTGCACCTTCTTTTGAAACGTGTTAAATATAGAGTCAGATACCGTTAGCAAAATTGCTTTCAGGTTTGATAAATCACTTTGCGAGTGCTAAATTAATATATTTACATGTTCTCCTCCCACAAGACGCACTTTTGCGTGTAAACGCCCCATATTGAATATTCATTGCAGAAAAAGTACTAAATGGATAAGAGACGCTATTTAGCACGTTTTAAAGACCAAATCCTTTTAGCACGCTGTTGATAGATCAGTTTGTACATTTTTTTGCGTGCGCAGTGAAATAGCTCACGTTTTAATACACGCAAACCTTTGATAAATCCGGCCCTTAGTAAGCTAAAGATTATTATTTCTTCTTAGACTTTATGAATGAAGATCATTTAAATACAGATTATCCTAAATGAAATTGTTCCTGAAAATATTTTTTTCTATGTATGAGACATGTAAAGTTTTACCACAGACTGATTGTGTAGCCTTTGTTGCGCCGTGGCACAGTGTTCGCCTGCAGGTGCACCATTCGTTCCCCTGTAGTGACATCATCTTGTTACTTGATCTTTGTTTCCTGTATTTGCTTTCGTAACACCTGTAAAATTAGCATTGTTCTTATAAATCTGACCTTTTCTTTTGTTTTAATGTTGTTTACTCTGCAGTTTTTTTATGCTGACAAAAAAAATTATAACAGCCTCACACAGCTGCGAGTATAACTTTAATATAGTGATATGAATATCTAGTAAAAATGGCATTTTAGTAAAACCTAAAAAACATTCAAAATTCAAATATAAAGAAAATGTCATCATGAAAAATAAATTCTGTAAAAAATGACTGACTTAAATTAGAACTGTTGAATGAAAGCAGCTCAAACGCAACGTTTGAACTGTAAAGATTCACATGTGCCTGCCATTTATGTGCCAACATTTTCCAAATTTTAAGTTTTTTGAGTTCATGCCACAAAAAGGCACAATGCGATTATACTGTATGTACATATCATTTTTCATCTGTGAAATTAAACATTCATTGTTTTGTTGCTGTCTATTCATGTTTGTTTACTGAACTTTCATAGTTTATTTTTGGTATTCTTTCATTGTCTTTCCTGAGAAATTAGTTATCAGTTTATTGAATGGATTGTGCTGCCCCCTGTTGGTGCAGTGAGAGAGTGCTCACTTCAGTCCTGAATTAAAGTGTCCAATAATCTGTCAAGCAGTGAATAAATCCCTAAAATACAAAGTTATTATTGAGCTGTTCCAGATATTAACAAGTATTTTTTTTATTGTTGTTCTTTTAGAAAACTAATTATTTTTGTTAAATATCAACATGTAGGTTGAAGCCAAACCTTTCGTTGCAAAGGTTTTATAATGTAGAATTTCTCTCAATCAGCAAAACTTTCTTTTGAAGTGACCTTGATCAGATTTATTCTTCAGGGTATTTTTTATTTAAAAAAATAAAATATATACATATATATATATATATCTGTTTATATCTGAATATATTCAACAATGTACACAGTACAGGCCAAAAGTTTGGACACATGTTAAAGAGTTTTCTTTGTTTTCATGACTATGAAAATGTAAGATTCCCACTGAAGGCATCAAAACTATGAATTAATTATATACTTGACAAAAAAGTGTGAAACAACTGAAAATATGTCTTATATTCTAGGTTCTTCAAAGTAGCCTCCTTTTGCCTTGATTATTGCTTCGCACACTCTTGGCATTCTATTGATGAGCTTCCAGAGGTAGTCACCTGAAATAGTCTTCCAACAGTTTTGAAGGAGTTCACAGAGGTCCATGTTTGCCCCTTTGCCTTCACTTTGTAGTCCAGCTCACCCCAAACCAGCTTGATTGGGTTCAGGTGTGGTGATTCTGGAGGCAATGTCGTCTGGTGCAGCACCCTATCACTCTCCTTCTTGGTCAGATAGCCCTTACTCAGCCTGGAGGTCTGTTTGGGGTCACTGTCCTGTTGAAAAATAAAAGATTGACCAACTAAACCCAAACTGGATGGAATAGCATGCCGCTGCAAGATGCTGTGGTAGCCATGCTGTTTCAGTATTCCTTAAATTTTGAATAAATCCCCAACAAAGTCACCAGCAAAGCACCCCCATACCATCACACCTCCTCCTCCATGCTTCACGCTGGGAACCAGGCATGTAGAGTCCATCAGTTCCCCTTTTCTGCGTCGCACAAGGACACAATTGTCATGATCGGGCAGGATTTCTAGCCCAGATGCAGAACTCACAGACACACAGGCAGGATTTAAGTCCAATAATTTATTGGATTCATTCACACAGGGTTCTGCCCTGGAAGGCAGAGAGGACAGAGCAGGTTAGGTTCTGGTACAGGTGACAGGTTCTGACTTACAGGTTTTCAGGTTTAAGACAGGCAGGGTGGCTCAGGCTTGCTAGCATGGAAAGGACAACAATCCGGCTCAGAGGGAAGCTCTCACTCAGCTTATATAGGGAGAGCTCTTTAATCAGCAGATGGGGATCAGCTGCTTCTAATGAGCACCAGCTCTCAGGAGAAGATCCACAGCGCCCTCTGGTGGGCAAGCCACTGGATCCATACCGACAGCAGAACCCCTCAGAAAGGGATCCACGTCGCCCTCTGGAGGGCAGACCTCTGGATCCCAACAACAATGGTTCCAACCAAAGTTCTTAAATTTGGACTCATCAGACCAAATCACAGATTTCCACTGGTCTAATGTCCATTCCTTGTGTTCTTTAGCCCAAACAAGTCTCTTGTGCTTGTTGCCTGTCCTTTGCAGTGGTTTCCTAGCAGCTATTTTACCATGAAGGCCTGATTCACACAGTCTCCTCAGTTTTTCTAGAGATGTGTCTGCTGCAAGAACTCTGTGTGGCATTGACCCGCTCTCTAATCTGAGGTGTTGTTAACCTGCGGTTTCTGAGGCTGGTGACTCGGATGAACTTATCCTCCACAGCAGAGGTGACTCTTGGTCTTCCTTTCCTGGGGCGGTACTCATGTCATCCAGTTTCTTCGTAGCTCTTGAAGGTTTTTGCGACTGCACTTGGGTACACTTCCAAAGTTTTGCTAATTTTTCAGACTCTCTGAACTTCATTTCTTAAAGTAATGATGGCCACTCATTTTTCTTCTTAGTTGCTTTGTTCTTGCCATAATATAAATCCTAACAGTGTATTCAGTAGGACTATCAGCTGTTTATCCACCTGACATCTTCACAACACAACTGATAGTCCCAACCCTGTTTAAAAGGCAAGAAATCCCACTTATTAAACCTGACAGGGGACACCTGTAAAGTGAAAACCATTTCAGGTAACTACACTATATTGCCAAAAGTATTTGCTCACCTGCCTTGACTCACATATGAGCTTAAGTGACATCCCGTTCCTAATCCATAGGGTTCAATATGACATCGGTCCACCCTTTGCAGCTAGAACAGCTTCAACTCTTCTGGGAAGGCTGTCCACAAGGTTTAGGAGTGTGTTTATGGGAATTTTTGACCATTCTTCCAGAAGCGCATTTGTGAGGTTGCACACTGATGTTGGACGAGAAGGCCTGGCTCTCAGTCTCCGCTCTAATTCATCCCAAAGGTGTTCTATCGGGTTGAGGTCAGGACTCTGTGCAGGCCAGTCAAGTTCATCCACACCAGACTCTGTCATCCATGTCTTTATGGACCTTGCTTTGTGCACTGGTGCACAGTCATGTTGGAAGAGGAAGGGGCCAGCTCCAAACTGTTCCCACAAAGTTGGGAGCATGGAATTGTCCAAAATGTCTTGGGATGCTGAAGCATTCAGAGTTCCTTTCACTGGAACTAAGGGGCCAAGCCCAGCTCCTGAAAAACAACCCCACACCATAATCCCCCCTCCACCAAACTTTACACTTGGCACAATGCAGTCAGACAAGTACCGTTCTCCTGGCAACCGCCAAACCCAGACCCGTCCATCAGATTGCCAGATGGAGAAGCGCGATTCGTCACTCCAGAGAACGCGTCTCCACTGCTCTAGAGTCCAGTGGCGGCGTGCTTTACACCACCGCATCCGACGCTTTGCATTGCACTTGGTGATGTATGGCTTGGATGCAGCTGCTCGACCATGGAAACCCATTCCATGAAGCTCTCTGCGCACTGTTCTTGAGCTAATCTGAAGGCCACATTAAGTTTGGAGGTCTGTAGTGATTGACTCTGCAGAAAGTTGGCGACCTCTTCGCACTATGCGCGTCAGCATCCGCTGACCCCGCTCCGTCAGTTTACGTGGCCTACCACTTCGTGGCTGAGTTGCTGTCGTTCCCAAACACTTCCATTTTCTTATAATACAGCTGACAGTTGACTGTGGAATATTTAGGAGCGAGGAAATTTCACGACTGGATTTGTTGCACAGGTGGCATCCTATCACAGTTCCACGCTGGAATTCACTGAGCTCCTGAGAGCGACCCATTCTTTCACAAATGTTTGTAAAAACAGTCTGCATGCCTAGGTGCTTGAATTTATACACCTGTGGCCATGGAAGTGATTGGAACACCTGATTCCAATAATTTGGATGGGTGAGCAAATACTTTTGGCAATATAGTGTACCTCTGGAGCTCGTCCATAGAATGCCAAGAGTGTACGAAGCAGCAATCAGAGCAAAAGTTGGCTACTTTGAAGAACCTAGAATATAAGACAAATTTTCAGTTGCTGCACACCTTTTTAAGTATATAATTCCACCTGTGTTAATTCATAGTTTTGATGCCTTCAGTGTAAATCTTCCATTTTGACAGTAATGAAAATAAAGAAAACTCATTGAATGAGAAGATGTTTATAAACTTTTCGCCTGTACTATATATACACAGCACATTTCATGTAGCAGGACAGTTCAAAGTGCTGTAAATAAGATAAACATAAGATTTTAAAAATCTCTGGCTATGTTTAAACTAAATAAGACAAGAAGGTTGATTATGACCAAAAACTTTTGCAAAGGTCATTAAATCAAGTCATCTACAATTAAATCAAGCAAAAAAATCCCAAATACAAATTTGCCAAAAAGACATTTCTCTAGATAATTCTATGAGATTGGTTTTACAATGACTCTTAAATCCAATCTCTTGTACAAACTTAAAAATTGATACCAGATAAGATCAAGGAGGGATATAACCTACTATTACACAAAAAGTGTCCATACATCCTTCTGCAAACATTAAAGGTGTTAAAAGAAGTAAGAGCATAAACTCAAAAGACATCATTAATGAAGTTGATTCTCTTTGTTGGAGGCCTACTGTCTGGCTGAATGGTTTTCTAACCTTTAGACCTTAAAAAAACTTTAAAGAAAAGGTTGTTTATAGTGAATAACTTGTATAATTCAATAGTGGATGGTACAGAATATGTCTTTTTGTATCACAGTGCAGAAGAAATATCCTCCTTATTGCTTAAGATAATTACATAAACTTTTATACAGCACATTTTAAGAAGAATTTCTTCAGGTCAAATTTAAAAGTGGAAAAATGTACAAACCCCCCCCCCCCCCCATTTTCATTTTATCTGCAGCCACAAACTAAGATATGCTTAATCAAAATGAAAGCTTTTATCAGCTCTTTGACAGATATACGTGGAGGAAATTGTGGGTTGAAGGTAAAACAAACATGCCGTCACATGCAGCTCTGCAACAATGAGTTAAAACAGTTAGACCACGCAGTCTGTTCCTGAGAATTTAAAGCGGTACGGCCCGACAATTGAAACAGAAAGCTGCAAAACACAGGCTGAAACACATCAGTGAGTTTTACATTAATACTCAGGACAGCATTAAGTTGGTTTTATACTTCATTTTTTATACATGTTCAGTTAACTTTATTGGTAAAGTCACATTTCTCACATTTGTACAGACAAACAATATATGAGACAAAAAAACAGTTGAAAGTTGTCTCTGTGGTATTTCTAAACCTGCTAAAGTTGAAACATACATGTTTGCACTTTTATTACAATATTTCTTTCTAAATAGGTGAAGGTACTATACTTTTCACAGCAAATGTTCATTTCAGATTTTAGCATCATGCTGTGGAGATGCTTTTAATCAGCAGGAAAAAAGGGAGATAAAGAACTAGGCAATCCTAAGAAATGTTAAACCTGTTTTCAGACATTTCACATCTTGATTTGTTTTGGTTGATCACAATAAATTCTAAGTCAACATGTTGACATCTCTGGAAAGGTTGAACCGGTATGAAGGTTTGTGTTCTCTAAAATGGATTAGATCTTTATTTAAGTACCGTATAAATAATATTCCCATTAAAACGTATTTTTAAGAAAGTTGAGAGATATTTATTGTAGGATTATGGTCCCTGAGCAGGTAGATGCTAAAATATTATAGTCCTAAGACAATCACAGCTGTTTTTTTCTCCAAAACTGTAAAACCATGTGAAACTCAGAGACTCATAATGAAAAATAGCTGACTCGTGTAAAGGTCAGTTTGTATCTTATTAATACATACCACTGTTTTTCCCTCCTATGTCAACATGTAGCTGTGAATTTTCTTTGAGCTTATCAGTACATTTACAAGTCCTGCTGGTCCTGTTTTCTGAGTAATGTTACTCCCTGAGCCAGTTCTGGGCGAAGTGGAAAGCAGCTAAATATTGCTGTCAGTTCCTTTTTGGGCTGTTTCATTGGCTTTGGTCCTAAAATAAAAAAGACCAAATTAAAGGAGCCTAATATTTGTCCATTCAGGAGAAAATGTGATTCTAACTACTGGATGAGAATATCACCTCCAACCTACAAGCACAGAACAAACAGTCATGTCTGTCCATTTAACTCTAGCAAGATACAGAAACAGTTATGTTTCAAATGAAACACATCCGGGATTTGAAAAGGAAATGATCAATTGTGATTTTTAATGCTTGCCTTCTCTTTTCATTTGTAAGGATTGTAATGTTCTCATTTTCAGTTTACCTGCTGCTTGTTGCTTCATAGTAGCCATTCTCCTCCAGGAGCTCCTCAATGATTCCCTGAAAAGTACAAAATATTTCACTAGAAGTACAAGGACAACCAGCAAAACAACAGAATAAAAATAAAAATGATTTATAATACTGAAGCTCACTTCCAACCAAGTTTGTTCAGATTGTTAAGAGAACTTAAGCATCATATACCATTGCTTGCATGCATGGTTGTGGGACAGATTGCTGTATGTAACTAGAGATATCAAAATGTTGTGTTTTTGATATTAGACACATGTGAAAGATGTCGGGCTAGGGGGGATGTGTTTTGGGGGGTTATTGGGGAAAGGTAGGTCTGGAGAAACTGACCTGCATTTGCTGATATGTGACTCCATCACTGAGATTCTCATCACCTGTCAGGAAGGAGATACAATCAACTTTCCTTACCTTTGGAGTAATTTGAATAATTTAAAAACCTAAACAGCAACCATCGGATGCCAAACTGGCTGTAATAAAACAGATCCTATACATTTTTTATTATTCCTGCAGGAGCAGCATTAATTTATTGCTATTATTTTACCTGGATTATCACCAGTAACGTGTTCCACTCTGAAATGCTGCATCACGTGTCGCCAGTCTAAAGTAGTCGAGTTTAACTCCATCAACTCTGATGAGGCCTGGATCAGCTGAGAAAATAAAAATGAAGAGAATGCATTCCTGGTTATGAGTCTTGCTTCAGATAAAACTGAACAGGAGAAAATATGCATGTTTTATCCTTTATGGAATATAAATTCTGCTTCTTTATACAGAATCAGTTAACAAATTTCCAATTAGAAAAAAATCAAATTTATATAAAATTAACAAAACTCAAACCAAATCAAATTATAATACTATATGGTTAACCCTTAGTGCTAAAGTAAAACACTACTGGACTTATTCTCATGTTTCTTGGAGATGGCTCACCTTTCATATTAAAGCATTTAAGTCTTTGATAACTGAAAATCTGCTCAACATATTTCTATGTGGTTACCGGTAAATCAATTTGATAGAATGCCAGTTGAGAATATTTGACTTAATTTTTAGATTAGGGGCACAGGAACATTTTGAGGAAATATGTCTGGAAGAGACACAGAGATGGCATGTTCTCCCTGAGCATGCATGGGTTCTCTCCGGGTACTCCGGCTTCCTCCCACATTCCAAAAAAATGACTGTTAGGTTAAGATGCTTCCCTAAATTCTCCTTAGGTGTAAGTGTGTGTGTGTGAATGGTTGTTTGTCCTGTTTTCTCTGTGTTGCCCTGCGATGGACTGGTGACCTGTCCAGGGTGTACCCCGCCTCTCGCCCATAGACAGCTGGAGAGGCACCAGCACCCCTTGCGACCCCACTTGGGATTAAGCGTGTCAGAAAATGGATGGATGGATGAGACACAGAGATTCTTTTAAATCTGAAGGCCTTATATATCACCTGTTGAGCATGGTAGTAGCAGCATTATGCTTTGGGGCTGTTTCGCTGCAAGAAGAATACTCCAGCTTAACGTAAATTCACAGTGAGGTTATTTCAATTTAGGGATGCCTGGAATTTCTTGGATTTGGAAAGGAAAGAGATAAAAAACGTATCAAAACTGGATGTGAATAAAATAGACTTCTGGAAGGACCGTCCTGATCCCCAAACAAACCTTGACATTGTCTATTATAAGTGTGTAATTAAAGCACAACTTGCTCTGAGATATGCAATCAATCAAATATTAAGAAGCTTTGAGATTACAGTCAATATTGTGAAACTATTTAGAATAGAGACAATCAATTACAATTTGTGAAAATAATTCTTGAGTTGTAAGCATTATCCTTTTGTCATGGAAAAATATAACTTCAGTCATAAAATTAAGTGTATGAAAAACTTATTTTAGTGGAGAAATTTTAACTACTGTGGTTCAGACTAAGAAATGAGAAAATAATTTCTATAAAGTGCTTGGATAAAAGAATCTTACATGGCTTATAAATCATAAATGGTGTGACCAATTAAAAACACATTTTAAAGCTGAAGTCTGTAAGTTTTTAAAAATCACTTTTTTGTCATATTGGCTAAAACTGTCCCTATGCCCAGACAGCAGTACATGTGATATGTAACCTGTAAAAAAAACTGCTTCAATTGGTACCCCGCCTACTGCCTGTATTTCAATCTGGAAAGAATAATTCGGGACGAGTCAAAACAACCAATCACAGCCAGAGGAGCGTCTGATGGAGTGTCAATCACAGCTCACATACGCTGAATCCCGACCCCCACCCCCCCCCCCCCCCCCCCACCCCACCCCCCCCACCCCCCTCCTGGTCGCATGCGGTAGCCGCGCAGATGCTGTGAGAGGGGTGGAGCTTGGAGGTGGGGCATGAGTGAAGCAGAGAGGGTGGGGGAGTGGAGTGAAACCTGTTTTTCTTCAAATTTTCAGTCGAAGTCCGCTCTCTCCTCAATGTTACAGACTGCAGCTTTAAGGTTTATTTAAAAACCTGCACAATAAAAAGTTTTGTTTTTTCTTTTGTTTAAAAATACCCCTGAGACTGGACATGTAAAACCTTGCTAACCTTGCTAAGCTCCACCTTTAAGTTGTACGGATCACTGCCAAGCTGAAAGAGAGCCTTTTTGAATCTCTCAACAAGACGCCGTTTGATGTTGTGGTGCAATGTTGGTGGAAGCTGGAAATGAAATAAAACCCATAAAATGTTAATATGCTTCCATAATATCTTGTGGACTAACATGGATTTAAAGGAATATATAAGTAGCTTGTTTTTATTTGAGCTGTTGTCTTAATAAAATAAACCAAAATGTACTGTACTTGAGTTATAAAGATGATTTTGTGCAGCTGCACAAGCAGCCGCTGGATGGGATCATCAATCAGTCGCAGTTTCCTCTGCGACACACAGATTCCCACAGACACTGAAATTAAAGGAAAACAACTCATCTTGGCTGAGAAAATAAACACATTTTATATTACATGACGTAAACATGTCAACTGTTCCTGCACTCCTGATGTCTTTGTTACCCTAACTTCTATTCTAGTCCTGAGGAATAATCCTGCAACTTTTTGATGCACCCCATTTTTAACACACCTGAATCAAATGAGGCTCTGCTGAGCTATATGAGGGGATTGAGCCTTTAGATTCAGGTCTGTTAGAGAAGATATGCATCTAAAAGTTACAGGATGGCAGCTCTTGAGGATTAGACTAGAGCACCCCTGCTCTATTTTATGTCATAAATGTATTTAAAACCAGATGTTGAAATGGTACCTTTTCTCGGTTTTATGTTTGAAGCAGTAAAATCACCACTGAAAAAAGGAGGAAGTGAGAGAAGTATTTTAACAGAGTCATGCACCTATGAACAGGCAGCCATCTACTGTTGCGCTCTAACCAGAGGAGGTTATAAAGGTATGTTCAGTAAATGCGACACAAATGTTAAAAAGAGTGACATGTCCATTTTCACCTACCCGGCTTCAGTCTGATCCATTCTGACACAAACACAGGGCTCTTAGTTTAGATTAAACAGAAAAGGGTTGGTGATTAAAATCCACATAAACTGCAAAAAAAACCGACAGTAACAAGATAACAAGCTGTATAAATACAAAAAAAAACGATACTTGGATAAGAATAAGGACCTCTATATGACATCAATGAACAGCTACTTAGAAATGTATCACTACAAATAAATAAGAATAAAAAAAACGTCCTTCAGAGCAAAGGTAATCAGACTATATAAAACCCTAGTTGAAGTGAGGCGGTGTGGTACTGCTAGCGTGAGGCCAGTTTGGCCGATTACTAAGTATCCCTGGTGCATGCACGCTCCACTTTATCAATAATTCTGCTACCATTCTCCCTAAGCTGCACTCATGACTTCAATTTGCAGCAAGGCTAATCTCAACAGAAGAGTTGTTCCTACTTTGAAGTGCATGCTGGGAAACCAACTCCGGTCCTGAAAACAGCAAAACTTTGCTGCATTCTGAGTTACTTTGTCTGCTATTGGTCATACAGTTGCTGTATTTGGTCAGAAATTACAGCAAACATTAGTCGTAAAACGCTGTTTAAAAGGTCCATTTACATAAAAAGTTAACTCCTCTAAGATTCTCATAATAAATTCTAGAATCAGTAATCGACTGGGTTTCAGAATATCATCAGATTCTAAGCAGTGCGTCACCTTGACTGTTTGGCTGCATCATTTCTCCAGAGCTGCAGCCTGCAGAGGAGTTTTGAGCCAAATATTCTGACTCTTTTAGTCGTTTTTCCTACAAAAAAAATAAAATAAAATCCAGAGCACTTCTCAAAGCTATATGTTAAAAATATAGCTCTTAGAATCCAGGTTTACCATGACTGAGTGGCAGTAGTTTTTCTTGCTTTGTAGCCTTTCCATTAAACACTTCTGTGTTCTTTTCCTGTCTTTATCGGCTCTTCGCTGCAGTGCATTCTGGGAGGTGTAGAGTCCATCCATCAGCCTCATCATAATGTCAGTAATCTTGGAGCTGACGGCTACGATGTCCGGCCGCTGGTCTGCATCTGAACTCAAACACCTAACGGATTAGCAAACAGTAATTAAAAGTGTGCAAACTTCAGCTGGAGGACACTTGACAACTTCTGGGCCTTCAGCTGAAGTCTCACCATCTGATCATATCTGTGAGCCTCGCTGTAAACATTCCCTCTTCAACTGGCTTATAGGCCCCTTCAACAATCTGTCAGTACAGACCAACCAATCAAAGATGAGCTACTCAGAATACAAATAAAAGCATTTGAGGTTAAAGTATGTGACATATTCATGCTACCATGTTTGCAAGGGACAGCATATTGCTGCTGTAGAACGGAGGTTGTAGAGTTGCCATCTGGTACAGGAGGCAGCCCAAAGCCCAGATGTCAGCTTTCTCTCCATATGGTTTGTTCTGCACCACCTCTGGACTGTCACAGCAAGCACCAAAACATGAACACAATTGCAGAAAAGATAACTTTTCGCTTAAAAGCCTAAACTTTATCACAAGCAGCACTTTAGATTTTCAGAGTTTAAAGTGTTTCAAAAGAGTTGGGATAAAAACATGAATTGGAAGGCATAAGAGTGGAATTAGAATTATTCTTTCTATTAACACTCCTATTTGAAAAAGTCTGAGGTCTCCAAACCAAAACTTATCAAAATGAAAGCAAAAACTATTGCATACTATGATGCATTCTTTCTTACAGTCAATACTTGACAAAGAGTATTTCCCAGTTGAATATTTTTTCTTAAGAGCAGCTGTCATTTTGTGAGTAGGAGATAAGAGTACTGCAATAAACTGAATATATTTAACCACTTGTGGTTAGAACCAACACATTCTAACCACTAGTGCAAACAGTGCATGTGTAAATGTGATGGTGCTGTATGTCTGCTGCAATAGATGATCCAAACCAGTTCCAGAAAGACACTGACTATCCATGAACCTTCTAGACGTTGTTACACTTGACTCTTTATTTATTTTTATTTTTTTTTACTTGGCTCTATTTGGATCATGTTACATTTAATGTGGTTTTAAAATAATAGTAAAATACCGCTCTTTGAAGTATAAAAAAAGTTCACATCAGCATTTTGATTGAATTGATTATATTAAAAGAGCTCATACTAATTGGGTATAGGTTTGGTAAAATGCCATTTTCAGCCTATGAGCTGAGTTCGCTGTATCTCTAAACTGCCTCCAAATGGCAGCAAAAGCTCCATTTGGAGTGAGTGATTTGCTGAGAAGTATTCTCACCAGGAATACAGGATGGTACCAACCACTGACGTCAGCTCAGTGTTCTCCTGTTTCTGCTTAGCGAGCCCAAAATCAGCTTCAAGCAGAGGGACATATAAGGGTTTAATCCTTTGAACAAGAGAGGACAGGACTGCGATACAGAAAGAGGATGTGGTGATCGCTAACACTCACTGATGGTGACTTTATCTTTCTCCCCCAGCATGATGTTGTTTGGTGAGAGGTCACGGTGAATTATTCTCTTCTCTTTGTGCAGGTACCTTAAAGCCAGGCACATCTGAGGGGAAACAGAATTGATTTGACATTTAATCTGGATTTTAAAATGACTTTGGTGAGATTAGAATAATTCCACTCATTCAACCATCTCCACTATGCCAGAGGGGAATATCCACATTTTATTTAATGGGTTACATTCAGACCAAGAAAAAAATATGCACAGAAACTGATCAGAAAGAATTAGATTCAATGCTGAATTTTGTATCAGAAAGCATAAATAAATCAATTTGAAAATGTTGTGATATTTTGATGAAAGTGAATTATATTGTAGTGCTTCTAAGCTGGGAGTGCATTTTCTGTCACTCTAATTTTTACAACCCTTCTTGTCCCTCAGGTTCTGACTTTACCCCATTTAGTGAACAAATTCAGACCTTCTGTTTCATATCTTATTATTCCAAAAATTATGATTTTCCTTATTGATGTTGTTTCTTCCACACTACTCCTCTTAAGCTAAGATTTCATCTTCTTAAATCACATAACTTATGGGTCATAAATGTGTTTCTTTGTTGCTCAGATATTGCTGTAAAACAGGAACTTATCTAATAAGTTTTTCATGGAAAACTAAGTTCAAAACTTGTACCTGTATGAATATGTTCCAAATTCTGTCTTCAGTGAATGTTTGTTGTTTGTCCTTCAGTGAATTAAAATGTTGAGCCAGTGGCACACCCTCAATCAGCTCCATTACAATGTAAAGCTTGTCACCTATAACATAGAGCATGAAGGGTCTTTTTTGGTTTGAATGAAAACAGTCCTGTTGGTCCAGAATGCTATCATCCTCACCTTCCAAAAATGCTTTATAATATTTAACTACGTTTGGGTGCATCATCTAGAAACAAAATAAAAAAAAGATAATTACTTCTCAGCCAAATAAAATATATTGAAATATATCTGAACAGATGTTTACTGCGTTGTGTACCTGTTCTTTGATGATTGTAAGCTCAGAGATGATCTTTTCCACATTGCTGTCTCTGGATTTCTTGTCTTTGCCAAACACAGGATTACGCAGGTTTACCTCCTTTAGAGCCAGAAAGTTCTGCCCGGCTTGCTTTTGGACCTGTCATTGAGAGCATATTAGGTGAAATCTACACGCTCTGAAAACATTACGAGAATAAAAATACAATCAGCAGATTCTGATGGAACATTTACTGAACTTTAAAGACACTTCCAAAAGCTCCAGAGCCCAGGTGGTCCAGTATGGAGTAACCACCAATCACTCTGAGCGGAGGCCGGGTCTCGTCCACAGCATCAATATTCTCTCTCAGACTATTCAGCTCCTCTTCCTGCAATTAAATATTATTTATATGTTTGGAAAAAATCCCGCAAGAGTCAGCAAATACAGCGCCCTATGGATATACTAGCTCTTCTGGTGAAAATGTGTAAAAAACCTTGAATTAAACCAAATCTATTGTTTATTAAAGTCGCATGAATTTGTACTGAAATATCTAATAAGAGGGAAAAAAACTCTACTGAAAAAATACACATTTTAACCAATTCTCAGGTAGCACCAGTGACCTTTATTTATTTTTTTTTTCCTTTTATAATTCTTACCATCCTCATCATTCATTTTAAAGGGGCAAAAGTAGGTTCTTATCCGATCTGGTAGACTACTAGCAGGAGACTCGCAGAAAGTATAATCCACTAAACAAAGGAAGGTGCTAACGAAAAATAGTGCTTCAGTGAAATTTATTTTGGAGTTCTTATCAGATGTAATGATGACAATGGTAAACAAATACATATCTCTTTATACAGGGGATATTTTCCTGTAAAAAAATACTAAAAGGACAGATTTGGCTTAAGCACTGTGAGATTATGCTGCTGTAATAAAAGTTCAATTTATTTCAAGGTTTATTACACATCTCTGTCAGATGTTTCAACGATTGAGACATTATTATCACCTCATTCTAACCCAACAAACAATAACTCTTTGTTCTTACAGAGTATAGTGAAACTTTGGTCTGCAGCTCCTCGTAAACTGTGAGATCTCGCACATAATGCCCAACATCAATAAACAATTCAAAGAGGTCTGTGGGAAAGAGTCTGAAAGGGATAAAGGGTTAAAGAACAGCTGTCCATGATCAGAGTGTTTTTTCTGACAAATATTGAATACTACAGTTTAAAGATTGCATAAAAGTTTCTCACAATTTTTTTTTTTATGAAAAAAATGGTTCCAACAGACTCTACAGACTAATAGTGGATGGAAGATAGGAGCATTTAAAAGACAATTGTGCACCAATTATGCTACGTCCAAAGAAATACCCTCAAACTAGCATTGTAGAAATACTAAACTAAATTAGTAGAAATCAATATCTTGTCACATGTTAATGAAACATAATACAGACAACAAAATCTACAAGAAAGACCAAACAAACAAGTTAAATTACTGAAATTAACAGTAAAGTTGATCAGTAACGGAACATTTGACATTTGAAACCAAGAACCCAAAATGCAAAGTCAAAACCTGAAAGCAAAACTTGACCATGAATGTCACAGTGGCATTACCTTTTAAACAGATATCTGTTTCTTTCAACGCTAAAGAGGAATCTTAGAGCTCGGAAGGCATAGCACTGCAAAAACAAAAGGTTAAGGTTTCATTGACTGAATAACGAAACACACACCTCTTGATCTGCTACATGAATTATTTACCTGTAAAGAAATGTCTTCCGCTTCACAGTTTTTTGGCAAAATTAGGTTTGCAATGATATAGATACCATTTTCCTAAGAAAAGAAAAAATGCAGTTCCTTAAGAAAAAAATTTTTATGGATTTTTTTGTGTGTGCACTTTGCTTAAGAACTCTACCTGCACAATGTGGTGAGCAGACATGTCATCCAGACTCAGCTCAGTCAGAGCTGTACAGCAGGCTGAAACAGAAGCAGGAGCACAAACATAAACTGTTTGGCAAATCTCACACACAGCGACATTTACAACTGTTTAATTCTCAATAACAGAGTAAATCTTAAACTCCAGTCATGTACAGACACACTATTATAGTAGTTAATCAGTGTGTTTATTCCTAAATACAAATTCTGAGACAGGAAATGTACAATCAGCCTGTAAAGCTGTACAGTTGAAACAGCCTCAAATGCCTCAGGAAATATCTGTTTACATTCTCAACTACTGATAAGACTTCCCTACAGGGAGAATTATCCTTATTGTGCAGTAAAAATAAAAACTAGAGCTTTTTTATATCATTTTGCATTATTACCAGCCTGCTATTTTCCTTGGTAAATTTGAACACAATTGTTTTTTATAAACGATTACTGTGGGGCACATTGTGTGATAATCTACGGAGTAAGGTCACTGACCTGACTGTAGAGCCGCCATGTTCTGCACCTTCTCATATGGTCCAAGCTCCTCACTTGTAAGTTCTCTGGAGAACTGAGGGGGTTTGCTGGGAGCGGGAGGCATCTCCATGGCTGGATGATCAGAGATATGCTGCCTATCATTGAGAGAGTTAATTGCCCAGAGATTAAAAAAGAGACATAATGACGCTATTTTCTCCATTTTTGTACAACAGGGAAAACCTCTAAAAATTATGTTATAATCATAGCAGTATTTCAGTTTTTAGTTCAGTAAAGTATATTCTTTTACATTTGCTAGTATTGATAACCTATCCGATGTAGAACATCACATAACACAGTTTATCAAACCTGGTAAAGCTACTTTAAAGCCCTCAAATAATTACTTTTTATTACAATATTATCATTTTCCACTGAGAAATCTGTATATACCCTATCTTTAATTTGAGTCCATTGATTCATTAGGGTGAAACATCACGTTATAGGAACAATTGTTTTCAACAAATTTGTACCTCCACTTTAGACATCCACATATGAATACATGTAATTGAGCTTTTATTGTCATTACACTGTCATAAGTACACAGCAACTAAATTCACTCTCTGCATGTAACCCATGCCCTTGGGGAGCAGTGGGCTGCCATTCTCAGGCGCCCAAGGAGGAGTGTGGGGGTTAAGGGTTTTTGCCCAGGTACCCAGAGTGGCAGGCTGTGGGAGTGGGGCTTGAACTCAGAACCTCTGGATTCCAAGCACAATGCTCTAACCACTAGGCCGCCACTCTCAAATAATATGCCTTTTAAGTACTCAGTTTTGTGTTGATCTTGTGGGTTGAGTAATGAATACAAGAATATAGCTATATACCTTAATCTTAACCTGTATACAGTTAAGGCAGTAATCAAAAGTTTAAAACTATTTAAACTGTGACAAACAAGGCTGAATGAGGAACTGAAGTTAACTTGCAACCACACAAACCCCATAACAGCCATAAGATGGTATCTATGGCATCCAGATGCTAAGTGACCATTGGCCAGTGTGGCCAAATAAAAGCCTTTTTACATCCTTCTACCACAGACGTAAACATGCAGAGTCTGCTTAATACCTTCGAGGCTTTAACTGGTATGCATTTTGCGAGCGTTTGACCTACAAACATTCGAGGTAGACCTGGTGGTGAAACAAGAGCTAAATATGAGGAAAAGCACCTTATACCAAAGTATCTACTCAACAGCTGGTTTCACTTTCATATGAAATGGGCCGTCTTTCGCAGCATCAAGCATCTGTGAGGTCATAGATTGATGTTGGTAGAAAAAGCCTGGCTCTCAGTCTCAGCCCAAATTCCTACCAAAGGTGTTCCATCGGGTTGAGGTCAGGGCACTGAGCAGGACAGTCAAACTGACAAGTACTGCTCAGATATAATTCGTGCAACAAGACTCCTCTTGCAATTCTCAAGTGATAAGTTATGTGAAACGTTGAGAAATTTGTCTATACTTCATAAAAGAAAAAAAACAGCATAGAGTTAGCATGCTGCTTTTTGGCCTTTTCTCTGATATTAATTTCAATATTTCTTCACATCAGTTCTGCAGCAGTTTGAGTTTGCTGTTGGACTAACCACAAACCTTTATAAAGCAATCACACTTATAATCAGAAATGACTGCAGTGCTGCAGTACTAACTATAATCTTTGATCATAAACTCCTTGAAAACATAAAAGATTGCAATAAAATCTCATTTAGAAATTTGTTTCACTTACATGTTGAGCAGACGGAGGAGCTGCTGCACTCCCCCCCAGCTCCGGATCTCAGCCCTGTTGTCTGGATACTCGCATAGCTGGACCAGGACCCAGGTGACGCTCCACAGCAGCTTCAGGTTCCTGCAGTGCAGGAGGCTCAGCAGCACCGGTACTCCCTCCAGCTCCTTTAACTGGTCCCTCACATGTTGGTCTGAAGACAAAAGCCTCAGCAACTCAGCACTCATTCTGCAGGAAACACAAAGTTTTAGATTATTTGGTTCATAACTTTGTTACAATGTTTCTTCAAAAATGTTTCAACACAGAGCAAATTCATTAATAAAGATATTTATTAAAATGTCTCACCTCTTTAAGATCAGGTCATATTCCTGCAGTATAATAAGAAGTCTTTCCACGATTTGTAGCTTTCCGATTTCTGTCCTGTATTCAGAGCTACAGGAATCCAGGATATTGGAAAATTTATATATATTTAATATCATTAACTTTGATTGTAAAAGTATGCATACCTCTCAGCCAAAGCTGTAAGTGCAAGAATGGCTCCCTGTAACACACCACAGTCTGTCGAGGAGAGGAGTGTCGCCAGGGTCTGACAATATTAAAAGTAGAAACTCATTTTCCACTCTATATATGAAGTTTTTGTGTAGATATACTATTTTTGTTGATGTTTAGGTTGAAAGGTGTTTATATAAAGTCAGTCTGAGTCTAGCAGGAAATGACTAATTATGTTCAGTGTTCTAAAATGCAACTGTTAATCCACCTAAAAATAAAAATAGGCTTTCCTGAGCATATTGAAATAAAAATTACCCTGTGTGCACCACTCTGAATGACCCAGGACCTTTGATTATTAGCAGATGACAGCTTCTGAAATATGTCTGTAAAACAAGCAAAATCAATGATGCTGTTGTTTTTGAGAACAAACTCAGCCCCAGTTGTCAGCATCCGTGTAATTCTGCATTCAGAGCACTTACAGGTCATTGTAACCAGCCTCTGAGTATCATACACCACCTCCTCACCACATGATATGTACTTGGCTGTCACAGACTCCAAGTACTGCAGAGAAACAGAAGGCCAGTAAGCGTGGTATGAGATATATTTGGATAAAGAGGTTGCTTGAGGTTATAAATAAAAGCTTAAGGCATTTACCCTCGCAAGAAATCGGGTGCCGTTGAGCTCATGAAGAATTTTCTTTAAAAAAAAGAAGAAAAGAAAAATAAAGTCAAATTAATAAATAAAATAATCACATTAATTTATATTACAGTAAATGTTTTATTTAAAAACAACAACAACAAAAAAATTATTTTCTGGTTTTTACCTGATAGTTGGGATCTCTGATCAGCAGTCGAAGGCAGATAAGAACTCTATGAACCGCTTCAGGAGGTGCATGGTTGATCCACTCACTTTAATACAGGAAATTATGATAATCAATTAATGTCTTGAATATGAATAGCTATGAAAAGGTCAAGTATTTCATTTTAATTTACCTGCAGAGTCTATTTTTTACCAATGATGTAAGAATGTCCAGGAACAGTTTACTTAGAGGGTGACTGCTGAAAGATCTTTGATCTTTGAATGCTATGCTGGAAATAGAAAGTTTTTATCAGTAGCACTACAGGTAGACTGCATACAAAGATGGATGTTTGCTTTTAATACTTTAAGAAATTAAAAAGTAAAAGAGTGTGTTAGACAATTCAAAATATTATAGTTGTAAATGTAAATCCTTTTTTTTGTCCCACTATTGGGAAATTCATTCTGCAATTGACCCATCTCCTTGGGGAGCAGTGGGCTGCCATTGTGTGGCACCCGGGGAGCAGTGTGGGATTAAGGGTTCTGCTCAGGAACCCAGAGTGGAGGTTGTGGGGATCGCACCTGCTACTTGCAACCTTCTCAGAACACAAGCGTACTGCTCTAACCACTAGTCCAACAGTCCCACAAATATTATAGCTGAAAATTATAATTTGATGCAGGAGTTTTTTTTTAAGCCTAATTGTGCCTAGGCTGCTCAGGGGCGCAGTGGGTCGCACCGCTGACTTGCAGCAAGAAGGTTTCGGGTTTAATTCCTGGCCCAGGGTCTTTCTTCATGGAGATTGCATGTTCTTCCCTAGTACTCCAGATTCCTCTCAAAGTCCAAAAACATGATTGTTTGGTTAATGGGCTTCTCTAAATTCTCCTAGGTGTGAGTTTCTGAATGGTTGTTTGTCCTGTGTGTCTCTGTGTTGCCCTGCGATGGACTAGCAACCGGTCCAGGGTGTACCCTGCCTCTGGCCCTTACACAGCTGGTAATAGGCACCAACACCCCTCGTGACCCCAGCAGGGATAAAGCGTGACAGAAAATGGATGGATAATTGTGCCAGATTTGTACATGTTGCAACTTAGGTTTATAACACATCAATAAAACATTGAAGAGCTCCCCAAGTGTACAAATAACTCAGTTTATTAAAATTCTTGTATGGCTATTTTGCTAAATAGTTTTTATTTGATATTGAGTTTTTAGCTTACTAATTGTTTTTTTTTTTTTTTTTTTTTTTACTTTTTCTTTACATGTATGCATCAAATAAAATAACATAAAATCATGTCTAACTATTTGCATGAGTTTTTTCTAAAACAGAAAATTTTTTTGCAAATATTTGTTTATTCACTTATCTTTCTTTTGCTGAATTGGGAAAGGGCAGTTTACTGTCCAACCAAGCAAAGTGAAACCATTAGCTATTTGGGTAGTTTTAAAATCCTGCAGACAATGAAACCAGCATCTAAGTAAAGCCTGCCAGTACATCAAAGTACAAAGGGCTCAGCTATTGAACTAACTCAGGACTAAAGAAAACAAACTGGACCAAAACGTGAATTATATTACTCCTCAAATCTTTATTGACTGGAGAAACTTCAAGGCCTCAGCATACCTGAATTCTTACTCTCCTCTCTTTTTTCATCCTTTGATACCTCAAATAAAAATGTTGTTTTCACCTGAATAGAGAACTTTAAGCACCACTCCAGTTCGCTTTTCCTAAAGCATTACCCCCAAGCTGGAGACCTTCCCTAGTCTGACTCAAACTTTCACTTGTTTTTGATTCACTGTGCTTAGTTATTCCAGATTGGCTCCTTCTCCCTCTGTACCACTGTAAATAAACATTTACATACTTGGAAGAAGCACTCTAACTTTAAATTAAATAGTTTGATTTGAGTCTAAAGGCAGTATTGTGGGATAAATTTACACGTAATTGAGAGATACATATAAATGTATGCTACACATATATATATAAAACCTGAATTTTTCCAGTTGAGTCACTTCACTGCTGAGGTCGCTGTCATTCCTGAGCCTGCTGATGTGCTTTGGAGAATGTGAGGATCTGATGGTTCTGCTGCTGACGGCTTTACTATGAGTCGGTGATGATACCTTTAACACAAAGAAAATCTCACAGCTTAAAATATCTGACAGGAGAAAAATTAACTTATGTATATTATGACAGTGTTAAGACACGCTTCTTCAATGTGGTGTCATGTGCTGCCTTTCACCTCCTGTCTGGGGCTGCTTTTGGCAAGCAAGGATTGGAGCTTCCTTAGATCATAAGATGCCCTAGAAAACATGCTTATCAGATGATTTGCTCCTATCAGATCAGGAAAATAAAATTATAATTTGTTAAAAGAGAAAATAGTCTTACTTGCTTTGGATTAATGAGGATTTCAGGGGCGGCTTTTCTTCTTGTCTTACTTTCCTGGTCAAGTTGAACATTTTCTGCGTTTTACATTTTATTTCCATGAGCAGCACATGCTAAATTTAGCCAAATATATATATATTTTTTTATCTGGTCTGCTCAGCCAGACACTTCCCACTTCATCAAATAAAGAAGCCCCGAATGAAGGTACTCTCAGAGTTATCTACTTGGTCAAACAAAACGCAGTTTTCTGAAAATCTATTGCTGTCGAGGAGATTCTTTGGTTTCTCGCCGTTAAAAACACGGACTGTAAATTCTAAGAAATCCAATTGCTTCCTAATCAAATATCCCGGAGTTACATGGGCTATATTTCGTATTCGTAGTGGATCTCACGGCAAAAATACCAGTTAATGTAAAAGAAATGCATTTTCATCTCCAAATAGCCGTGGTTGCCATGGGTACAACTGACGCTGGCAGCTGTCTGTAAGCACTTGGCTGGTTCAACGTTCAGTTGTTGTTTGAGTTTATTAATTTATGAATATTTTTGTTTCAAAGTCTGTAATAAAAGAAATTAGAAAATATACGTTTTTATATACGTTTCTGAAAAGTTGCCAGTGCTGTCGTAATAAAACCATTTATTTATTTTCATGTGGTTTATGACCTATCGCGATAACGCAGTTCTACTCAAAGGAATTTTAAGATATCACGAGACTTATAATGCCTCCCCACTGCCTGTATTCACGTAGAGTTTACGACAGATTCTTAGCCGTAGCTGCGTTGGGTGTGAAGGCTCCTGCGTGACTCATTGTGCGTAGGTTAAGCAAAAGTTGCGAGGGGGAATGTCGGCTTGTGAATGATCGGTGTTTGAGGCGGCAGGGACGTTATGGGTGAGACTACACTGTTACCTGAGGTTACAGCTTAGGAGAAAAACTCCTTTTAAACGGTTGTGTGTATGGTTTTACTTAAAATTCGTTGCACTGTGTGAGCAATTTGCTACTGTTTAGCTACGACAGTTGTCGGAGCAACCAACGCCCAGTCCGCCTCCACTTGGATGGCTTGCTATGCTAGCAGGCTAGTTTTAGCTTCTGCTCGCTGTATAAACCAACGGGAGTGTCATTTCCTGTCGTTAGCTTTGTAGCGAACTATTTTAGCAAACGCCTCCTTCTGTCCTTTATCAGTTGTTTGAATAGTATAACATAATCATTGGTTTTACCTATCTGCTTTTGAAATTTCCTCTAGAAAAACAGCAGTCAAAAAATAACTAATTTGGTTCAATGTCGTATTTTGGATGAAACAGCTTGCTACAATGCTAAGTTTTATGCCCTGAAGTTACGGGTAAATGACAGGAAGCGTTTGCGAGCTGCTGTGGGTTACTGTAAGATTAAATTCACCCATTTAAGGTCCCAAAGAGCAGGAATTTGTTTTTAGATGTATGTTCAAGTTCTACTTCCATTAAGCTGATATGACTGGGTCATTTGTTTTAGCCAGGCAGAATCAGACCTGATGTCAGGTTAGACATAAGGAGGTTAAGGCTGCCATCTAATCTGGATTACAGTGGATCTAGCACCTGAGTGTTTATGCTTTGACTTTAAAGTTAGTTGCCTTTGCATTGAGAGCCGGTAAATTAAAGGACTGCATTTGATATATTGGTTTACTTTTAAACTGAACATATTTGTTAGTCAAGTAATAAGAGGCCCTCTAACTCTGCACAAAGACTCTACAGCTAAACTTATCTTCCACCTGCCACCACTTCCTCTGGTAGAACCCCGAGATTCTACCGGAAAGGAAACACGGTTGTGATTTGAAATTACAGCTATCTTTTTAGGTAGGTCTGGAACATCACGATTAGCTGTCAGGTTAACTAGTTTTAGAGCTTAGTTAAGTTGTGACCCCAGCCTGATACTACTAACACTGAGCTACTCACCCTGGAGACAAATCGGTATTATCATGTCTTAGAATCGCACTTGAGACGAGTGGGCTGGTTTTGGCAGGCAGAGGATGTTCTGGTATAAGAAGCAAAAATCCTCTTCTAGCCACAGGCTTACAGAAATGGCTGTATAAATGTACGGTGCTTGCTTTATGGTGCTGTTGACATTTAAGAAGCAAGTGAAGTGGAAAAATGTAAAAGTCTGGCCAACTGTATGTTTTTACAGTTGCTTGGATCATGAATATATTTACCCCAAAGCCCCAGAGCCTAAAACTCAAAAGTATGACATTTGTTTGTCAGATGATCTGATATTGATTTAGCTTTTTCTTTTGTTTCTTTTTTTGGTGACCTTGTGGATACTGAATCTTTCGGCATGCTGCAACCACATGATGATGATCAACACAATGCAGCTGTAAGTATACAATGGTTCATGATTTATGCTTTATATTACTGTTATTTCACAATAGTAACTATAATGCATAATGTGGAACAGCTGCTTTAATGTAGGGTACCATGCATAACCTCCAACTTAAGTGATGAATACTATATGATTTAAAACAGATAAGCTTTTCTTACAGCAACAAAAGAACCTGGAAGGATATGTTGGCTTTGCAAGCCTCCCCAACCAAGTGTACAGGAAGTCCGTCAAGAGGGGCTTTGAGTTCACCCTGATGGTTGTGGGTAAGAACACTCTCTGCTTGGCCCTCAGTTTACTCTTGTATTAATTGAATAATCTTTTTGTTCCTTGTGGAAGACATTTAATGTTGTTTTGTGTGTCTTTTTGTTTGTGTTGTTGTTTTTAAGAGAATGATGCTGATGTTCATGTCTCTCACAGTGCAGGACCACATCTTTGTCATCTCAAATAAGTTTTAGTCTTTGGATTTCTGCCCTGTTTTATCTTTAACAGATTCTTAAAATAGTCGTGCAATAGCAAAACGTTTGGTTTGGAGTTTTCTAGAACTACAGGTGCTGGTCATAAAATTAGAATATCATGAAAAAGTAGATTGATTTCAGTAATTCCATTTAAAAAGTGAAACTTGTATATTATATTCATACATTACATACAAACTAATATATTTCAGATGTTTATTTTGTTTAATTTTGATGATTACAAATGACAACAAATGAAAATCTCAAATTCATCATATCAGAAAATTAGAATATTGTGAAAAGGTTCAAAATTGATGGCCCCTGGTGCCACACTCTAATCAGCTAATTAACTCAAACCACCTGCAAAAGCCTTTAAATGGTCTTTCAGTCTAGTTCTATAGGCTACACAATCATGGGGAAGACTGCTGACTTGACAGTTGTCCAAAAGACGACCATCGACACCTTGCACAAGGAGGGCAAGACACAAAAGGTCATCGCTAAAGAGGCTGGCTGTTCACAGAGCTCAGTGTCCAAGCACATTAATAGAGAGGCGAAGGGAAGGAAAAGATGTGGTCGAAAAAAGTGTACAAGCAAGAGAGATAACCGCACCCTGGAGAGGATTGTGAAACAAAACCCATTCAAAAATGTGGGGGAGATTCACAAAGAGTGGACTGCAGCTGGAGTGAGTGCTTCAAGAACCACCACACACAGACGTATGAAAGACATGGGTTTCTGCTGTCGCATTCCTTGTGTCAAGCCACTCTTGAACCACAGACAGCGTCAGAAGCGTCTTGCCTGGGCTAAAGAGAAACAGGACTGGACTGCTGGTGAGTGGTCCAAAGTCATGTTCTCTGATGAAAGTAAATTTTGCATTTCCTTTGGAAATCAAGGTCCCAGAGTCTGGAGGAAAAGAAGAGAGGCACTTCATCCACATTGCTTGAAGTCCAGTGTAAAGTTTCCACAGTCAGTGATGGTTTGGGGTGCCATGTCATCTGCTGGTGTTGGTCCATTGTGTTTTCTGAGGTCCAGGGTCAACGCAGCCACATACCAGGAAGTTTTAGAGCACTTCATGCTTCCTGCAGCTGACCAACTTTTTGGAGATGCAGATTTCATTTTCCAACAGGACTTGGCACCTGCACACAGTGCCAAAGCTACCAGTACCTGGTTGAAGGACCATGGTATCCCTGTTCTTAATTGGCCAGCAAACTCTCCTGACCTTAACCCCATAGAAAATCTATGGGGTATTGTGAAGAAGAAGATGCAATACACCAGACCCAACAATTCAGAAGAGCTAAAAGCCACTATTAGAGCAACCTGGGCTATCATAACACCTGAGCAGTGCCACAGACTGATCGACTCCATGCCACGCCGCATTGCTGCAGTAATACAGGCCAAAGGAGGCCCAACTAAATACTGAGTGCTGTACATGCTCATACTTTTCATGTTCATACTTTTCAGTTGGCCAACATTTCTATAAATCCTTTGTTTTTATTGGTATTCAGTAATATTCTAATTTTCTGATATGATGAATTTGAGATTTTCATTTGTTGTCATTTGTAATCATCAAAATTAAACAAAATAAACATCTGAAATATATGAGTTTGTATGTAATGTATGAATATAATATACAAGTTTCACTTTTTAAATGGAATTACTGAAATCAATCTACTTTTTCATGATATTCTAATTTTATGACCAGCACCTGTATACTCAGCATGTCAGAAACGGTTGCTTCTTTTCTTAAATGCCTGAATGTGGCTGTTGCCTGAGCCAAGATGTTCCTCAGCCATATTTGGAGGGAAAAATGTGTCCCAGGGTCACAACCACTTCCTGTTGCGGGAATAACATAGTTTGTGCTCAGCATGCCTCTAAAGAACACTGCATCATGTTCACAACGGACAGTTATTTCTAAGTGACTTTGACCTTTTTTATTTCGGTTTTTGGGGTCATAAAAGTTCACTTTGAATTTGCTTTCACCCAAACTTAGAGATGCATCCATCAGTCTGCTGTATAATGGAAGTGGTCATTGATTGTCTCCGACTGCTAATTGGCAGGTTAAATACAGAAAAAACATTCAATTAAGGAGTCAAAATGAGCTACCCTAATTTATAGCTTGAGCTTTGATGTGCTATATATTAAAATAAAGTGACGGTTTAATTCATATTCTTCTCTGCACAAATGAGGCAAATTCTCTTATTCCCTTGTTTTGTTTTTGATTTAAATCTGCCTCCTATATCGGATAATATTCTCTGCATTTTTATTATCTATTTGTTGTCTTTAGAATAAATTTAAAAAAATCTCTGAAAAGATAAAAATCTGAATTCACAGACCTCAAAGAAGACCAGAAACTGGAATGATTCAAGACAAGCCTGATTGGTGCATCTTTACATGCACAATGCTTTGTTCTCTGTTTTTCTCTATATCAATATTTTGAGAATAATCCCTGAGAAGATTAAAAATGTCATGGCAACAAGGACAGAAAAGGAGGTCCTCTGGGCTTTCTGATACTTAAAGGTGGGGTATATGATCCTGGATAAACGGTTCCTGCCAGCTACATTTTTGAAAATACACACCTTCAGCCCACCCCACGAAACCACGCCTCCAAATTACATGAATGCGCCTGCTGTCAGTCGAGAATGTTCGGATGTTCCCGAGAACGAGAAAGAAACAGGCCGAGACCTCGCGAGTGCACGTGACTCGGGATGAGGCGAGAAGCTCATGTCTATTACTAGCTAACCACAACATAACAGGCTAACTTCCATGATGGCGTCGTCTTCTCCTAGTACGGTAAGAGTGTTGAACAATTCAATATGGTCGTAAACAAGTTGTCACGGTTGTCATTTCAAGAAGTATTGATTAGGGTGACCAAACGTCCGTATTTCCCGGGACATATCCGTATTTCACGTCCTGTCCCGGGCGTCCCGGGTTTTTTTTAGAAAGTGAGGAAATGTCCTGATTTCACTGCGCACGACGCTCCGTGTGACGTAATCCCTGAGCCGCGTCAGTGCAGGCAGCCCTGTTCTTAATCAGAGGCTCTGTTCAAAAACCTGGGCTGCATCCTCCAAGGACGCGGTCTACCTAGACTGGACCCTTCGAAGTCCTTGAAAATAAGGAGACCACAAGAGTTCTGTCTGTAAATTCGAACAGGTCCTCCCTTCAGCGGCACTTGGGGGGGGGGGGGGGGTGTCACGAGTCTGTGAACGCGCAGGGGGGAGGGGTGGGGAGAGCTCAGAGCTGACGGTTGATGGGCGTGCCAGAAACCAGTAGAAGTAGGGATGATAGTTACTTCTATTGGTTTGCGTTTTCCTCTGACTACGCCCTCTACACTGGACTAAAAGATTTCGTTTTTTTTCCAAACATTCTATCTCAGTTGGCGCAATGGGCTCGTGAGGAGGTTTTCAATCAGTATGGTAAAAACATGCTCCAGAAAACATCACATACCCCACCTTTAAATGCATGCCATTGTTTTCGCACACACTCATACACATAGTGTTCAGCTGTTCTTGGCTCTGATATGCCGCAGGCCCACATGTCCTGCCGTTCCCACATGCGATGTGTCACTTGTTTGGTATAAAAGTGGAAAGGAGGAAGAGAGATTGGTACTGCATTACCATCCCTGACTGGCACATCTAACATGTGACCCACAACCTGTTCACACATTAGCGAGCTGCTCTTTTTAGATTTTTATAACAATTTCCTAATGCATTAACTAAATTAATATACCTATGTTACACAGTTATAGGCTTAAAATGATATGTTAGGTACACTTTCAGTTAAAGCGCATCACGTTACACTTTAACTGTCACTGTGGGCGTAAATGGTGCTTCGTTAAATATTGACTTCTGGCCGACAGCCAAGCCAGCCTGTGCCAGTGGTCATTTCAACTAATGATCCTTTTCACTGGGATCCTGGAAACAGGGCACACAATGGTCGGCCAAGTTTGAGAGGGCTGAGACCACACAGCCAGTCGTTGACGCATAACAAGAGCCATTGTCTACATTGTTTTTCTAGCCTTTTAACTGTTTAACCCAAATAGATTGATACCTCTAGAGAAAATCAGTCTCTGGAGCCAAATTGCCCAGGATTGTCTGAGGGAGATGGGATTGAAGTTTGACTTGAACATTTTATTCAAAAATAATATTCTAATACTTTAGTTCTATTTTAAGGCATACATGCGAGTATCTTCAAATACTGATGCATTTTCCCGTTTTGTCTTTTTGTTCCCAGGTGAATCAGGACTGGGGAAGTCAACTTTGATTAATTCACTTTTCCTAACAGACCTGTACTCAGCAGAGTATCCTGGACCTTCGCACAGAATCAAAAAGACTGTACAGGTACAGTTCTTAGAGAAAATATGTCAGTTGTTTTAAGATAAGCAAAATATGCCTCGCTATAACCTGTAAAAAGAATAGAAATCTAAATCAGCCAATTTTACTTTACTTTTGATTTTATTTATCTGTGACTGGATAATCAAATATTGAAAAAAAGAAAGTTCAGGGACTCATGTTTAGATGTCTAAAAGGGATAATCTTTTAATTCTCTGCTCATTTTAAGCTGCTGCATGTCTAAGTATTCCAGTCCTTTCTGTTTTACGTCCTCCAGTCTTGAGAAAATAAATCTGATTCAGTTGGTCAGACCCCATAAAAAACTGTTTATCGGTATTAACCAGGAAAAATATGATCTGTCCCCCTTTTAATTTCTGAATTTGGTTGAGTTGGTTGAGTTTTCAGCTCACAAATGCTAATCGTATGCAAACCTATAATATATTTATAGGTTTCTTAATATTCATAATTTCTCTTTGATCATGCAGTTTAGGGACCCAGTTATGGTGAATAAGAGTCGCTGCTTCTTTTTTTGTGGTATTATTCATGAAACACATGAACGTAAAGGGTCTTGGACAGTAAAGCTGATTTTACATCTCACTTTTTGAAGTCCCTGACCTAAATATCCATGAAACAAATGGCAAAAATTGATTTGTAAGAAAAGCAATGCATAATAACAATATATTTGCCCATCCAAATAGTTGAGTTAACACAGCTGGTAACATCGACCATTAGTCAAAACACAAGCGGAAACATAAAGAAAACTCATTTGAATCTCAGGAATACTGCATGGAGAGAGGTGTTGTTTTTTTTATTTTCATAATAATGTTTGAATTTGGGTTCATATGTTAAAGCAAGGTCCAAGTTGTGTATAGATGAGATATCTTTTTTTTTACTATAAGGATTAAGTCAATGCATTTTGTTTATCCTTTGTTGTTTTAAGTAGCCACTTTTATTTCTGTTTTATTTACCTTTTAGAAATTGCTGATCAATTCATTTTATTTATTAATTTGTCTCCTTTGTTAAGGATTTCTGCCACTTTACTCTGTCTTGGTCTTTAAATTTAGGTGTCAGGTATAAATTAGGGATGAGAGTAGTTACATGAATAATCCCAAAATTCAGCTTTTTTTTGCGCCACCATGATTTTAAGTATCACTCTAAAAATAAAGATGCAACTGAACTATTGGGTAACCTTTGTCCTACTTGGCTCTACAGTGATGGGACCAAACATTGATTTACAGCATTCACATTGTTCAGTTGGATTGAGGAACAGATTTGTTTGGACACTAAATTTACCCCGTTTCACATGTCGAGTGAAAAACAGAAGCAGAACAGATTTGCTTAGTGTCTTTTAAAAAGCTCTCTGTTATAATCCCCTCATAAAATAGATGCAATCAAATTTATCAGCCCCTGAAAAAGATGTTTTTATGATCATGCTTCTTAATACCGTCTTGAATTTTAAAGACCTGTGGTGCTAATTCCATCTGACTCATTTCTGAAAGCATTGCTAGCTCCAGGTGCTTATATGTTTTGGTGGTTTCTCAGGCTAGTTAAGCAATACCACGATATAAGAAGGCAGGTTAGTACACGTCGTTGCTGCTAAATATTTTCTGCTGCACTTGTAATATTGCTGTCTGTAAAGATACTGGCACATGATGACTTTATTTCCCTGCTTATTGTGCTCATGTCTTTAAAGGTACAGTGTTTTGGTTTTTCATAGCAGTGCTGTTCTTGTTATGCTCACTATGAGATAACTTACCTAGCAATTGATTTTGATTTAAAGAGCTTAGATTTCCAGCTAATCTTGGTAATCCTGAAGGCAATTGGTTGCAAAGGATTTTATTTAAATCACAATTATAGGAGTTAAAACGAAATTAAGACTTCAGGATAATCGTTTGTGAAATAAATGAATTCATAAATAGGTTCACTAGGTTTAACTTTGTGTTATAATTATTAATAATCTATAAGAGGGGAGGTCTTAAATACTTTAAGGGGTCTGAATACTTTTACCTGACAACTATGGTGTTTTAATCTTACAGAACAGGAGCAGAGTATAAAATGGGGTAATCTAAGATGTCCTCTTCTGTTGCAGGTGGAGCAATCTAAAGTCTTAATAAAGGAGGGAGGTGTCCAGCTGCTGCTCACAATAGTTGACACCCCGGGGTTTGGGGACGCCGTCGACAACAGCAACTGGTACGGATTGCCACAGCTGCCCCCTCTGGCATCTCTGCTCCCACATGTTTTAGACGTTTGTCACACTTTAGCAATATAAGCCATACAGTTGTTCCAAACTGAAAATTCAAGTTCATGTTTTTCTGCAGCTGGCAGCCGATCATCGACCACATAGACAGCAAGTTTGAAGACTACCTGAACTCAGAATCACGGGTGAACAGACGACAGATGCCTGACAGCCGAATCCACTGCTGCCTTTATTTCATCGCTCCCTCTGGACACGGGTGAGTTTAGAAGACTGGTCACTTTTTATTTCTTAGATCGTTTTATTACAATTTTCCATTCAGCTGCTAAAATATATGTTTTTTTTTTTTTGGAAAGGCAGCGAAAGGAATTCAGGAATACTACTTTGGAGAGTAAACTACTGGGGCAGGAAGGGTGTTAGAACAGTGATAGGAAATGAAAACAGAAATGGAGCAAAGGGGAGAATACTAGATCACCCGTGCCACAAAGGTCAGAGCAGCAGGTTTTTGTTTGGTTGGGTGACAGAATTAAAATAATTTCACCACTTTAACCATTCGTACTTGAAGTTAAAATGCTTGAACCCCTCCTGGCCTAAACTGTAATTATAGTGTTAGAAAACCAGTTTGTCTCGTAAAACAGAGCTTAGAATGTGAAAGGAAAAAAGAGATGTTCTGATAAAATGCCTAAGAAAAGATGCTGACTACCATCGGGTTCATAAAGAGGACTGTGCATGATTTTAAAATGTGATCTGGGGGTCCGCGACCCCTAGGAGGTCCACGGAGGTACTGCATGGGGGTTGCAAAGGTTTTGGTTGAAAGTTTTTTTTTTATTTTTTATATTCCCCTTTGCAATTATTTCCACTAATTGAAATGTCTTTAAATACACATTAACATGAAGTCAACACACTGTAGTAAGCAGATACATGGAGGCAGAAGATGTCGTTCAGTCATCAATACTCACATTCAGCGACACACAGGAGCTCTTTCAAGCTGGGCACTGTTTCATTCACACCTGTCCCATCAATGAGGAATCTGAATCAGAAATATTTTAATAATCCCAGGGTGAAATTACTCTCGTTACATGACTCCATATGTAATAGAGTGACTATAGGACCAGTTTGATATAACACAATTTCATACTATATATATATTTAGGCGGTCCCAGCTCCATCTCGCCAATAGTTTGGGCGTTCTCGGCCTGGAAAACGTTAAAGACCCCTGCAGTAGACAGTCTGCTGATGGTTGATGGCCGATATGAGCTTTTGATCTCTGTTGATGAAATCAATTTCCGTCAAATTACCAAAATTGAGAAAGTTAAGTGCTAATTTTCTTCCTTTGATAAAATCTAGTCTCTGCTAGAATGATAGTATTTTTTCCACATATGTTACTGTCAGAGTTCTGCATAAGAGTTTGCTACTGTAGTGTGGGCTTTTTTATGCCAGACCTCATATTTAAAATCTGCTGTTTGTGCTCATGCCCTTTATTTGACGGCTGTCCTTCTGTAAACGGGGAAAAAGACGCCGTCTCTTTTCTGTCCTTCTGTTTTCCCGTCTCTCTCAGTCTGTTCTCTCAGGGAACATTGTGTTTGTACAAGGCTGTGCTCTGTATGCACACAAGCATTACTGTATCACTGGAGGATGGGCACCGTATGCCCTCTCAGAGCATCCCCTCTGCACAACAGCCTGCTGTTCTCACACAGCAAACACTGACCTCAAGGAGGTGACTTGGGGGGCCTTCCAGCTCTTTCCTTAGATAATTTTCTTCCTCCTCCATACACAAAAGCTTAACTATAACTGTATGTAAACTTGACAAGCTTTTGCAGTTAAGGCCCACAGGAATACTTACGTCATGATACATCAATAAAAAAATGAAGCCACTTTACTAGAGAGTTGAGGATGATTATGGATAAACATGAAAGCCACAAAATGAAATGTTCTGGTTTATAAATACAGCTGTATTCTCAGTTCTGGCAGTATTGTAAGATTACTTCCCAATTGGCCCCAAGATCACAGACTCTTTCATCCATGCATTTTTTTTCCGCATCGCAAAGGGAAGCCATTTTAGTAGATGCTGTAATCCTTTCATGACTGAGAGGCCTCATCCGTCACTGAGGTCAGGCTTGAGGATGACAGAGCAAATGCTAATATATCTAAAGACCAGCTGAGTCAGACAGGAAGTCACACAATAGAGTTAAACAGATCTGGACCATTTCAAAATAAAAGGGGTTCAGAGGTATGAATGGGATCCTACACACGTTCAGTGAGGATGGCTGCATGGCGTTGCTCGTGATGGATGACAGCCATCACAGAACATAGTGTGAACTCAGAGGTTTCTGTCCAAACACTGTGGTGTAAAGCCTGGGATGTACTGTGCATTATTTTCAATTGTTGCTTGCAGCCCGGACTCAAATCGTGCAAATCAATCTCAGGTTTTAAAAGTTTGCAGCTTACGATGTCCTCACTGTGCAAACCGCTACTCGGATGCGATCCGACTACTAACTGTGCGCTCTCAAAGACTGGTCGGCATCTTGAACAATGAAACAAATGGGGGAGAGCTAGTAACAGAAGAAGACACTTCACTTAAATTTTTTGGTTATCTTTGCATCCGTAACATGAGAATGAGGAAAGAGTTCTCAGTCTGGATGTGTCAAGATGCGATTCACTCACGAGCTACGACCAAAATATTGAACAGGTTTGATTTTCTGGCTGCCCACAATTTCTGTCCAGGAGCTGGTTGTGCCAATGTCCTGTGATCCCCCCAAGTATACTGCACAACATGCGATTTAGCCAAGAGTCAGCCTGATCCCCAAACTTCTTGCATGGCTTGGGGAAAAAACAACAAGAAATTGCAGTGTGTGTGCAGGGCTTAAGGTGACCTTCCAGTATCTGAATTCGATCTTAGGAGAAACATCATACTGCAGTACTATTGTTTTATATTTATTTTTTATTTTCATAGCACCAAGAAACAAGTCAACTTAACAGGTGTGCAAGTGGAGCAGTGGTTAGTGTGCACGACCAATGTACAAAGACCTTAGTCCTCGAAGAGGCCGACCCTGGTTCAAATACGGCGTGTGGTCCTTTGCCGCATGTCTCTCCCCCTCTCTCATACCCCCTTTCCTGTCAGCATACTGTCAGAAAAATAAGCCACTAGTGCCGTAAAAATTTAAAGAAAACAAAAAACAAAAAAACAAGTCAACTTAAAAGGCATGCATTTTATAGTTTAGTCAGACAGTTTTCTGACGAAAGAAACTTGGCAGATTGCATGAAGTCAATGACTAATGAAATGAACTCATCCTGTATGTGAACGTAGCTACAGTGGACATTGTGATGTTTGCTTTGCTGCTATTCTTCACACTGAGGAAACATTTATCAACAGAGGAGAGGAAAGCTCCCCTTTAATGGGAAGGAACCTCCAGTAGAACCAACCAGGCATTGAGCAGGCGGAACGGAAACAAGACTCTGTTGATGATTAGGGCAGTTTGATATGGTCCCAAAATAATGTTGTTTTATGATTTTGCCTCTAGGATTTTTATTTTGATTGTCCTCTGCATTAGATGGTTACATGTCTGAAGCAACAGACATGTAACCTTTAAAAGAGGTCAGCCTTACTTCCCTGCCTTGCTTAGCTTGGACCTGAGAGGTTGAGAGGCCAGATTCTTTCCTCAGTCTACTTCCCTCAGAATACACTGCTTTTCTGGATCGGTTTCAGTGAAATCATAGAACAGGGTTCTCGCCTTCGAGGTATGATTGGTATCCTGCCCCCTTTTAGATCTTTCTGCATCAACACACCTTAGTCAATCATTAGAAGGACTGTGGAGAACCTGACTGCATACTGAGGAAGTAATTCAGGTGTTATTGATTCAGGTTTGGAAGCAGAGACACATGTAAAAGATGGCAGTGCTCTGAACCTCAAGGCCTGGATTTGAGGAACGCTGTTAAAGAACAGTCTGTCGGACACATTTTTGTTATTATCATATCAGTTGTCCGTGCAATACCTATTGTTTTATTGCCCAGGCTTACCTGAAGATAAACATTTGTAGACGAGGTCTTATTAGAAAACAAAAAAATTAACATTTTTCTTTAGTGATTGATTTGTTTTAGGAGAAGAGCTTGGTAAGTTAAAAAGTGTTCCTAGTTGAACATAAAGTGCAGAGTTAGTTGCTTTGGATGCCCTTTTGTCCAAGGTCCATTGCTGCTGGACTTTACTGCTTCCTTAAAAAGTGCACGGATCCGAACATTAGCTGCCACCCCCTTCGTTTTTATGTCAAGGCAAACCCACTTAAAGCGTATTATATCAGGTTGGAGTGAGAAAGTGTCTTAATTTTTTGAAATGTTGTGGCCAAAAATGTAGTGCCTTTGTAATTTCAAAATTCTTCTTTTTTGTTTTCAAATTCAGATAATATGGGTAATAACATTAATTATGCAAACCTAATTATGATGTCCCAACTTTTTCCACACCGCTGATCCTTTTTATTGTCATGATTCCTCCACCCGTCCCGCCGTATGTTAAATATTAGTCATTAAGACTCACATAAGAGACGGACATAAATTTCAGAGGGAGCCCATTTAGTCGTAACCCATCTAATATGGTATCAAGTGAACACTTTTTAATTGTCATACTGTGATGATTTCATTCAGGAAATGCTAACTGCTGTTTAAGTTGTAGAACAATTTATGTAATACCGTATTTTTATGACCATAAGGCGCACCGGACTAAAAGGCGCAGTCTCAGTTTTGTGTGCCATTTCTGTAATTAACACACACATAAGGCGCACCGGACTATAGGGCGCGTTTTTTATATACAGGTACATGTCCTCTACTACCTTTAAATAGCTCTACTGCGTATTTAAAAATAGAGCGGGAGCAAAACTGAGTATGATTGTGCTTTATTCATGTATTTATTACAAAGTATTAATCAAACCTGGGAGCTGGCCGTGAGACAGACACATCGCAGATGACAGTGATCACTCCTAAATTAACTTAAAATCCTGAAACCTGCCGACGGAATATGTTCGCTTTTATTACCGGTATCCTGGTGCCTGCAGTTTAAATTATTTAGATGAAAAACACCTGCCAGCAGCCGCGGTGAACCCGCAGGCTGCCCGGCCTAGAAGCTGCTGTTGAAGGGATTTCTACTGTAGTCGCACCGCTGGTATGTGGAGGTCTGAGCGGCTCCGACAGAAATAGTATAGGCAGGATAATAATCTGGATTAACTGACTGCAATTATTAAGTTTTCAGGTGGACTTTCTCACTTAAAAATATATTAAAACTACTTTATTCCCACTGATCACAGCAAATATAGCTGCAAAATTTAGATTATTTAGATGAAAAAACACCTGCCAGCCACCGCGGTGAAGAGGAGGAGACCCGCCCAGAGGCTGCTGTTGAATTAAGTTTTCAGGTAGAAAAATAGAGCGGGAGCAAAACTGAGTATGTTTGTGCTTTTTTCAAGTATTTATTACAAAGTATTAATCAAACCCATCAAAGTCATCATCCTCTGTTTCTGAATTAAACAGCTGCGCTAAATCAGAAATGCCAATTTCCCCTTCTTCGCTGTCAGAGTCACTTTCCGTGCCGGGCGGCTCCTCAGAAATAATGCCGGCTTTTGCGAAAGCTTGAACAACAGTGCCAGCAGACACGTTAGTCCAAGCATCTACAATCCATCCGCAAACTGTGGCTTTAATTGCCCGGCGCTGCCTTCCACTTTTCGTGAAACTGTGGTCTCCGTCTGTCATCCATCGCTCCCACGCCGCTCGCAGCCTTACTTTGAACGGCCGGTTCACACCGATGTCGAGCGGTTGAAGTTCCTTTGTCAGACCTCCCGGATAACAGCAAGAACAGCGTTTATTTGTTTCACCATGTTTTTCACATCGGCTGTGAGATGGGCACGCATGGAGTCACGGATTAACGACGATGGTGATGCGTGGAAAAAAACCACCTGGTCTCCTCATACACCTGCCTCAGCCACGCTTTCATCATCTCCTCATCCATCCAGCCCTTTTCATTTGCCTTAATATCATATGTCATCAGAGCGATGTGTCTGTCTCGCTGTCAGCTCCCAGATCAGCTTCTCTGATTGGTTGATGCGGCGCGTCCAGCAGCAAAACTTAAATTTTTCCATCTCGAGCTGCAGCAGCGCGTTGGCGGCGCGTCAGATAAACGCTCCCGACGCGCTGCGCCTGCTGCATGACCTTTTGCTGCGTCTATACGCGCGCCAACCATTGACTTTGCATTTAAACTCGCTGCTTCTGCTGCACCTGCTGGGTCCGGTTCAAGCCGATGTTGAGCAGTTGAATAACAGCAACCACAGTGTTAATTTGTTTCACCATGTTTTTCACATCAGCTGTGAGATGGGCACGCATGGAGTCAGATTAACAGCGATGGTGATGAGTGGAAAAAAAACACCTGGTCTCCTTACATTCAGCCACTCTTTCATCATCTCCTCAATGAGGTGGTCTCAAAAGTCCGCAGTTACAACACACATAGGGCGCACCGCACCAAAGGGCGCACCGCACATTTTGAGGGGAAAAAAAGACGTTTATGTGCGCCTTATAGTCGTGAAAATACGGTAAATGCTAGACCACAGTATGTTTTCTTTATGTGGACAAACCAACAGTTGATCTTGGGGCAGCTGGCTTTTTTTCCGAGCTCAACGACATCTGAATTTAGTTTTGTTTGTGCTGTTTTATAGGACTCATATTCTGTAAAGGATGTCTCATTTAACGCTCAGTCAGGTTCATGTTAAAGTTAGTTTATCAGTAATGTCATAAATCTTGTAGCCAGTGATAGTTTCAATTCTAAATTCACTTAACTTGAATGTTTGTTAGAGCTGAAGAATTTTCCGGTTCCACTAAACGTTTGTGGGGTGCTGTAATTTCAAAGACAGTGACTTATTTGTTAGTTTTTTTGTACATGTACACACATGCATAGGCTTCTGGCCCTAACTGCTGCTCTGTCATGAGTATACTTACAATTATGCTTAATGCTAGGAGCTATTGCTTTTTCTGTAAATATATCTTAAATTCACTTTGTAGCCCATTTTACCTTGTATAAGGTTAGCCGTCTCTGAAGGAGACGGCTAACCTTTCCATCCAAACTAATTGTTGATGGCCACATTTTCCATCTGCATCTGAAGAAAAGCTATCTCTGGCTACAGCTCGTCAATTAAGGCTAAAGCGCCAATGCATCTAGAGCTGCAAAAGAGGAGCAATAGTCATGGTCAGGAAGTTTGACTTCTGTTTTCTCTTCCTCACCATTGTTGGGGGATCGTTGTGGTGTTTCTCTATTCCCAAACACCAGGGTAAGGGGTTGAAATACAGAAATAAATTCAGAAGGAGCAGGAGCAGCTCTGCTTAGCAGCCAGCGCTGTCCCTGTTGGATTGCCCAGCCTCACTTAAACCTGCACAAAATGGTGACTACAAACTAAAGTGTGATCTGCAGTCAATTTTTTCCCCCACAAGAGTTGATTGTCCACTTTTTCTTAAACTTATCCTCTCAAAGGAATGAAAAAAACTTGAGGCTGAGTTCCATGACAATTAAAAAAGCTGGTGATGCAATAATAGTAGCATAATAAGCTATCCTCTCTTTTCTGCAAAGAAAACAAATTTATTTTGCATGCCACACCCTGCCACATCTAAATAATAAAACATTAACCAAAAATCCAGCTCAAAACACTTAACTTTACTGACGGTCGAATGCTAGTCCCTTATCCTTATTTATTATAGTGTAACAGTTTATAATACTCATTATAATAATACGTATTAAAAACTTTAATGCAAATTCCCTATGTGGTATTTAATGTCGGTATTTGCTACCTTTGAAAGTTTTAATGCAGTTGATTACACTTAATTTTCTTATTCAGATTTCTTGTTCAATGTCCTTACATGGTTCCTCTACATTTAAACAGCTCAAGTTGTAGATTAGATTTGATCTTGGAGACATTTCTAAGGCTACCTCAGACGGATGAAAAGAAAATCTAATTTTATAGGTAAATATGGGAAATTCAAAGCTATAACTCAATAATGCTTCTCATCAAGTGTTATTTTTCGAGCCAAGAATAGGAATTATTTCTCATGACTTTAAGGTAGTTTCTTAGATGTAAGAGTCAGGCATCACAGAATTCTATTTTTAGCTTAAGTTATTTTATCTTACCTAGTTATGTCTAGGAAGAGCGTTTCCAAGAATGCATGTTCCTTTTGGGTCTTAAAACCAGTCCTTCAATAAAACAAGAGAAGATCCTTTAGAAGATTGATATATTTTGTGCCTTCTTGCCATGGTCACCCAGGCTGATTCAGCACAGTTAATCAGATCAAGTCTCATTGACTGTTTGAACTTTGTTTCTGCAGACTAAAGCCCTTGGACATTGAGTTCATGAAACGGTTGCATGAAAAAGTCAATGTCATCCCCTTGATCGCCAAAGCAGACACTCTCACCCCAGAGGAATGCCAACAGTTCAAGAAACAGGTCAGTGGTTTCCACAGCTGCTTTTTTTGCTCTAAATGGCATTCTTTGGAAGGTAATGACATTGGATCAGTTACTCTGCTATATTTAGAATAATTATTGTTTAGAGCACTTGGCAAGTTTTGGTGGTGAATTTTTCAAACTTAAATTGTTTTAAATTAGAACTTGTTTTATATAAGAGGTTATTTTTAAGCCATAAGCTAACCAGTGGAAATAATTAAAATTTTATTTGTAATTTGCTTTGTAATTAGAAATGTTCAAAGGATTTAATGCAAATTGTGGTTGAACAAAAGCACTGAGATTTCAAATTAAGAGCAGTAAAGAACACTGAAAATGTATGTCACCAGCAACAGTCATGTTATATGCCTCTAAAAAAAATGATCATGATAAAATAAGGTTCTATACACCAGGTGTCTGTCCTTTTTTTTTCAGCACCAGGTGTTATAAGCATGTATAAACAGACATGGTGCCATCTGCTGACAGTACCACAGAACTACCTAATAGAGCCGCACCGTCTAGCTTAGTCTTGCAGTAAAGCCACAGCTTAGTGTAGTTGAAGACGAACCGATATGAGTAAATAAACAGATCTACAGAAAGTCTTAACTTCTAGTGAAGGAAAAAGAAAAATTACATTTCTTAAAAATGCAATCAGGGACAGAGTATCAAAGTAAGAACCAATAAATCTATCAATCTTTTTTAATTAGATTTAAACATGGACAGTAGCGCATATGAATAGCATTGCTATCGCTAGTATCAGTAAATACGTTTATTCAACTATCAAACTTATCAACCTTTGAATGCCTCAGAAGCTTTAGCTTCCACTTTAGTCAAAATCAAAGTTCATGCTGTATTCCAAGCACAATTCCAGTCTTATCCCTCCTGGAATTTTTTTGTGGCTTTTTTAGCACTTGTTGTTGGACTTTTCTTAAATATTTCTACACTTTGCTGGGAGGTGCTAACTAACTTGGCTGCTCTAGGCTGATTCCTTGTTTACCGCTGCACACGTGCGGTGTTGTTCCTCTGGGTAGACAAAAAAAATTGCATTTTTCTTATGGAGGCCTGAACACTTGGACCGAATAACAGAAATCGGTAGCAATAGTTTATTCCCACAACATAACGGCTGCCAACTGGTTTAAAACCCAGGAAAGATGCATTTATCAACAATATCAATGGTGGATTGTAGGGTGCTTACAGAGACGGGGGAGAAAATCCCATTTTCAGTGGATTATGTCATATCAAAAGGCTTTGTTTGTGGGAAAAAAAACTATGACTAAAATTAAAATATCTTAAGTTCCATTTATTTTCTTTTGTTATTGCGTTGTTTTTGTCTCTGTGTTAAATGCTCTGTTAAGCGACTCTGCAGATGGTCCTCTTACACCCTCCCTTTTTCTTCTAGATTATGAGAGAAATCCAGGAGCACAAAATCAAGATATATGAGTTTCCTGAAACAGATGATGAAGAGGAGAACAGGCTGGTGAAGAAAATAAAAGTATGTTGCCTACCAAGTTCTCATGTTTGCATCTCAGGCTGTAGCAGTGTGATGCAAGCTTACATTTACAACCTTGTAATAGTTTTAATAAACTCTCCGCCTTCCTTGTTCAGGACAAGCTGCCATTGGCTGTTGTAGGAAGCAACACCATCATTGAGGTGAACGGCAAGAGGGTGAGAGGAAGACAATACCCCTGGGGGGTTGCAGAAGGTGAGGCAGTTTAGTTGAACATTAAACACCTGAATGAAAGTTGAATAGCTTTAAAGGGTTTTTGCATCCTGATCATTTAATGATTCTATTGTTTCATTTTAGTTGAAAATAGCGACCATTGTGACTTCACCATCCTCAGGGACATGCTCATCAGGTACTGAAACTTGCACATTAGAAACATGTTTTATTTAGGGCTATTGGGTTATTTAGGCTTTTAACCTAATGCATGTGTTTACAAAGAAATGTTTGGATGCATATATTAGTGATTTGATGCTACATGTATTTAAATGGAAACCTGATGGTACAACAATATTTCATATGTACATACACTAGGACTGGCATGTCTACAGGTGCAACTCGAGGACCGCTGTCCATAACTGATTTCTATTGATAGCTGATTAATAGGCTGTTGCTGAACTGCAATCATCAGAATCAGCTGTTTAAATGGAGAAACGTCTAAAACCTGCAGGCCAGCGGCCTTCTAGCACTGACTTTGGACATGCCTTCAGTAGGATGACAAATAAGTTATTAGTTATTAACTTGAGGCCTAACAAGAATAGAGTGTAAAATGTTTTTCCCATCACACTATCCAGTTCTTTTTACACTGCACCTCATTAGAATCAGAGTCCTCCATTTTTATGATTTAAGCTCGGTATGAATTCAACTGTTCAGTTGAATGTCGCAGAACATTATTGAAATGTATCATGAACTCTAATGAACATAGAAGATAAGAGGTTTAAATGGTTTAATCCATACAGAAAGATCCAGAAGTTTCAACATGCAATGTTTTAGTCGTGGACCTTCATCAGACAAATATCTTCCATTGATTGTTTTCTTTTTTTATTGGAAGCTGTTCTCTCTCTCTCTCAATCCCGACCAATCATCATTAAGGGCTTTTAAAATAAATGCCTCACATTCTAAAAAGTAGAAATATTAAAATCATATATCTAAAATCAAACACTTTGTTATTCACATATCATTTAATAATATTGAAGTCTAGTCTTCATCACCCCCCTAAAATGTTTCTATGTTAAATAAACCTTAAATAACCCTTCTGGCCGAATGTGCTGGTCCACATGCAAAAGGAAATGTGTTCCATTGCTAACACCGCACATTAGCCTTAGCCTACCATCCCCACACTGAGGAGGCAGCAGCATGAATTCTTCTGAATGGATGAGGCTGAAGGCAGGGCAGGATAAAAAATAATGAGACTGGACTTATGTTTACCTTTCAGCAGAACAAAGAGTGTAAACTAACTGTCAGAATTAGGAATGATATGGTTTCCATCGAAGCTTTCATTGATAAATCATCTCTAGCTGCTTGCTCATGCAGAGCTGCTGGGGTCTGGTGCCTCGTTCCAGTTGATATTGACCAAAGGCAGTAACTTCAGTCTGGTTTCCAGTCTCAAAATAGAGCAGCACAGATAAAATCAACATTTCATTTGCTGGAATAATCTAGTCCCCATCCAGACCTAAATCCATTTGAGAATCTGTTGCAAGACCTACAATTTTCTGTGATCCATCAACCTCTGTTTTTCTAGTTAGTCAGTTTGTTTCAAATATGGGAAAAGAAACCTTAAAACCATCTGGCCTCTTTTTTTGTGTCAATTAATGCCTTTTGAGGCTTCGGGTCTCCTAAAAAAACAGTGTCTGTATTTAGTAGATCACTGATATTCTTTTCATTGTCTGTTGTCAGAACTCACATGCAGGATCTGAAGGATGTGACAAACAACGTCCACTATGAGAACTACCGCAGCAGGAAGCTGGCCGCTGTCACCTACAACGGAGTGGACAACAACAAAGCTAAAGGACAGCTGTCCACCAAGTAAGTCCTAAGTTCATTCACGGTCCCACAGCCGTGTGATTGTAGCTAAAGGAGAACTGTTTAGTGCTACCCCTGACCTGAGCAGAATTTAGATTTCTGGTCAAAAGTGATTCCAGTTCTTCATTCACATCTTTGAGGTTTGAGAAGTCTTTTTCTTTAGTTTCTTCTTTTTAACGCTTTGCATAAAAATGCCCAGTTATGCCTTTTAATAGTTGAAAAAGCACAGTTGAACACCTAACTGACACTAAAGAGCACTGAATCTAACTCTCACCTGAGTATCTTAACACTGCTCTTAATGTGACACAGCCCATAACATCCACTTCTTCTGTTTTTCATTTGTAGTAAGAAAATAGCTTCATGTCACAGATTATTTTAATGTTCTGGTTTTATCTTAGTGCATGGCCTCATCATTGCATGCTGTGTGTGTGTTTTTTTTTTTTTTTTTAGTATGGACACAGTTGATGGAATGTAAGTGAACAACTTTTTCACCTCATTTTTGCACCGTTTGTTTACACGTTCCTCATCTTTCCTCTGTGCTCCTCCAGTGGCTGCCTTCAGGTGTTTTCTCCTCCTGTCTGCTCCTTCTCAGATGATGACTTTCATATGTTGCGGAAGAAAGCTGATTTGTTTCTATCTAAGAAGCTGTGTTTTCTGGTGTTTTGATTTGTTTTTCAAAGGGGGGGAATCTTTCCACCTTTCAAACAGACTGAGAGTCCTGTTTTATTGCATTCAAGGCCTAAGCATGGGATGTCTGGACTGGTTGCCAGTGTAAAACACACTGAAACATAGTAAGAAAAAAAAGAATTCAAAAACAGTTTGGCTCACGGAAAGCCTGAAGATTACTGATTTAGAAAAAATGACATTTTGGCTGATTTTAAAGCTTTTAAGAGAAAAGGTAGACTTAGACAACTTTTATTGTCATTTTATAAACACAAAGTGTACAGCTCTCATGAAATTTCCATTTCTTAAAAAGCATCAGTGATCAAATGTAAACAGTTTGGTAGCCCTAACGAGATCCAGTTAAACTGCACTGCAAAAAATTGAAATCTAAATAAGTAATTTTCTCAAAATAAGTGCATTTTTCTTGAATTGAGGAGTTAAGTTAGACACTTTGCCAATGGAACTAGATACTTAACATTTAAAATAAGAAAAAAAAACTTTTGCATTGTTTTATTTTAAGTGAATATTATCAAATTATCTTATTTTAAGAATAAAAAACTCATTCCATGAGAAAATCATTTGATTTACCTCCACAAATTAAGGGCAAATACACTTAATTTAAGAATATTTACTTATTTCTAGATCGTTTTTGCAGTGTGTTTGCCTGTTTTTATCCATTGTTGATTTTCTTACTATTCTCTTACTTCATGGCAACCGTTCCACATATTTCATGATGTTTCTTTAAAATTTTCAGCACCAATTGAGCTTTTACTAACTTTTCTTAATGAACTACTTCTACTAAAAGCGGCGTTAACTTTTCTCCCATACCTTGTGGTGCATTTCCAGTTCCTGTCTTTATCCTGTTGGATTCAGTCATTCCTAAAGCTTTTCCTCTTATTCCCGCCTGATCCTCTCATGTGTTGGATTTCCATGTCAGAAGATAATTGTTTTAAAATGTTACAGACAACTGCCTGATTTTGCTTGTAGTAATTATTATAAGACATTTTCCTCGTTTAATTTGTGGAATTACTGGTTTGTAGACATTCTTTCATCTTACTGATGAGTACATATTTGCTGCTGATTCATCTCTAAGTATTTCTGCCTTTTTGCTTTTTTTCCCCTCCTTATTTTCTTTTTTCTGCGCTTGTGGTCGCTCCACAGGAGTCCCCTGGCCCAGATGGAGGAAGAGAGGCGAGAGCATGTGGCTAAGATGAAGAAGATGGAGATGGAAATGGAGCAAGTGTTTGAGATGAAAGTCAAGGAAAAAGTGCAGAAGCTCAAAGACTCTGAGGCAGAGGTAACACACTCAGACAGTAATACTGTTTCAGTCTGGCTCCGGGTGTTCACTTCCTTAGTGCTGATGTGTGTTTGTGGTTAAAGGTGTGCATGAATCGTGTGAGGCAAACTGTCTGATTAGAAGCTACAGTTTGATCTGCTATTTGTGTTTCTGTGCAGTGAAACCAATTAACACTACAAGTACTGACATGAAATGTGCTGCACACTGTTTTCTACTTTCTATTTCACAATCTTCAAACATCCAAGTATGAAAACCATTTTGTTTTTCCATAAAGAAACATCTCTAACTTAAAATGTATGACATTTATATCACTTTTTAAAGACTCCTTGGCCGCACTGATTAGCGCACACGACCCATGTATGGAGGCCTTGGTCCTCGACGTGGGCGACCCAGGTCCAAATACGGCCTGTGGTCCTTTCCCGCATGTCTCTCTCTTATCCCCTTTCTTGTCAGCCTACTGTCTATAAAAACGAGCCACTAGTGTCTTAAAAATTCAAAAAAAAGAAAAAAAAAATCCTAATTTTGGAAAAACATAACTTCTTTTTTTTTTTTTTTTCTGTTCATCCAACTGACGTTAAAATTTGTATTTGTAAACATGAGTTTAGCTTAACCGCCTCTGTTACATTGCAGCTTCAGCGACGTCACGAACAAATGAAGAAGAATCTGGAGGCCCAGCATAAGGAGCTGGAGGAGAAGAGGCGCGTCTTTGAGGAGGAGAGGTCAAACTGGGAGCTGCAACAGCGGCTGGAGCATCAGAAAATGGAGGCTTCCAGGTAAAGATGACACTGCTTACTACACTGCCTTGGTTTCTGATTGAGGTTCCAGACTTCATATCTGGAAAACCTAAGTTGTTGCTTAACCTTTGTTTTTGTTTTTATTTTTAGACTTATTCATTTTTTTTTTTGTATTGGCTTTATTTTACATTAAAGTTAGCATTTTACATTTAATAAAATCAACAATTATTTATTCTGACTAGTAAATGCTTCGTACTTGCATCTCCAAATTGTCAGGAAAAAGAAACTCAAGTTAGAATAGAATACAACAGATTTTACTGACCCCAAGGGGAAATTTTTCAAGTGCGCAGTGCACAGTAGTGTATGCCATCAGAAACATAAAAACTAATACCAGCTAAAAATGCACACATAGGCTACCTACCGTCCATGAGAATAACAAATAAGTAAAAAATAACATACAATACTAAATATTTCTCCCTTACAGATCTATTTAAGAATTTGATTTATAAGGTTTGATCGCGGTGAATATAAAGAAGTATTTAAAGCAGTTCTGTTTGGTTTTTGGGATTTCCAACCTTCAGCTAGAAGGCAAGAGCTGATTTCAGTTATGAAGGATGTGGGAATAGGTCCAGCAGTACTCTCTGCGCCTGCCTGAGTACAGAATGCTCGAAGATGGACTGAAGGGAGAGCTTTTCAAATTGAAATGAAATATTGTTGTAATCTTGGTCTATCATTCCCTCCACCCATCCTCTACATAATTGATTGATTGATGATTGGTTGATTGCCTTTATTGATCTCACAGTAGAGAGATTTACTCGTTACATCAGCTCAAATAGTTTTGTTTTTGTTTTTTTAACAATAGTATCATTGTACAAGGTTACTGCACAGGGTTTACTTGGGTATTTATATAGATGGATATTTATATATATATATATATATAGTTTTCGCATTGGGATATAGAGAAATGTGTTATTTCACAGGGTATCAAATAGTAAATTGGACATTATACATTGCACAATTTATTGCCATTGTAATGTCGCATCGTAACTAACTGAGACATCACAGTGGAGAGAAATCCATCCATGTTTTCTCCAGGGACCCTCTCAAACTCTCCAAATTCCAAGCACCTCTGAGACCAAAAAACAAAATGCTTACTCTTGTGAACAATGCGTTTCTCCAGGGTGTTATATTAGTGCTGGTATTTGATAAACTGCTTTCAGTTTTCTTAAATATGCATTGCTTTATTGTTTGTGTGTTTTCTGTATCGCAGGACTCTGGAAAAAAAGCAAAAGAAAGGAAAGATCTTCTAAAGACAGTCAGCAAGGCCAGCCCAGATCCAGTTACTTTTGTTTGCCAATGTTGCCGGTCAGACCACCAGAATGTGGTGCTCTGAAACCACCCATGTCCTACCGTCATCCTCTTTTTTTTTTTTTTTTCTCCTGTGCTCTACCTGCTCCCAGCCACTAGAGGTCATACTTGGACCAGGTTTTTTTTTGGGGGGGTTTTCTTTTCTTAAGAAAGGCCAGAGGGGGTCTGAGTGTACAGCCAAAACCGCATCCACAGAGCCCCCTCCCACTGCTCCAGGACCCATGGCCATCATTAAGGACTGGGTTTACCTTTTTCAAGAATAAATAACTCCCTTTCAGTAAGGCCAAACCCAAATCATTTTAATTATTGATGTTATTATTGTTGTTGTTATAACTCAATACTGTCACCATCCTCAGCTACTGCTCTTCTTTTTTTTTTTTCCAAGGTGGCTTTTAAAAGACCAGTGTGTACAGATTTATGGAGAGCAAAAACAAATTCTTGTGAATTGTGTTTAACAGTTAGGTGAACAATCAGTTTCTGTTGAATTTCATGTTTACAGGAAAGAAACAGTGTTTAAAAATAATCTGATCTCACAACTAAAAAATAAAGAGGACAGGGTTTTTAATTGAGACTCGCAGACCTAGCCTCTTAAATAAAACGAGACGGAAAACATGAGATCAAGAGAAAATAGAGCATGCACCTTGGGCCTTTTTTATAGACTTTTAAGAAATGGCTAAAGTTCTTTTCTTCTGAAGTGTAACAAGTTCCTTTTCCTCTGTGTTTAGCTATTTCCTCTAGCCTTGGACCATCATTTATAAGTGTTATATTTCACTTTAGTTTATTTTTATATATATATACCGAGCCAGCTGAAGTTATAACTTTTGTATGTTTATTAAATTCTCACAGACTGACAGCAATGTCTTCTGTTCAACTTCGCATTTAAGTCCTGTGGGTGCTTTAAAAAGAAAAATTGGCGTCACTGTGGAAACGGATTAGTGGAAAATGAAGTCGACACCACACTTTGCTTTGGCTATGTACTCCATCTGTATTTTTAATTTTATTTTTCATTTGTAATGTCACTTAATAAACATGTGATGGTATTTACAAGTGTGATGATTTGTTATGAAAATATGGAACTCCTTCCAAACAGCTACAATGCTTTAGGGGTGTTTTTTTATGATCCATCACCAGATGTCACCATTGTACTTTAGGTGCTCTGATCTTTATAAATGGTTTTAGTAACACTAAGAGTAGAGTGACTATCGACAAAAAGTACATTTTTGTAATTTATTTCTAAGTTATATTTGTATAAGTGAGCTTGTATAATAACAGTTAATACAGCTAATGATGTCCCAAACTTTTAGAAAAATATATACCATCTGACCAATAAAAAAACTTAGATATTGATATAAATGGCTTATTAGAAAGTAGGTTGAAGTAGTTCATGTTATAGGAACATAGCATGCATCAATGCTGCATGGCATGGAGGTAATCTGTGACTTGAGCTGTTTGCAAGACTGTTTTACATTGTGCTCTATACGGAAGTACATGGATTCCCCCCCCCCCCCCCCCCCCCCCCCCCCCCCACCCCCCCCCCAGGTTTTGGTCTAGCTAGTTTGTTGGAAAGTTGAGCCTTATAGGTGTGAATTGTTTTTTTGTTTTTTTTTATATAGATCTTGTAAAATGAAACCAACCTTTACGTTGAGCCTAAAATAAGCATAAAAGGTGCCAAACATCCTAATAGACAGCTATTGTGGCTTTGGACATACACAGTAGAATACCTTGCTAAGTGCTGAACCTTACTATGGACCTTAAGGAACTGGGATGTTGAACCTCTCCTCTATTCCTAGACACTTTTAAATTGATTTCCAATCTGAACTTTGAACTGTTGAGTGAAAGTCCTGTATTACTTTTGCTTTTCCCAGTTAAGAACTTTCTTATTTAGTAACCTGTCCAGTGAGACAGTTGTAGAGCATGTTATGAAGTTTCCCTGTTGCAGCATTCTGATGCAATTTTTGACTTTCAACTTTCCATTAATATGATTGGATGTAGAGCTCAGCAAACTGCTAGTTTCATTCAAAACTGTGGAGGGTGTCATCGTTGACTGCTTTACTTAAACAACTAATGGATTGTGCTGGCCATGTCAGTAAAATTGTTATATTGGGCTTATAACATATTTTATCTTAGACTTATTTTTATTTATTCTTTTGTACAAGTGGGAGACATAAGCATCAAATAAAACAAGTAAACCCTGGAAATATACCTGGTAATAAATCAATACAAGTTTAATTTTTTAACTTAGCCGGTCAGTTTGTTTTTTAATATTTTTTGGTATGTACCTATAAGATTGACTGTTAGCATTTAATGAAATTTGTATAGAATAGAATAGAAAAGAAAATCCCTTTATTGTCCCACAATGGGTAAATTATGGTGTTTACATCCGCAAAAACATAAAAAAAAATGGTCACACAAATGTGGACCTTAGAAAAGTGTATAAGAATAACATAATAGTGAAGAGTTAAAACTTAAACAATAAAATACTGTACTATAAAGTGTTTCAACAACAAAAATTATTAAAATTAAACTGAAACAATTTTTTTCCTTTGTGTTCCTCATTCTGACACTCACAGTGCTTCTGTAGGCAGAGTGTCATCAGTTATTATTAGGTAGGTTATTTACCAAAAACTCAGGTTGTGGTATCTGCAAAATAATTACCTTAACTTTCAAGGCTCCTTTTACATTACAAGATATGTCTCACCTGTTTGATTTCTAAGCTCTAGTGATATCCATCCAGTTCTTAACTGAAAGTGTGTTTTTTTTTAAACAGGTGATCCACAGTTTGTATGTGGATAGTTGTAGGTCTACAGAGAGGCAAACATATTTGCATGCTTTTACGCACAGTCACAAGGTTCTACATTTGCATCTGTTTAGTGCGTGATTCATCTTGTTTCAATTACTCTATTGGCCTGTACCTACATCTTCACATCTCTTTCATCAAATATCATGATGGAGTTGATGCACATTAGATTAACATTATCTGGCCTTGTGGAAAAAATACATTTTGCCTCATTATTTTACTGTAGCCTACTTTGTTTTGCGTTATTTATTCTGTTAAATTTAAAAACCCACAAGACAAAGTTGTGTACAGGTGCTGGTCATAAAATTAGAATATCATGAAAAAGTAGATTGATTTCAGTAATTCCATTTAAAAAGTGAAACTTGTATATTATATTCATACATTACATACAAACTCATATATTTCAGATGTTTATTTTGTTTAATTTTGATGATTACAAATGACAACAAATGAAAATCTCAAATTCATCATATCAGAAAATTAGAATATTGTGAAAAGGTTCAAAATTGATGGCCCCTGGTGCCACACTCTAATCAGCTAATTAACTCAAACCACCTGCAAAAGCCTTTAAATGGTCTTTCAGTCTAGTTCTATAGGCTACACAATCATGGGGAAGACTGCTGACTTGACAGTTGTCCAAAAGACGACCATCGACACCTTGCACAAGGAGGGCAAGACACAAAAGGTCATCGCTAAAGAGGCTGGCTGTTCACAGAGCTCAGTGTCCAAGCACATTAATAGAGAGGCGAAGGGAAGGAAAAGATGTGGTCGAAAAAAGTGTACAAGCAAGAGAGATAACCGCACCCTGGAGAGGATTGTGAAACAAAACCCATTCAAAAATGTGGGGGAGATTCACAAAGAGTGGACTGCAGCTGGAGTGAGTGCTTCAAGAACCACCACACACAGACGTATGAAAGACATGGGTTTCTGCTGTCGCATTCCTTGAGTCAAGCCACTCTTGAACCACAGACAGCGTCAGAAGCGTCTTGCCTGGGCTAAAGAGAAACAGGACTGGACTGCTGGTGAGTGGTCCAAAGTCATGTTCTCTGATGAAAGTACATTTTGCATTTCCTTTGGAAATCAAGGTCCCAGAGTCTGGAGGAAAAGAAGAGAGGCACTTCATCCACGTTGCTTGAAGTCCAGTGTAAAGTTTCCACAGTCAGTGATGGTTTGGGGTGCCATGTCATCTGCTGGTGTTGGTCCATTGTGTTTTCTGAGGTCCAGGGTCCACGCAGCCACATACCAGGAAGTTTTAGAGCACTTCATGCTTCCTGCAGCTGACCAACTTTTTGGAGATGCAGATTTCATTTTCCAACAGGACTTGGCACCTGCACACAGTGCCAAAGCTACCAGTACCTGGTTGAAGGACCATGGTATCCCTGTTCTTAATTGGCCAGCAAACTCTCCTGACCTTAACCCCATAGAAAATCTATGGGGTATTGTGAAGAAGAAGATGCAATACACCAGACCCAACAATTCAGAAGAGCTAAAAGCCACTATTAGAGCAACCTGGGCTATCATAACACCTGAGCAGTGCCACAGACTGATCGACTCCATGCCACGCCGCATTGCTGCAGTAATACAGGCCAAAGGAGGCCCAACTAAATACTGAGTGCTGTACATGCTCATACTTTTCATGTTCATACTTTTCAGTTGGCCAACATTTCTATAAATCCTTTGTTTTTATTGGTCTTCAGTAATATTCTAATTTTCTGATATGATGAATTTGGGATTTTCATTTGTTGTCATTTGTAATCATCAAAATTAAACAAAATAAACATCTGAAATATATGAGTTTGTATGTAATGTATGAATATAATATACAAGTTTCACTTTTTAAATGGAATTACTGAAATCAATCTACTTTTTCATGATATTCTAATTTTATGACCAGCACCTGTACATGAATAAAAAAAGTCTTTTGAAGATTTAATGGCACATAAAATTAACAATAGTTCTATCTATCTATCTATCTATCTATCTATCCCCTTTGTTGTTCAAGCATGACACTGGTTTCTTACATTAAATCAGTTCCATCAATTAAAGATAATACAAGGAAATGAATAGCAGAGATTGCATTATCGTCAGTATTTTGTCCCTGCAGGGTAGCCATAGTGAGTGGCTTGCCCCGCCTCCAATTTAAAAGAGAAGTTAAAAAACGTCTGTTTTGGTCTTAGAGGAATTAATCTCAGGTTCAGTTTCTCGGTGATGAGGGTTCGGAGGTCTTGGTGGTGAGTTCGTGGTCCTCGTGCGGCGGTGGGAAAAATGGCTTTGCGGTCTGCGCTGCTCTGGTTCCTGTTTGTTGTGAGCGCTCATGTGACTGACGCTCAGTGGAGACCGAGGAGCCGGATGATCCTAACCGATGCCTCTCACCACCAGCCGGTCCAGTGGGGATTTAGTAGCGCCAGTCCTCAACCCAGTGCTGGCCCGGAGCCTGGTGACCGGGCCCCTGCCTTCCAGGTCCCCACTTTGGACGGGAAGTTTTCCTACGAGCCTGCAGATGCCCTGAACGGGTCTGTGGTCATTCACGCCTTCACCAACAAGTCCGGGTTTCTGGAAAGCCTTTGGAGCTCTGAGTCCTCTTTGAAGAGTCTGGTTGAAGGTCTGCCAGGTCGCACACAGTTGCTCTTCCTGTCGCTGGATGACTCAGCGGTCAGTGATGCTCTGTGGATGCGGGAGCAGCTGCACCGGGCCGCGGCGGACAGGTGAGCTGGGAGGACCCTCTGCTGGTGGGGATGGAAAAAAACAACAACTGCAGATTCAGTTTTACTACAAATTCTGCAAAATAATGCTCAAAATAAACTTTCCTACGTTACTTTTTTTCTCTTGCTTGTTACTTTTTTTCTCTTGCTTGTCCTGACTGTTAAAGATATCGCTGAGGTTTACAGTAAATTAATATCACAAACTTCAATTAATTTAATTGTATAATAAGGCAGATGAACAGAGATAGAATGGAACATTTTTAAGGTGAAACATGATTTTAAAATAATTACTCATTTGAAAAGTCTGGTGTACATTTGGCATGGACGCAGAGGCGTAGCCAGAAAATGTTAATAAGGGTGGCCAGGCAATAAGCAGTGTACACCAGAACCTCAGGGTCAATCAACACTGTTCCAACAGGACAATTAATGAGCAAAACATCCATACTTTCTAAATAAACTATACTTTCCTACAGCCTTTGCTAACCAATAGACGCATATATTTAAACATCTGTGCTTTCTAAATAAAAGGTACAGTGGATACAATTCTTTCAGTTTTGACCAATGGCGTAATGACACAACAATATGCCCGTAAGCAACATTATCTGGGTGAGCTCCCTATGAAGCCCCCATATTGTATGAGTGTATTAATTACCAATAACATAGTAATTAAAAGTACCACTGTCTGCTTTGCTATTGGTGTCGTGTATAAACAGCTCACCATCCTGTTGAAATCTGCCATATGTTGGGGTATAAATTCGGTCAGTCGGATCTATTATCAGGTCGGTTTACAACAAATTTTTTGCACCAGTATATCTGCAAAGAGACGTCCTAGTCCACAATTGCGTACTGCAATCTCTGCTTACCAATAGTTCTGCCATTGGTTTTGAGATCTGGGGTGTAAATCTTTTCCATTGCCATTACTTACCTACTTGTATCAATAAACATTCTGCATGAAATTGATATTTACAAGCACTAATATCTACATAATATGATTATTTGATAAGTTTTTATTAAAATTGTTATTTATCTATGAATTCAATGAAGACTCCCAGATGACTTGCAGAGACACATTTCCTCTTTACCCCATATGACACAAAATCTAGCTCTGAAAAGAGCATTAATTCTGTATTTATCATATTTGTTAGTATATTGATGTGTATAATTAACCACAAACATTTTTAATGTTTTGAATACTCCACTTCAGAGAGTATTACTGCTGCCACCATCTGTCTTAGAGGGGGAAAAAAGGGTAGGGGTGGCAAATAATTGGCTAAGGCCCTGGCCCCCCATCTAGCTTCGCCCCTGCATGGATGTAATTTTGTGGGAGGGACGAAGGGGACATGTCCTCTGCACTTTTTCAAACGTCCATTTTTGTCCCTACACAGACAATCGTCGAGCACTAGGAACAAGCAGAAAATGGCAGGTCAAACTGAAGCCTGCTTCCTGAGTTTAGACCGCCCACAAGCTCGTGATTGGCCCCCATCTTTTCTTGTTTGATTGACTGTCACCGCTGTCACTCCTGAGAAGCTCACTTAAAAACATCTAATGTGTCACTAAATCGGGTCTGTGATTGGACGCTTAAACACGCTGAAGTTATTTATATTAAAAATACTTTCATCCCCACCCCGACTTCTGAAATCAAAATTTCGTCAATGGTATTTGGCACCCTGTTAACACTAAAGAATTAACAAAATCATGTTTGTTAAGAAGCAAAATGTGAAACAAGTTAATGTGGTAATAGTTTTAATGCAAGTCTTCTTATGTCATTCTCACTGTCTGCTGAATAAAAACTGATAAATAAATATTCACTGCGATTTCTTTCCTTCGTCTCTTTAAACCAGTGCCAAGAAGGAGGTTCTGACCCGACTGCACTTCTCCCCAGTGCCGGTATTCGCTTTAGGTAACTGGATCCCCAATGTTCTTTACTACTGGGGCTGCATGGGACACAACTGTGGCCTCTCTCAGGCTGTTTTCACCTCTGATGGTAAGAAGACGCAGATTTCCTGTTAGTTCTCAGGCTTCTGTAGAGCAGGTCCCTGATTGCCGCCTCTGCTAATTCCTGCAGGGTGGAAAATGCCAATCGTTATTAAGAGGCTGGATGCCAGGTATGATTGGCTTATGGGGCGCTGGAGCACCAAGACCTATCAGCTGGTTGATGCTGGAGATGGCTGTGAACCCTCCCCATCGTTAGGGGGCGCTGTGGCCTGGGTGTCTGAAGGGAACTGTTCTTTCTTTACAAAGGTCTGATGGGCTGGGCACAGGTTGCTTCTCAGCTGATTTCAAAGTTTTTAATAAAACATTTAACTGCAGCATGATAAGGTTTTGCTAGCCTTAATTAAGCTAACTGGTTCAGAAGTTTGTTTCTATCTGTTGTTTAGTCGCCTTTAAGAAACTTAAATAGTATAATGGTGGATTTTCGCAAATATTTGAAAAGACTCTCCACTTAAAAAAAAATACACATGCACAATGCTGTACCCTCTCACGAGAGGGATCGCCTATTAAACGTGTGCGAGAGCATGCACAAGCCTATTTCTCCATGTGCACACTCTGTTTTAAAGTTGCTGTTTGCATCGCTCATACAAGCTTACTTTCAAAAAGAAGATTTGCAATTTTTCTATTATGTCAGACTCACCACCGGTAAGTGAAAATGGGGACGAGCATGTAGGACAGCCATACATAAACATATCACCATAATGATTAGGGCTGGGTAAAAAAATCGATTTTGAATAGATTCCTTTACATTTTTGCAAAATCAATGTCTAGGTAATGTGATCGATTAGTTCTATAGTGACGCGTGACGTTCACATCAAATCAGCAGGAAAGATGCTCTCAAGATGACTTCAAGCCAGACAGCTGCAAATATAGCCAATAGGTTGACTGAAGACATTAACAAATGGGGTCTGACCAGAAAACACCCTGTAGTTGTTACAGACAACGCTGCAAATATGGTTTGTGCATTGAAGATAATGCAGCTCATGCATGTCTGCTGTGTCACGTCTACTTGCTCAAGTGAGGCTTCACTTTTTGCACTTTTGAGACAGTTTTGTTCACATCTCATGTTTAAACAGTCTGATTTACAAGTTTGCACTTTGTGTTTAATGTTACAGGAAAAAACAAAATACATGAGTATTTTGAAACACAGTTGAACCACTTTCATTATTGTAAAAACAGATCGAATCGAAATTAATCGATTTAGAACTGCATGAATCAAAATCGAATCGACTTTGGCGTAAATACCCAGCCCTTATAATAATTGACAATTAGGAGGACCACTTATTTTGATGATCCACTCAGAAAATGAATACCCTCCACTATATTTTTAAGATAAAACCCAATGAAATATAATATGATTACTAAATATTGACTTAAAGGGATATCTGTATTTACCAAGGTACATTAATTATTGTTTCGAATTTTCAGACTACCTCTAATTCCCTTCTATTTACCTCCAGTTTTAGTGGTCTTGGGTCAGCAGCTCTACAGGTTTCTGGCTTATTCCTCATCTTCTGTGGCTTTAGCTTTAGCGTTCAATACTTTTAGCTTCATTGGAAATTTTGTTCTTCAATCTTACCTTTTCGACTTGTACCTTTGTAAGAAATTAAGCTAAATTGGTTTACTAATGCACTTTGAAAGGAGATAAAAAAGAATATTTCTATTATTTTCTCAGCTGAAATTGTTAATAACTGTTTGACTAATGTGAATTGATGAATGAAGTCATAGATTGATTTGTTCCTCCAGGTTCACAGCATGGCTAAGTCCAATGCCTCTGGCGTCCTTGTGTACTCGCTCCCTGGAAATCCCATCCAGGATATGAACTGTGCTGGAGATGAATGTTACTTTCCTCTTGGTATCCCGGCTGCCATGGTCCATCAGGAGGTTTCAGTCACCCAGGCGCTCTTGTAAGACAACTTCTTCATTTGCTCTTTTTTAAAGTTCAATATTTCTGATGCCTGATTTAGGCATCATCATGTCATTTAAACCAGCTGACCTAATTTAAACAGAATTTTTATTTTAAACTTTTTTTTTTTTTTTTTATTTAACTGCTACTACTGTTTTTAAAATTGTCTTTACTTTCTTTTTCTAATTTTGTGGTTCTGTTTTGTAGGTCCGGACAGGCAGTCAACCTTTCCTTCCAGACCACCCCTTCCCCAAATTTCTTCATCGGTATTGACCAACAGGGGGCGCTGGCTGAGATGGGCTGGTTTCTCTACCCATCATTTAGCTTCGTTAACTGGCAGGCTCAATGGTGAGGATGAGAGAAGGGCTCTTCATCTGTAAATCATTGAGCGGCATTATGTTTCATTGTTTTTTTTTTTTTTTTGTGTGTGTGTGTGTGTGTTTTTTTTTGTTTTGTTTTTTTTTTTGATAAAATCTTAGAGCATTGTCAGATTTTTCCTTTTATGGATATTTTGTTGTCCATTTTTACATGAATAACACCAAAATCCTATCCTAACCTATAGGAATTGGTAGATTTATTTAAAAAAATCAGATGCTGAAAATATGTTTCCCTTGGATCAGATCTCGGCCATGAGCTACCCAGTTTTGTTAGTCCCACAGTTCCACTGGCAGCTAAGAAACCCCATAGTATAATGCTACCACCTCCTTGCCTGATTGTCGATCATGTCTATATGAGCTCCAAGAAAGCCTCGTAATTTTATTTTATTGCTTTTGTCTCCAGGTTTGAATTCTCTGCTGGTCTGCAGAGCAAACTCCAAAGTCCTGCAAAAGTAATCCCAGTGTTTGACCAAGTCACAATGCAGGGAGACAAAGGAGCTGTTGCCACAGTCGATCTGCCATCAGGTAACCTAATCAGCTCTATTCATGAGATACCAAACCCACTGTTAGATGTTTGTTTAACTATCAGATAGTATGACTGGTCATGAGTAAAATGATTTAAATTCAATTCTCCCAATAGATTAAGGTTCGTTTTTAGGTCACATAAGAACAGTGGAGAATGAGGTGAACGTTTTCTGTAGAAAACGCTGTCATTTCAGCACCCATTTTTTGTCTGCCCTTATGTTGACCCATAGCTCCAAACATTTTAAACCTGTATTTAATGTTGCAAATTCTCACGTATCCATGCGATGAAAACCACAGATAAGGCAAAAATTCTTTCAGTTTTTTGAAGATTATCTCTTATTTTCTCCTCGTACCTGCTATGATGCATTAGTAGATAAATTATTATTTTCATGCTAATCGGTACTACTGTGCTTCTACCCTGTGAAGTTACCACCTTGCTTTTCCTTTGGCTGGAAGAAGTAGGCAGTATTTCCCTAGAGAGTGCTTTTGTAACTTATCTAATAAAATGTTATCTTTTTCCATTTCAGCAGTGATGATTTCTGTTATGTTGCATTAAATTCAGTTTATCCATATAGCGCCAATTCACAACACATCATCTTAAGGCTCTGTACAGACAAAACAGTTGAGTCAGACATTGAGGTTGGCTAATTTTCTATTTATGCTATTTTTGTCTGCAGATTTAGGGAACTTTGATATGCTGGAGCTGGATGCGTCGCTGTCATGTCCTGGCAAGAGGGACTCGTCCTGCGCTCAGTGGGACCACACCGTCCAGCTGTACGTGTGCTGCGATCAGCTGAGTCAGTACTGCAACACAGAGCTGGGACGGTGGATCACTGCGTTCCGAAGGTGACTGCTTACAGACGCTGCCGCTTCTTGTCATCTCCTCTTTTATTAACACTCTGTTTAATAGATGCATATAATTTCTCATAATGCAATGACATTTTGAGATGCCACACATGCTTTGAAGAACAGCTCTTTTTCTGCATGCTGTTGGCAACTTTTAACAGCTAAAATCAGATGGATCCACTTTTGACTTTTTTTTTTTTTTTGCTGAATTAAATTAGAGTGGACACAATTTGGGTCAAAATTCGGTTGAAATATTTCAGAAGTTCTTCGATTTTTATTCAGACTTTCATGTATTTAAAGAAATAATATATCGGTTCTAGGAAGCACAAACTCTAAACACCTATCCGTCCATCTCTGTATTCTATATTGATTTCTCATTTTAGGTAAATGGAGTCAATGAGGCTCTTTTAATGATAATTTCTACAAAAACGTCTCAAAAACAGTGCATAACTGTGGAGATGAAAGGAGAAGGTGGATTTTTTATTTTTATTTTTAATCAATACAAATTTAAAAGGTTTTCCATAATATTCCTCTTTTCTATTATTTTGCTCTTAGATACATTTTGTTCCAATTAGTTTTTGCTGTCAGAGTCAAGCTGTGTTTAATGTGAATCTAAGTGTTCTTTTAGGGTTGTTGGAGAACATATATGAATGAATAAGATCATGAGAACCAACAGGACACAGAGGACAGGCTCTGGAGAAATGTGTGGAGAAGCTGAAAGCCAGTTCTGGGTATAAAACAACTTCACAAGCCTTAAAAAGCTCAAAGTGGGCTATTTACTCCCTAATGTGAGAATGAAAATGACCAGAGAGGAGGAGCATTAATCAGAAAGAAGGTCCTGTAATGAGCTGCAGAGATCTTCAACAACCACAGATGTGAGAACCTGTTGACAGGAAAACAGTTTTTTGTTCCCTCCGTACCTGTGGCTCTGTATGGTGAAGTGGCAAAGACAAATTAATTGTTAAACAAAAGCCATAAGAATTTGATTTGAAGACACTTTTCACCTAGTCTGACTGAGCTTAAGCTTTATTTCCAAGAGAAATGGGCTAAAGCTTCAGTCTGTGAAGCACTGGTAGTGATATTGAGACTTGCTCAGCTCTTTACTCTGACCAGCTGAAAAAAGCCATGCTGCCCCCAGTGTTAGTTCTGTGTTTCCTACATGGCAAATGCACCTAACTGTTGTTCTACACATTGTTTTTTCTATGGGAGCTTAATACAAATTGAAGCCATACTTTTAAGGATAAAAAAGGCTAATTTATAAGCCATAGTTGTCTGTTTTGTTGTGTTTTGGCAGAGGGACCGGACACTGGCTGACAGATGTGTCCCCTCTCATCCCGTTGCTGGACAGCAACAAATGCACCTTCACGATGAAGACGGTCCCCTGGGCCATGCCTTGGGTTGTCTCCCTCAACCTTCGATTTAGTGCTCGCAACCAGACAGGTAAACCCTGTGGAGAAATTTAATATCCAACAGAAACTGGTCAAAACAAAAAGCCTCTTAAATGCAGGTCCTGAGCTAAAAGTATTTCTGGATGATGGAAAACATGTATTTGTTGTTTTTAGACATCAGTTTGTTGAAGCAGACAATTGTTTTGTGTCAAAGGTGAAGGTTTAGAGAATCTTCGTCCCTTCAAAGTGACGCCTCTTTACAGCGGGGGAACCTTCGACAAAGACTACAATAAGAGATACCAGCCGATGAAATTCGCCATCCCTTCCTCCACGAAGAAGGTAATGGAGGCTTTTGAAATGATCAGATGGTCACATCCTTCTCCCTCCTGTCTTAGGAGCATCTCACCAGCTGTGTGGACACTTTCAGGTGGAGCTGTTTGCTGTCATCACTGGGCACGGCAGCGACGAGAACGGCTGTGGGGAATTCTGCGTCACCTCGCATCATTTCCTGATAAACGCCATCTATAACAACAGTCAGAAATTTGACTCCGCAGGTGAGGAACGCTCACATTTTTTAAACAAAATTATCATTTTGATTATTTTTTATTGGTGATTCAACAAGCAAACTATTTTAGCAAATATCAGGGACTTTTGAACTAACAAATGTATTTTTAGGGTTTCTAAAATTCCTTAAAAAAATCCCGTTTTATGTTTCAAAATCTTTGCAGGTTAAAACCAATATTTAAAACAGTCATTTCAGGTAATATTTGGGGATATTTTCATCATAGTCTTTCTAAAGATTGGTAGAAATCTACTTCATTTGTTAAACTAATTATAATGTTTAAAAGTTTAAATATGTTTATTATATATATATTATTAATAATAATAATGATAATATAATAATAATGAGGATGAGAAAGATAAGGAGGCCGATGATAACGAGTATAATGAGGTTGAGGATGATGATGATGATGATGATGATGATGATGATGATGATGATGATGATAATAACGAGGTTGATGATGACGATGATGATAATGATGATGATAATGATAACGAAGATGATGAGATTGAGAATAATAATGATCACAAGGATGATGATGATAATGAGGATGATGATGATTTTTTAAAGTATGAGGAAATCCCTAAAGGACGTTTTCTAAACCAAATCTAAAGATACTTTTTGTAGTAATCTAGTCTTATTTAACTAATTAGTTTGATTTAAAGTATCTTCCATCGTTCCAACAAATTAAAGATAACAGTCAGCCAGATTTAATTCACCCTAATACCTTTCAATTTGATCCAATGCACTGGTTGTTTTTTGTTTTAATACGTTTTCTATTTTTACATCTGGATCAACAGGAACAGCCCTCGGCTGCACATTGAGGGTAAAGGAGGGCGCCGTACCAAATGAGCACGGCACCTGGCTTTACGGGCGAGGAGGCTGGTGTGATGGGCTGCAGGTCGACTCCTGGAGGATCGACATTACTAAACAGGTTTTCTCATTTTTACAGCATGTAATAATAAACGGTAGATGTCATGAAGACCTCTTGGTCGGGGGCAGTTTTACCACTAATATCTCTTTTGGTTACAAAGCTACTTTAGACCCTCCTTGGTTGTCTAATAGGAAAGCATTGTTGGCCCCTTGTTAGTGTGGCTGGCAGGAGAAAGCCGCCCCTAAACTTACAACAAAACACACAAGAAGACTTTTGGGACCAAAGAGATTGTGTCCATAACCTCAGCAGCATATTTGAAGAAACCAAACTAAACATATGCAGAGCCTGTCAGGCCTGAAGTTGAGGAGATGAGTAATATTTGTACAGTATCAGAACTGGTGTCTATTTAGGTGCAGATTTGATCACATGCAGTTTCACCTAGGATCCATCTGTTTGGTTTGTCCTGTAATACATTGATCACCCTTCTATCACAAGGCAACATCTCCTTTCAATAAATAACTACTGAAGACATTCACTTCCACATGTGACACTGCATTCATTAAGCAGGTGCTGAAAACCTGATGCCTTTGGACTCATATCCGCTCATAACACTGCAGAGCACCAAGTAGCACAGCTGTCTGGTACAGTATTGAGTCCATGGCTTAAAATGATGTCACCCAATTTCTTAGGCTATTCTTCCAGCAGACCCATCATCTATATGGGAACCAGGGCCAAATGCACTTCCCCAAAAACTCTGACATGAACAGCAGTTTAAGCAGTTCTGGACAAAAATGATTTTCATTTGATGAGCTACACACATAGTCTAAATGAAAACCAGCCCAAACTAGTTGGTTTACTGGAGAGTTGACACCAAATCTACTACAGGAAATGCTGTTAAGATAATAAAAGTTCTGTTAAATGTCAAAATTCACCGGATTGCAATGAGGTGGTAGAATTTTCGTTCAGGAATCGGTATCTATAATCGCAACGAACTAAAGCAATACTGTAAATGAGATTGGGACAACATCCTCCACAGTAGAAGGAGGGAGTCATAAAGTCATTTATAAAATGACTTTTTACAATCTTCTTTCTACAATTTTGAAAAACAATTGATGTTTGATGAAACTATTAAATATAAGGAGTCCCTAATTACAATGAAGAGAGACGGGGACCTCTAGAGGCTCTTCATGTAATTACATTAATTCCTGATGATCCTCAGTGAAAGCACTCTCAGGCTCTCAGTGGGTTTTTCAAAGACACTAAAGTCTCCTTCAAGGGTTTGATCAAAGATGTCGGGTGGATTTTATAACACATTTAATAATTATATGTTATCATATCAGTGTGGTAAAGTGAAGATGCATTCCTTAACCATATAGATGAATAAAAAATTCAGATTAGATTTATAAGTGCTGTCTGTTTGTTAAAAATAAAAACTATTTGAACCAATGTCTGCTTTTACACAATAATTAATAATTTATTAACCGTATAGTGTTGCTGATTAGCATCTTACCTGTATTTCAGTTGTGGCATTGGCTGTAAGGGTTTGTATGTGTGAGATCTTGAACGGCACCCAAAAGTAAATATTCTGTTGCTAATTCTTGTCTGTGTGTTTTTGCCTCTTTCTCACTTTTTTCAGGTGAACATGAGCGACTTTGAATCCAACACCGTTGTCTATTTTGGCTTGTTTAATGGACAGGATCCAAATCCATCTCAGCAGCCTGGATATATCATCATGTCGTCTTTTCTCATCTTTTACAAATGATTTTACTTGGAAAATTTTTATTTTTATTAATTTTGATTAACTGTAACTCAGAATGTGCAATCACTGAATAAATCTCTTTTTTACTTTTTTTTTTCAGTCTTTCCTTTACCCTGCTATCCTAGTCCTTAAAAAAAATAAATCCCTGACTAAAGTAGCAGGGCGCTATTTCCAGATCTTTACTTCAGATTCAACAAAAAAGAGCCTTTTCTATGTTGGTAGGCTCTTCATGAATCTGCTTTGTGTCTCAAGGGAAAGCTGTATTGAGGACATCCTCTTTTCCATAATTATGTTTAATTTAAAACTTTTGGTCAAAGATGGTGTTTTTCAAACCTATTCGTGATGCTGGTGTTTTTCAGATTAAAATCTGATTCCACTTCTGCTTTTCTGCTGATTCTTTTTATCATTATTTTCATAATTGAGTCCAAATAGTTTTGTTTTAATCAAACTGCAAAAGTAGTTTATTTTGACCCGGTATCCAGGGTCCATTTATGTTCAGAAATGTTCCTGAATGTTTAAACTCGCTTGTTATTAAACAGAACAATTCACACGTCAAATAATAAAAATGTTTTATTGAACCACTCCACTGTGATACAGATGTACAGGAGAAGGATTTATCCAAAAGGATTTGGAAATTAAAAAACCATGATGATCCAAATAAAAGTTTGATAGTCATGTATGGTAACAGTTTGATAAAGATCGTAATTTTTTTTTTCTTAAAGCAGACATTTCTGTGGGATTTTTTTCAATATAAACTACCCATGCAACAGTTGGGTAAAACAAATGATAATTTTATTTATGGAATAGGCTCTATAAATCACTGTAAACAGTTTTCGTATATTTGTTTAATAAAAGAAAAAATACTTTCCAAATTTTGGGGAAAGGTTGGCAAATTATTTTATTGTTTTGTCAATAAACATATATATATATATATATATATATATTGTGGGAAGTAGCTAAATATCTTGTGTCAGTACAGGCTCTGTATAGATCCAACACAACTTAATAAACTGATGCTGCTACATATTGAATCACTAGAAATTTCATTTTCAGATGTTAAGCATAGGATAATCATATGCATAGAACAGCTGTTGATATAGTGAATCAAACAGGATAGCTTTTAATTACCCTTCAGATGCTGAAGGATCTGACATTTACATATTCAAAAGAATGGGGACCTCTTATAATATATATTTTTCTGTCACTACATATGTTTAAATATCTTATAGTTTGATATCTAAATAAAACCCGTTAATTTTATAAACTTTTGGATGAATCTTTATTCAAACAGTAAAAGTAAAATATTAGTAAATTATAAAACACCTCTCCGTCAGACAATTAACAAATTAAAAAGAATATATATAAATGTAGACATACAGACAGGTAGATAAGTTTCAGAAAAGAGAAGCAGATTTTGAGTGTATTTCCTCCTGATTTAACCTTTCATCAAGTAAACACGCCTGTTGAAGGAGCTTCTATGAATTAAAAGAGCTTTGATTTTTCTTTCTTCTTTTTGTTTATTTCTCACATAAGAGGCCTTGAGTTTTCTCACACGAGCCTTCAGAAAATCTCCTGGTCAATTATTTACCCAGCAGGTTTACTTTTTCTGCCCTGGTTAATTTTTTCCATTCTAATAGGAGTTACCTTTTTCAATAAAAAAATAAAGACATCAAGCTACTGTGTCAGCAGGGCAAATAGATATGATATTTGAATTGCATCCCTACATAAAGCAAAATGAAATTCTTTACTACTATGAAAAAGTGTCAACTACGCTTCTTATTAAGGCAGCAATAGAAAAATCCTTATGTTTATTACTCAGTTTGATATGTTTAGGCCTGCTGTTGGTGTTCAGTTATATAACAAGCAAGAGTAAATCCTCTGTGGGAAACTAAGATTGGTCCCAGGTGTTTTTAAAACAAAAATAACTTGCTGACTGAACCAGTAACCATTTAAAACACCACATTTCCTCTAAACTGAGGAGAAATATATTACCTGTTTTAAGTTCCAGCTGAAGTTAACTCTGCTGTTGTGCTAACAAAGTAAAATTCAGCTTACATTGTATAATCGGGACAAACAATAAGGCTGATACAATTTCTACAAACATTTGATTTTTGCTTTCTTGTATTTTTGGAAGCCATTTTTCCTATTTAGCTTCTGTTTGTGTAAATCCACCAACAGGAGGGGCTGTAGTTTTGGCAGATTCCTCCTTTCCTGAGCTAAATTCCAATTCACACAATACACCAACCTTTCCTGTCAAAAGTATAAAAGAGACATTTATTATTAATGGTAAATGTGATTATATCCACTGGCGATTACAATCAGTTCATTTAACAACACAAATAGTAACGGGTACTAAAAGAGAGATGAAAGCACTAAAACATATAGTGGTACATTTTATGGAGCAGTCGCATATAAAGTTAGACCAAAAATGTTTTACTAGCTTTACTTAATAACATATATTTTGTTATTGTTAAGAGAATTAGAACTTTTCACAAGTCTCTCTACATTTCTGCTCTGAATCAAAGCGGTTTTGGTTTCCTTGACAGCCTCCAAACCAGAACTGGGCGCAGGAGTTCGACTTGGCATCATAGTACCACTTTGCGATGTAGTCCCGACATGGGCCTGGATCCAGGGACTGATTGCAGCCTGTTTCCGGTCCCTGTGAAAGGACCAACTCACCGTTGAAATGGGATTCTGGAAATCCTGGCTGTAAAAAAAGAAGTCTCTTAAAAAACAAAAACAAAGTAACATCTTGGTGTTATTAATGAAGTACATCCACTGATCTTTATTTTTTTCATTAAATTGCTGAAAAAACTGAAGTCACCTGTCGACATCTTAGTATTCCCTACTCTTACAGAGTTTAGCCATGTAAATGCCTATAATGTAATGTAATGTAATTATGATAACTATGTAATCAATACATGTATATTACATTTGCATCATCAATTTAGCATGCTTGGAACAACATCAGATAGTGTGTGTGTGTGTAATATTCTTAATATCTGACTCCAGTATTATTAGGCACCATCAACACAATAGTTTTGTTGTGATGGATTTGTATTATATGTTATATTACATGATTTATAGACTTTATACTGAATATGCACTGTGATGTACCTGTTTTTTCACCATAAATTCAAGTAATCTACTGATGCTATGAAACAGCAGGTGTGTCAAAGTAATAAATGTATTTTTATTTTAAAAGTCTTTAGCCTCCTCGTGGTTCGATGCTGTAGCACACGTATTGTTTACAGGTCCAACTACAGAATACCAATATGGCGGCTGGTGACTACTAACGGCTAATCAGCAATCCAGTGAATAAATATAGATCAGTGAGTACGCCTCATGATCTGCTTAATTCTAAGTGTTACTGCATCCACAAAAGGGGGGTCTGTTAGTGTGCTTCTTCAGAGATCATAGCTGTTGTTAAAACGTTTTCAAATAGGAAAGACATTAGCATTGATTTGGTTGATTTTACATATGCTGGATTGTCATAACAAAAATAAAAAAAATGTGTCTGTCTCTCACCACTATTTGAACACTCCTGAACTCTCCTGGGAAGGTCAGAGTGTCTCCATCCACCCAAAATGGAAGTTTATCATTGTTACTGATGTCTTCTGGGAGCCCAGGAAGAAGTATCTTGCTGATTGTTACTGGGTCAAACAACACAGCCTTTCCCTCTTCAAAGACGCAAGGCAGGAGTCTCATTTCTAGAGCTGCAGAACCAGAATATCACAACAGTGAATGTAGAGTTTTGTGGGGTTTTAAACAGTAGGCAAGTTTCCACACAAAAATTCTCTGAATCTGACATATGCACAGAAGCTTTATGTTTATATACTCTCAAAAAATAGAAAATGTGTACCGGAAAAAAAATCAGAATCTAGATAAGTATTTTTTTCTTAAAATAAGTGCATTTGTTTTTGGATTAAGGAGGTAAGAGAGACATTTTGCCAATGGAACTAGAAAATGTACCCTTAAAATAAGAAATCACAATTGCATTGTCTTATTTCAAGTGCATATTATTTAATTATCTTATTTTAAGAGTAAAAATACTAATTCCATTGGAAAATACTCCCATTACCTCACTCAAATTAAGGGTAAATACACTTAATTTAAGGAATTTTTTAATTATTTCTAGATCGTTTTTCCCTTGTGAGGACTTTTTATGTCTGTTTTGTATTCTATTCTTAACCACTGTGTAAAGTAAATATCAATGGACGCTAAAGCTAGTATGGCCATGAAGGACAAAGCATTGCCCAGCTCCAGCAGCTTATTAACAAGGTTTTTGTCACATATCAACAGCAACACTAAATAAGTCTACAGAATAATCTATTTACCATAACCAGATACCTAAGATATCCTGTCTTTGCTCTTGATCTCCACTTTAATCTCTATCAGAAGTAGAGACCCCAACCCATAAAGATTGTAAAAACAATGCTCAAAGGTGCATTACAACAGCTGCAGTACTGCTTTGATAACACAAACTGGAGTTTTGTCAACAGTATAGAAAGAGGGCGAGAAAGGCGTCCTGTCCAACTCATCATGGGCCTTTGCTACTTGGCCAAGTAGGCCTTTAACTGACTGGTCAGTGCACATAACTTTCACCCGGGAGTCTGTTGTGCATAGTAACACCTACCCATCATAGTTGGGTGATATGCAACGCATATGCAGTTATGCAGCAACGTACTGTACATGCTGGTGTGGTGGTGTGTCAATAACAACTTGTGCACTAACACAGCTAAGACCAAAGAGGGCGTCATTGACTTCTAATAGAGGAGTTCAATGACCTTTAGTCCATCACCATCACTGGGGTTTATCTAGAGGAGGTGTCCAGCCACAAGTTCCATAAGTGTGCACATACAGGCCTAAAATTGAACTCTTAACCACAGAGATTATACAGAAGACCTAGCAAAATCTCCACTTTCTGAGGATCCTCAGAAGACTACCTGAGGCAAGAGCTACTGAGTGTCTTCTACCACTGCTTCAGAGTGTGCTGACTGCACAATCTGTGCCATGGCATACAAAAGTGCAAGGACCATCAACACCATCCAGAAGATCAATGGCCATTCTTCATAAAAGACGTCTTAAGAACTTGTCTCAGGAGGGATCACAGCCTTCCCAGGGACTGTACACACCAAAGGTGTTTGGGTGAGTGGCCACTTTATTCCAATAAAAAGTTATGTGGTTCCAATCTAATAGACTCAGGAACAATTTGAACAATAGTGCTATAATTTCAGTCATCTTTGAAGTGGATCATATGCATACAGAGATGCATATTTATATTTTTATTTTATGAATGCACTGAAAATTTATTCTGTACATAGTTTTATTAGAGTTCTTCTGCACCTCATGACGGTCACTGGACCAACGTTGTTGCACTGCTACAGGTTGTAATTTAATACAATGGCAATATATATCTATCTTATCTAACTTCATTTTCACAGCTACTTATGCTCTTCAGCTCCATCTTGTGTCAAAATGATACTTGTATATTTATTCTCTGAAATATTCCCACACCGGACAGTCCGGATTACCAAAATTATTCACATTTGGTTAATGTTTGAATAACATTCACACACTTTTTTCACCTCTATAGTCACACGTCCTTTTGAATTGAGATGTTCTGTGGAGGCCAATCACCATCATTCTCTTTTTTGTGCTATATTCCTTTTTTTACTTATTTGGACCCAGGGTGTAATTTCCTGGTTAATGTTCTTAGATGTTGATTTATTTTTTCTACCTTTTTCCCTTATTTTTTTAAGGATTTTGCAAAAAGTATCAAGCACTCCTGCAGAAAAGCATCCCCATAACACGATGTTGCCACCCCTACATTCAACAACTAAGGTTCTCAGGTTTTCAGCTTTACCCTTTTTTCCACCCAAACTGGGATGGTCAACATGACACAAAACTATTTAAAATTTTGCCCTTTAGTGCATCTTGTGTTTTAAATGTAAAGCACTTAAATGCTTTAGAATTAATTGCTTTAGAATTAATTGCTTTAGAATTAATTGCCCTTTTCTCATTTAAATTTAGCCCATGTTGGTCAAGAGGAAATTGTTTTACTCTTTTACGAGCCTTAGCATCTTCACAAAGTGTTGTAGTTGTTGTTTTAGGGTTGATGTGCACATTTTACACCAACACCTGTTAATTCCTAGGACTTGGAAGTAGGGCTGTTTGGCTTTCTTAGACATCCTTAAATTGTAAAGCAGGATAAAACACATTTGTGAGGTCCCTTAATTCTCTTTGATCATTTTCATTGATGTTTACAGAAAGGCAGAAAAAAGAAGCAAATTAATGTCTGCTATTTAACTCAAATTTGTGGATAGGCATATTAAAAGCCTGCAGTGCCATGACAACCCAATCTAGACTTTAGTGTCAAACTATGATCTAAATAACTTTGGTAAACTGATCTGATTAAATAGGAAAGGTTTAGAATGATTAATAGATAATAAGAGAAAATGGTTATGTTTATATAGTGTATTGTAACCTCTGCTTTCAACTGTAGCTAAATGTGAAGGTTTGGAAAGATGTCATGAGAGTATTGACTTATCACCTCGAAGCTTATCGAAGTCTGTGATCAGGAACATGTGATCGCTGTCAGGATCTGAGGCAATGAAGTTGAGCTCCTCAATAAACTTCTTGGAGTTAGAGTCACTATTGTTCACCACTCCAATTACAAACATCTCAACATTACTGTCTTTAGCCTTTGTCACAGCACTCTCCAAGCTGACAGCATCTCTCATATCGGTCTGTCCATCGGTGATGATGATAGCCACCTTCCTCACATCTGTCCGTGCCGCTTCAAACACCTGGAAGGCTTTTTCAATAGCACTGCCGGTGTAGGTGCCCTCACCCAGGTAGGTCATGGCACGGACTTCAGATTTGACCTCATCTCCTGTGGCTTCCTCCTCAAGGCTGAGCACAACTAAATTACTGTTGCTGTAGAGGACAACGCCGACCCGCGTGGCATTGGGGCTGACCGTGGTGCGATCCACCACCGAGTTCACAAAGTCTTTGATCACATTAAAGTTCTGAGGGCCCACGCTCTCTGAGCTGTCGATCACAAACACCAGTTCTAGCGGTTTTTGGTGACAGGCTTTGCTGCAGTCTGAAGAAGAGGCAGACAATAGAAAGGAGGGCGGAGATGTTTATATTAACAAGAGCAAGTAAATCTCAACATTACTGATTGTTTATGAGATGGACTATTTACAAACTACTTACTGCATATGGACCTGATTAATTCTATGATCTCACTCCTCTGTAAAGAAAAGATCAAAGATACAAACACTGTTATTTGCAATGCAACAAACTTCTACAACAAGGTGCTTAAGTTTCTGATAAGCCACATAACTTCAAATAGTGTACTACCCAATAATACTACCGAATTGTTAAATAATAAAAACAGTAAATATTTGAGGATCGAAATACCTGCGGAAACATGCAAAAGTTGGACAGGAAGTAGCCTAATGTATTATTGTTTCCAGCTGCAATGCCATTAATGTTGTTTCTTCTCCGTTGATGATGGCAAATGTTAAAATAATCCTCACCTCGCCAATTGATAACATGTTTAAGACTTATTTTTCAAAATAAACACACATTTTACATTTTTCCTATCTTCCTGTGTTGTTTTCCAGGAAAAGATGTTTCATAGGCATAATTTGGGGCTTAACTTTTGTTGATTTAGGGACCAAATAGCTTTGGACTGGATAGTTTTAAAGATCTTTTATTACTGAATCTTTACACTTACTGTTAATCCCGGCTCTCCTTTCTGTCCCATTCGGCCCTGTTATTCAAAAACAGGTAATGTAAAAAGAGAACTATGATCACTTTTAAAACCTTAAATACAAAAATCACATGCTGTGGTCCTTAATTATCCACCCATGGTAAATTCTCTGGAAACAAAATGCAGTACCACAGGGCCAACATCTCCTGGCTGTCCTGGCAGTCCTCTGTCTCCTTTTTTCCCAGCCTCACCTCTGAGTCCTCTGTCTCCCTGCAGGAGCAAATTAAATACAGTTGTCACCTTCTAGTCAGGGTCAAAATAACCAAACTTTCACTCTAAAGAATCTGTCAGCATTAATAGTAACACCTTGTCTCCCTGCAGACCTTGTCCTGGAGGACCTCTGGGTCCAGGAATTCCCTGAAATCCAGGGTCCCCCTGGAAACAGACAAACACCCTTTATTTTCCCACTATATAACCTTATAGGAAGGATCTGGTTATGATTAAATGACTAAATGATGATTATTTTAGCTGCTTGTTACATATTTGAATGAATCACAGGAGAAATTTGGTACCTTCTGTCCTTCTATACCTTCTCCAGGTAATCCCGGTAGGCCAGGGGGTCCAATTGGACCTGGAGAACCCTGGAGAGGAGAACACTTTTTAAATTAGAGACATTAATTGGAATTCTTATTCATAAAAAAAAAAAAAAAACAATTGTGCAAACATTTTCCACCTTTAGCACCATTGTACATATTGTTTTTTTTTGTTTCCACTATAATAAAACATATTTCTGAATCAAGATCTACGTTTATCTCATTTTCTTGTTTAGCTGTAGAGGCAGAAAGAGTCCCAGGCCATATAATGTCACGATTTGGTTAAAAGGTTTAGATTGGACCCAAAAGCAGAAGCTGGGAGGCAGAGGTGAATTCTTGGAGGGTTTATTGCAAGATCAGGCAACAAAATCAGGTATCCAAAAATCCAACTTAAAAAATGTTAAACAAAAACAGGAATCCAAAAATCTAGTGATGGGCTATCTGAAGCCAGGCTTCGAGGCTTGTACCGAGTAATAAGGGGGCGTGTCAATGAAGCCCCGCTTCGAGGCCTGTGTTGTCTTGTTGAAAACCACGTGACTGGCAACAAACGAGGCCTCGCATTGCATTGGTCACGTGACTGCTTCATTTTGCGTGTCGGTTTCCAAAATAAAAGCGCGATGAATCCTGTTTCTTCGTGGGTTGTAGTAGGTGGTTTGGTATCAGCAGAACAGTTTTCATCAGTAGTGGTTGTAATGGAGCCGTCAAAAAAGAGAAAAACCTCTCATATGTGGGAGTATTATGAGATGACAGATCACAATCACAACCTGAAACAGTGAAAAAAGTCCTATTCCTAAATAAAAAAAATTAAACCTAAATTCCGTAAAAATTCAAAAAATATCAACTGGACTTGGTTTTCAAGATTTGAAGACGTTTCGCCACCTCTCCAGGAAGCTTTCTCAATTCAAATGTCTGGATCCGCAGTGAGTTTGAGTCTTATATAGACAACGGCTTGTATCGCTTGGAAACATGCAATAGAAACCGATGAATGGGTCGTTAGTTCCATCGTTAGCCTGTAATATCTGAAACTGTCTATGATTCTAGGGGTCGGTCGTTAAAGGGGGGATTGTCATTAAGGGGGGGATTGTCTCCTGTAATACCTGAAACCTGTCTATGATTGTTAAGGGTTGGTCGTTAAGGAGGTATTGTTCACCTCTCCCCCTTAATGACAATCCCCCCTTTAACGACCGACCCCTAGAATCATAGACAGTTTCAGATATTACAGGCTAACGATGGAACTAACGACCCATTCATCGGTTTCTATTGCATGTTTCCAAGCGATACAAGGCGTTGTCTATATAAGACTCAAACTCACTGCGGATCCAGACATTTGAATTGAGAAAGCTTCCTGGAGAGGTGGCGAAACGTCTTCAAATCTTGAAAACCAAGTCCAGTGGATATTTTTTGAATTTTTACGGAATGACTATGACCTGGATGACTGAGAACCTTCATCAGCAAATTAAACCTAAAATCCAGAAATTTCTATATTTTCTTTTGTTTAATCAGGAGATGCATCAGAATCACACATCAAAACCAGACTAAAAGCCATTAGAAGAGGCAAACTCTATGTGTAACTTAATATTAAGAATCAGAACTAGAACTCCTAGGAAGAGATGATTTTAAACAAATTCTGTCTTTAAGGACGCAAGTTTCAAGCTCAAAGTACACAGAGTCTGCAGCAACAGTCACTCAGTTCTCAATACATTAAAGTAACACATATCTTCATTGTCTAATAAGTCCATGACATAAAAGAAAACCCAACACCACCACTGATGGTCAAGGATTAGATTGGCTACAAATCATTTTAATCATTAAAACATGACAATTGAATAGGATTCTCCTCTTACTAAACATGAGTTTGATGAAAACTTTGTGACAATATTGCATTTCCTAATATTTGGAAGTATGATCCAACTGAGTAACAAGGCTGTTACAGTTTCACCAGCAGATGTCACTAGTGAGTGATGAATGAAGCATCGAGTAATGAACTTTTTTCAACACTTTGCGTTGGAAAGCTTCATTGCTTCATGAGGCTTCACTTGCCCATCACTACAAAAATCCAACATAAAAATCAAACACTAACCAGAACCATGGAGGCATCAGGGAAAATCCAACAAGGAGCCAGGGTGAGGAAAGGTAAGACGAGGAACCAGCAAAGAGGGACTGCAGAGGGAGTGTATTTATGGCTGACTGAACAAAGGTAGAGCTAATGAGCTGATAGGGAACAGGTGTGATTAGAGCTGACGAGGAAGCCAAGGGAAAAGAACACAAGGAGGCAGCAGGGGACAGACAGAAAAACCTAAGCAACTTAAATGAATCCAGACACCAAAAAAGCTAGAAAACAATGAAAAACCTGGCTAAACTTGAAACAGAAAACTTAAAGAAAAACAACAGAACCAAGATCATTACATATAATGGGAGCTCGCTGCTCCCCAAGAGAATGGGTTAATGCAGAGAGGGAATTTCACCATTGTGGGACAATAAAGGGATTTATTTTACATTTTATAAACAACTAATCAACCAATTACCTTATGACCTATCAGACCAATTCCTGGAGGTCCAGCAGGACCAGGTGGTCCTGGAAACCCTCTGTCCCCCTGCAAATCAAATGCACTTGTAAGAGAGCATTTAAAATGAATTTGTGGACTTTTATTAAACATAAAATTTTATATATTTCTATGATCTGTACTCCCATGGTAGATAAGTGGTATTATATGTATTTTAGATGCTCTCATTCTCCAACTTTAAGATGTTTACCTTGGATCCAGGCAAACCAATTCCATCCAGTCCAGCCTCTCCTGGAACACCAGGAGGTCCAGGAAGTCCCTTTTTTTTTTAGAATGACACAATTCAGATCTTAATTGATCAAATTGGCTAAATAAAAGGTTCTTCAGTTGTTTGGTACTCACTGGGGGTCCAAAGAAACCTTCGCCTTTCAGTCCTGGTCGCCCGACAGGACCGGGTGGTCCTCGATCTCCCTACAGAAGGAAAGTACACGTTTTAACTGCGCTCACTTTAAAATTCCTATTTGCAGATTTTAACAACCTGAATGGGTCTTACCTTGGGTCCAGGTAAACCAATCCCAGGCTCACCAACTGCTCCAGCTGGACCCTGTGGACCTTGGTCTCCCTGAGTAAAAAAAAAAAAGTATCTAAACTGTTGTTTGGTTGAAGTATGGATATCTTTAGGGTTAGCGTCACCCACTCACCTTGGCACCTGGAATCCCCCTGCCTGGAGGCCCAATTGATCCTGGAAGTCCAATATTTCCAGGTTCCCCCTTAAGGTAGAAATGCTAATCAGAGGCAAATCTTATAAAAGAATAAATTTTTTTTTTTTTCATTTCAGGATAAGGATAGCAATGATATTTAAGTTTAAAACAGCTAATTAATGGATAGGTGACACCATTAACAGATTTTGGAGCTTTCTATTCGGACATTCTATACCTTTGGACCCATTTGCCCCATTGGGCCCGGTGGACCTGATTGGCCTCTGCTCCCTCGGTCCCCTTTGTCTCCCTGCAAAGTTACATCAAACTGTTCAGCTCATCCATCTCACAGCATTCTAGATTGTCTACAAATTTTCATGAATTGTTACCTTCCCTCCAGGAAGTCCTCGACCAGGAATCCCATCAGGTCCTCTGGGTCCTGGTAAGCCTACATCACCCTGTTGTTGTTTTAATGGAAATTTAGAACAAAAGAGGGAGAATTGACACATTAGTAGGAATTGTTTACACCTATCCTCACACAGAGAAAAGTGCTCGATGGTACCTTTTGTCCCGGGACTCCGTCCTCCCCTGGTGGACCAGGTAACCCTGATAAACCAGGAACTCCAGAATCACCCTACAGAAAGGAAATAGAAAAACTGACAATAATACTCTATGTGCAAACATGTACAAAATATCAAATTAGAAACACATTGATATAAAAAAAACAACAACAAAAAAACGTTAACACAGGAACTTTCCCTCTTAACTAAGAAATCCTTTTCTTTCTTAAACTACCAAAATATTTTACTGTTAGTTGTGGGCAAAAACAAAGTAATAAAATACAGATTGATTTTTAGAGTCCATAAATACAAAATACAAATGGTCAATTTGCTGAATACTGTGGATTAAATGGAGAGCAGCTCATTAGTGCCCATATTAAGGCCCTACCTTCGGTCCCGGTGCTCCCACACCTCTCTCCCCCGGTGCTCCAGGTGCACCAGGGAAGCCTTGGTCGCCCTGGAGATAAACATCACATAGTCTGTGAAGTATCGCTTTTACATGACTACAACTGATGTAACAGTCTGAGGTATCCTCATTGGTACAATCCTTACTAGCTCACATAAAGGACCCAATGAGACCCAAATAAAAAATACAGTTTGTGAAAGGTAGACATGTAAGCTGTTAATTTCTATGAAAACAAAGTTCATTTTGAAAATACTCTTTAAATTAGAGTTTGGATTTAAATGGAGGTTCTCAATCAAAAAAGTACACAGTGCCATAATATAAATTACTATAGGTTAAACTAACTAATCTTGAACTAAATGTAAAACAATATATTTATTTTAAAAGTGCTTTATCAATTGGGGTTTGTGAAAATTTGTTTTAGCTCCAGGAAAAATAACAATGATAGATAGAGCTAAAATGAATAATCTGCTGATGGACATCCTCTGGGCTTCCTCACCTTTGGCCCCATGATCCCAATTCCTGGAGGTCCTCTAGACCCTGGAAGCCCAACTGGGCCCTGGACTCCCTAAGAGACAGAATATTTGGATAAATACATGAAAAAGTAAGGAAAACATTTTTGTGTATTTCATTTAAGGCCATTATTTCTGAGTGCACAGATTTAAATAAGCTTTCTAACAGAAATGTTCTAATAATGTCACAAGGCATCAACATTCACACGAAAGAATAGACTTACAATCAAAGGACTAAAGAAGACCCTCATTTGTATTTAAAGATAGAAATAGATACTCCTGAATTAGTCATTAGTTTATTGAAACAAGCATAGTAGGCGGATAACTGTTGAAAATGGTTCTGTAAATTATTGTGGGCATTGAATGGCTTGTTATGGAGGATGATTGTCATGATCTTGGCACTGATGACTGGCTTAATTACTCATTCCTGCCTCTATTTAAGGTGTTTGAATCCGGTCATCACAGGGTGATCGTTCGTGTTCTCTCTAGCCTGTGGCTAGCTTTTAGAGCTCCTTGGTGTTTCTGCTTTCCTAATCCTGACCTGTTCTGTCTCTCAACCACTGAGCCTGCCTGTTCCCATTTAATCGTTTTGGCTGAGCTTGCTTCAGACTCCTGGACCACTGAGCCTTCCTGTTCCTATTCTGATCTCTTTCCCTGACCTGGCTTGGGACTCCTGCATGTTCTCCAGGGCTGAAGCATCTGGGACATGCTGGATGGCGCCCGCCGCATCTTGTTTATCCTACCTCGTTCTCTGGGCATGGACTGAACTTGAAAACTAGGTTAGTGACTCACATGGATAATCATCCTCTGTCAGATTATCATGGTCACTAACCTGTGTTTCTCTCCTGCAGAGGTTCCACCCTTAGGTGCCCTAGCTGCTGCTACTCAGATCAGACAGTTTTAAATAAACGCTTTTTGAGTGATGCCACTGTCTGTCTTGCCTGAATACTGGGTCGTCTGTTCTGTGTCGTGACAGTAATGAGTGCCACAATTCAATTAATACCCACCATAGATTTTGAGTTCGGCTGATTTTTGGTTTTAGAAATATAAGAATGTTATTGATGATCTAAGGGGTAATTTTTTCCAGATAAAAAGATCTTTGATGCAATGAAAACAAATTTTCTCCCATTAATTTACATACTTGTTTGTCATTTGTGTATTGGGAAAAAAAAACAAACAAACTCTTTGTTGCATCACTTTTTCCTTTTCCGTCTGAGCTTTTCCATATTAGATTATTTTGTTTTTTTTTTTACCTTCAAGTTTTTCCTACAATAATTCTAAAATTTGTTTATTATAGTCAAACTGAGGGAAATTAACTTTAACATCACACTATAAAGAAGTTATCTCACTTAGACAACATGTGGACTAAAAAGACAAGTGCATTGTTGCAAAAAATTATATTACATTCAAAAAGGCATCACATAAACACTTTATTGGACACAGATGGATAGAAAAGAAAAAAAATGATTTTGGATAATGTATGTTGACATTTTGTGAACTGTTAACATTTAGTTAACTAAATTGTTGAAGTTGCAACACTATACATACAGCATAACCATTGAATAGACAAAGTCAAGTATCACTATGTTTGTAAATCAGCACTTTAAGTAAAAAGATATCTTTATACCTTTTCCCCTGGAAGTCCAATTCCAGGATCACCAACTGGACCTTGGAGTCCTGGAAGTCCATGATTACCCTGAAATCAATAAGAGTTGGTTCTAAGCTATGTAACAGTAACATGAACAAAAACATACATACATATATATATATATATATATATATATATATATATATATATATATATATATATATATATATATATATATATATATATATATATATATATATATATATATATATATATATATATATATGTATATATATATATTATGTCTTTACCTTATCACCTTTGATCCCAACACCAGGAGGCCCACGGTTTCCTCGGGGACCCTCAAATCCTCGGTCACCCTGCATTAAATTACAGTAAATAACAGTCTCCAAGTTATAAACATGTATACTTTTGATTATAATTATGTTGCGAAAAAAAAAAAGAACATTTGCTAAAAAGCCTTTTTTTATTGGTCAGTTGTTATATTTTCAGCAGAAACTTTAGGCAAATTTCGGTGGGGACTTTTTACAAGGACTATTTGACTGCATCATCGAACAGGAATATAAATTTAGCATTAGTATGATTCAATAGGGCAGCACGGTGGTGTAGTAATTAGCACCAGGTTTCTGGGTTAGGTTCCCAGGAGAACCAAGACCTTTCTGTGTGGAGTTTGCATGTTCTTCCTGTGTTTGCGTGGTTTTTCTTCAGGTTCTTTGGCTTCCCCCACACAGTCCTAAAACCTGCATGTTAATTCGACTGGAGATTCGAAATTGCCCTTAGGAGTGAGTGTGAGTGTGGTTATTCGTCTTTGAGTGTCTCTGTGTGGCCCTGCAATGGACTGGCGGACCATCCAGGGTGTACCCTGCCTGTCGGTCATTGAATACTGGGATAGGCTCCAGTCCCCCCGCGACCCCATAAGGGAATAGGCAGTTAGGGTAATGGATGGATGGATGGATGGATGGATGGATGGATGGATGGATGGATGGATGGATGGATGGATGGATGGATGGATGGATGGATGGATGGATGGGTGAATCAGTAAACATGTTCAGTGAAATTACTCATAGAATTCCAATCTATCTGTTAGAAGTTTCCATGAAGAGCGGGGCAACTCTCAGCATCAAATGACGAGGTTTTTCTAACAAATGACGACATTGGCTTTACACAGAAAAGGTACTTGAAATCCATGGATGGTTTAAGCTCCCATTTTCCCTGGGGGAGCAGCTAGCTCTTTGAAAAGACCTCAACTCTTTCTTAAAGACATGCTCTAACAGCAACTATGGTTAATTGGGAGTAATGGTTGTCTTTCAGAAACTCAGTTTATTGTGGTTTTTAACACTAACATTTTTCTCTGTGGGTGACAGTGGTGAAGGAAGCAGTAATTTGTTCTGAAACTTAATTTCATTTTCCGTCGGTGTGTCCCATGGCAGCTGTGGCTACAATATGGCTTGTCATCAGTGTGTAAACAAAAGGGTGAATGATTGACATTTGTGTGTAGTGTTTACTTTGAATTTACCCCTGATAAGAGCTTAATTACAACTGCTGGAATGTTGTTCCAACTCTTCAGGCACTTTAAAAGTGTTTAATTTCACTTCTCAGGCATTCAAAAAAGATACTCAAAAGTCTCTGTGGAATAGTAAATAAAAACTTGTGCCCAAATGTTTTTTATCCATAAATATGAAAGATGGACATATATTCACAAAAGGGTTTTATTCAAGGAATTGCTCACCTTTGGTCCTGGAAATCCTTCTCCTTGGGGTCCAGGCTTTCCTTGGGGTCCAGTTGGTCCTGGTGGACCCTAGACAAAAAAAAAGGAAATCTTGGTCAAAACATTTGTTTATCAAACTGATTTGATTTTGAAAATGGGAAAGTAATCCCTTCTATTTTTGTTTTCTCCTTTTAATTATCCAAACTTTTGAGTTTGTTCAGACTGCTTTTTGCTAACTTCTTTTGGTCAGGAAAATACTATTTCAGAAATATTTTATTGTCTGTTAAGCTGACTGGCATTCACCATTAAGTTCTGCACATATCCTAAAATAAAATGGAAGAACCTGCAATCTATACATTTTGACAAATGAATCATTCAGACATGAAAATGATCCTAAATTCAAGCTTCAAGGCTCTTCTGTGTTGACGTAGTACATGGAATTAAGCAAAAAAACATCCACAAAGTTGGATCACTACGCTTTTTGCTACTAGTAGCCTGTCAAAGTACCAAAAGCCTAAAAACACTGTAAAGCATTACAAGACATGTCTGACAATTCAGTGTTACTGCTCAGAAAATGCAAAAATATTTAGTTAATCAAATGTTTCTGATTAGGTCAGTATATTCATTCTTACAGGTGGTCCAATGTCTCCTTTCCCAGTTGGACCCATTGGACCTGGTCTTCCTTCAAAGCCCCTTTCACCCTGTAAGCAGGCAACAGCATCAGGCCCCATTCAGTTTCACAATAAAGCCATACATTTTATGAAGCAAAACTTATTGAAAGAAGCAGGATTACAGTTTATTTTACCTTGAAGTTAAAATGTTATTTCATATTTTTCAGTGACTCACAAAATCTTAGCAGGGAATCTCAAAATGCACAGTAAAAACTGAAGTGTCATTCTTATTATACTTCATAATGAAAGTAGAAAAACAGGTTGACACATGATTTATACATTCATGTATTTAAAAAAAAAATCTAAGAAGTATAGATAGCATAAGGATTTAAATAAAGATGTCACCTTAGGTCCTGGACGTCCAATCCCAAAGTCTCCTGGTGGTCCACGTTCACCAACGGGACCTCTGTCCCCCTGAGGTTTGCAATGTTGCATGAAGATAAACAGACAGGGATGGCAAAATGCTACATAACACGGCAACCAGTAATCACCTGCAAGCAGCACTACTGATAAACCTAACCAGCACCATTTCGATACTGAAAATATAAGAATATACAAAAAATTACAAACTTTCTCTTTGTCTCTAGAATCAAATCTGTGTCAAGAGATTTAAAATACAAACTTTGAAAAAGCTGTTTAGGTACCAGCTCTGAACATTTTTTACATATGTAATATCTACAATCATGTGAAAACTCATATGCCATTAAAAATAATAGTTATATAAGGGAGCTTGGATAGACTTAATATTTTACAGATTTGAATTTTTCACATATGATAGAAAATTTTGCAAATTTAGAATTTTTCCATTTATTTTCTATTTACTACTTCTGTCAGAAAAGTGTGAGAAGACCTTTAAAACCATGTTTCAAATAAAAAAACATTATACGCAAAATTACATTTTCCTCATGCAAAAAATGTTTGTTAACCCCTCTCTTCCAAATGTGAAAACTATTCAAAACAATGTTTATCATAAATATACATGGGAACTTTAAGGTATTAAAGTTTATATTTACCAGTGTCACTGAGATTTGAGTTGTAATATTCTTATAGCAATTGCGCAATTGCTATGACCTGACCTGATTTCAAGATTTAATCATGAAATCAGGTCTAATATGTTTTTGTACAATAGTTAGAATTTTTATAAATAACTAAACAAAAATATATAAAGCAGGTAAAATAAGTATTGAACACATCACTATTTGTCTCAGTAAATATATTTCTAGAGGTCCTATTACCATGACATTCACATTCACCAGATATCTGTTACAATCCATATATTCAAAGAAATCAAACCATAGATGTCCAGAAATTAAGTTATGTGTACTAATGGGGAATGGCACAGGAAAAAACTATTTTAACACATGAAGAAAGGGAGGTGCAAGAAGGCATGGAAAGCAAAGACACCAGCCAAAATCTCTTAGAAAGCAACCCTGCCCCTTGTCAGTGCAAAAATTGATTTAATCTGGTTCATTCTGAAATGATGGCCTATAAAAAGTGTCTCTGGTATCATACAAGAAACATCTCATAATGGGTAAAAGTAAAAAGCTTCCTCAAGACCTTTGCATGTCATATACGGAAGAGTTGTACCCAGCATTCAAGGTGAGACCATCAGTAGGAACGTTTAAAACGATTATTAAAACAAATCAGAACAGAGCAGAAATGGGCTGCTGTGGGTCTTTGGACCTGCAGCAACTGCGGGGAAAGTGGGGCGATCAGAGGTTCCGACCCAAACGGTAACAAAGGGATCCAGGCTTCCACGAATCCTTAGAGTGTGAAGGCAGGTTCGGATTCAGACGGGTGCAGAAGCGTGCCCAGATGGACATGAACAGATGCAGACAGGCGGAATCCAGTAGGAGTCCAAAGGTGGTTCAGGGGAACAGATCAGACGGGGACAGACAGGGCCAGTGGATGAGAGGGAATGGATTCAGGAGATCAGAATAACTAGGGAAGCGCTAAAATGTTCTCACAGCTGGTTAGAGAATAAACTCGCCTGAAGACATTGGCTCCAGAATAATCTCCTCACTGGAATGGGGACATGAACCTCGGACCATCTTAAACTTATGAAAACAGAACATACTGTAAAGACTTCTAACAGGGAACAAACAAACAGCAAACAATGATCTGGCCCTGATAGCTGGAACTAAGCCCAATATAAAGAAACAGACGCAGGTGGATGAGATCAGTGATAATTACAGACTGGGCAGAGTTAGGTAGATGAGTGAAATGAACATTTAATGCCAGCTCTCAGGGCAGATCATGACATTGCATGATCTAAACTTCTCAATGTTCCAATGAGCGTTGTTGAGGCTATAATCTGGAAGTGGAAAGATTAGCCCATTCCAGCCAATCACCTGATTTGAATCCACTAAAAAATCAGAGTTTATAGAAGAGGCCCAAAAAACCTTCAAGATTTGAAGACTGTGTGGAAGAATGGGCCAAAACCACATATGAGCAATGCATTCAAATAATTTCATACAGGAGGCATCTTGAAGCTTTCATTGCCAACAAAGACTTTTGTACAAAGTATTAAATACATTTCGATAGTTGTGTTCAATACTTTTTCCCTGTGCCATGTTGCGATACATTGTCGCCGATCTCAACGGAACTACGCATCTCAGAAGACACAGCCCTCCAGCGTAGGTTTTATAAACACTAGCTTCACATATTAGCGTCCTATTTTGCCGGTGGCTCTGCACCGCTAACGGCTAGACAAAAGCGCTCACAGCTGAAGGCTACATAAAGTAGAGATAAAATCCCTCCGGAGAAGTCGGCACTTGCTGAACCGAGTTGCACTGCCTTATTCCTGCGATTTAGAAGGAGTTGAACACAGTGTTTTTATTTTTCCTGCGATTCACAAGGGGCTGAACGCTGTTTTTTTTTTTCTTCCTGCGATTCAAACCGAGTGAACTCAGTGTATCCAGGATCCTGCTGCAGCAGAGACAGAAGAGCTAAACCAACTCTGCTAACCGCCGAAGGAACCATTTGAAGCTGCCAGACCGTGACCACCTGCGTGCTAACCAGCGTAGCTAAATGGGAGATGTCCCATGCTACTGTAAGTTATAAAATTAACCCCCTTTCAAATCGCCTCTTATTCTTGCATCGGATTGATTCAAATCTCTTTGATTTGCTGTTGGACGAACTGACTAGACCAAAGAAACCGGACCGAGCCGAAGGCCTTCACTCCACTGAACCAAAAACAGTAACTGCACCCTTCCCCCTCCTTTCCATCTGATGCTTAATAAGTGCTCTGATCGGGTGAACTAGGTCGAATAGATAGTCGTGTTGGTGTTTTTATTTGAAATAAGTTTTCTGATTCAAGTGCTGATGGTTAAAGTTTTAAATGAATGCTAATGCTCACTACCCAGAACCCCTGGGGCCAGCTAATCTAACGGGTCTTTCAGCCTCATTATAGTTTAGTTACAGTTATAATTATTCAACTGATAATAAGAACTAATTTTACCCTTGATTTGAATAACCTATTAATTAACTAACTTTGCAGTTCTAGTTATTTCTCATTATCTTCTGGTAACCTGGCACAACAGCCATTTCACTTTATTACACATAACTTAATTTCTGGACATCTATGGCTTGATTTCTTTGTATGTGCGGATTGGATGGGTTGTTACCAACATCTGGTGAAAATGCCATGTCAATAGCAACTCTAGAAATATTTTTACTGAGAAAATGGTGTGTTCAATACTTATTTTACCTGCTCTATGTTTTGTCTTCATTCTTTCATCTTTTTAATTGTTACAAAAAAAAATATACATATATATGTCCAAAAAGGAGAGTAACCTTGATCACTGAATCTTAAGTATCTTAAAGTCTTACTTTAGGTCCTGCTGGGCCCTCAGGACCCATGTCTCCTACTGGCCCTATTAAACCCTGCAAAATAAACAAAAGAAAAAATGTCAGTCCAGTGTGGGAACATTCTTTAGCATCACCAAGAACGTTCTAGCAAGTTATTTTTTTGTGTTGGCTATTTGATATGAAAAATTAAATGATTTCTTGAATGAGTTTGGAATTGGGAGTTTGGTCTCCAACCAACATCAACTGGTATAGTTTTCATTCCAACTGATTCTCAGACCATGCTCATCAAATAACAGAGCTAGACTGACTCTTTGCCAATAGCATTGGGGAAAAATGACAGAATCCTTCAACTAATCTCATTGCACAAAGTTTGATCCTGCAAAAGAATAACATCCTGCAAGCCTGGGGTCATAGCTTTGGTGTCAGGATTACCTATAATCCAGTACTCACATTCCATTTGTCCAGGCAGGAGTAACATTTTTCAGGTTGAACGGATTGATAACAAACTGTCTAATGAGACCAAATCCTGATGTTTTTGTTTTAATATGGCTGCATGGTAGCAGACTACACATTAAGTATGTGTAAAAGAAAAGAGAAGAAACCAGAATTTATTCTGACATTAAAACATATTTGTTTCATTAAACCGTTTACTAGACTTCATTCCAAAGGCCTCAACACTATGAGAGGAACATTTGTAGAAAAACTAGCAGTAAGTTTGAAGACATCCTTAAACCCCAAAGATGACCTAAACTGGCTTGTAAAATACCCAAGGACTGTATTGTGCTTGTAATGGAGATTGTGGTAGCTTGCAGAACAATCCTCTAAATCAAATCCAACCCTACTGAATGTCAGTCAGGTGGTTGGCAATAAAGGTGGGATAGGAGTGAGTCGGTCAGTCTGAGGTCAGAACGTATGTGATCTTTGACAAGGGACCTCACTCTGGGCCAGGCGACACATTTTCTAGATTCAGAAAACAGACTGGATCAGGCTGAATGTTAGTATACTATATTATTGCCAGTGAATCGCCACAGACTGTGTATTTGGTACCAGTGTTGTGGTGAGCTGGGCTTTGGACAGTTGTAAATAAGCATTGGGTCAAGGGACTGGCTCTAGAACGGCAACTATACCGCATCATAAGATCCTTTCATTAGTACTTCTTGTCTGTCTCACTCAGCTACAGAAAAAGCTGGATCCCTTTAAAGGATGGAATAAATTGGACACTCCACACTTTACATGAATTATCTCCTGTCCAATGATTTTTATCATTTGCTCTGCCAGTTCTGGCTCCAGTGGTCAACATATTGTACTAGCTCAGCCTCAAACAGGTTTGCACATAGGGTATACAATGACATTTTGCATATTATAATGGGTTTTCCTGAGCCGTTGTAAGTAAGTGCACCTCCATTAATGGCCGACCTGATCATATCTTTAGAGGTAGGGGAAATCAGAACACCCAGAGAAAAACCTACGCAGAGACGGCGATAACATCCAAACCCCACACAGAACGGACCCCTTTAAAGCCCGGGACTCAAACCCGAAACCTTCTTGCTGTGAGGCAAGATTGCTAACTGCTTCTTCCACCATACTGCAGGACAGAAACAAGAGTTGATTATTTCAAATCAACATGAGCAGGTCAAGTTTGAGTTTTACATCAAAAAGTACAGTTATATACCACGGATTTGGCTCTAAAACCAATTGAAAATCCAAAACCATACTTCCATAGAATGACAAAATTGATCCTAAGGAAGAAGAAACTATAGAAACATTTGGCCTTTGGAACTGAGGGGAATATAAAACAAGACTCTGCTCTTAAGGGCTTTAGCCTTTTTCGAAGATCTCTTACAACATAGTGACCTTTTAACAGAAAAAAAAGAACCAACCAAACTGATTAATCAACCTACTAAGTTCTGTTTAGGATATCTGACAGATATATGAGAAAGAAAATCGAATGTCTTAGCAGCTTAAACCTGTTGTTGTGGCAGACCAAGTATCAGGTGATTTTTTGCATTTTACCATATGGATAGTGAAGTTAATCAGGCTTCAAACCCCATTATAGCTCTACCTTCTCTCCTTTCAATCCTGGCAGGCCTGGAAGTCCCTCACGTCCCTGCAAAATAAGACCAAATTCACTACAAAGCCACAATGTGTATGAGGTTCCTGAAAATATTCAAATAAACTTGAACCATACAGCTTCACCCTTTTCTCCAGGAGGACCACAGTCTCCTTTATTTCCCTGCAAGATAGACGCAGCTCCTAAATACTTTTGGAAAATCACATTATCAAATAAATAAATCTGTTTAACCGTCAGTTACCTTGTTGCCCTTAAAACCTGGAAGTCCCTGTGAAGAGTATTGTCATAAGTCATCCATCATGATGGAAATTAGAAGCTGAACAAACAAAGAAGGAACATATTTTTACCTGCGAACCGTCACTTCCAGGTTGACCATTTAATCCAGGCTCACCCTTAAAAACAACCCACATGGCCTTTAGTTACATAGTAAAAAACACTGAAACATTTGAAAACACTTATTTGGCCAATACTAAACCTTCTGTCCTTTCAGACCAGGTGGTCCTTCATCACCTGGGTCTCCTTTCCTTCCCTGCTCTCAGAATAAGCATAAAAATAAAGAATGAAGAAGCAGAACAAACACATTCTCCATTGATACTTACAGGGGGTTATTATTTCAATGCATTAAATTATTTATAAAACATTATTTTAATGTTATTTTAATGCAAAAGTTTGCTCTTTAATATCACTTTACAAAACAAAATCAACTCCCCTGAAGTTGCAATATTCACCAAGTATAAAGAAAATTGGATGACATTGTAATTTAAAGCTGGGTTCTCAGCATTTAAAATAGCCAAACAGAAAGAAGAATTGCTCTTTCACAATTATCAGATATTTGTGTTTTCTTCTACATGTATTTTTTTAAAATAAAGGTTATTCATTTCAATTTTGCATTCAACATTCTTGGTTAACAACAGGAACATATGTTGGTAATCAAATGAAAACAAACTCACAGAAAGGCCTGGAACACCTCTCTCTCCTTTTTCACAGACACACGGTGGGCACTGAGAATGGAATAACAGTCAGGGAAGTTTCCATAGAGGAGATTTAGGAAAGTAAGAAATGTTTAAATCGGTCCAAACTCACTTCTTCAAGTGCTACAGCCCCCTGCAAGGAAAGCAAAACAAAATCTCTTAAAAGTGGTTTCATACAGTGTTATTTATGTTCATCAGCTGGGAATTATGATACCTTTTTGCATTCTATTATTTAAATTATTTTTCTAATCTCTCCTCAGGTGTACAAATAAAGCCATAGATCCTATATTGTCACTGTTTATGAAACTAAATAGTGAAATATAAATACATTGTTATGTGAGAAACTGCTACATGAGTTTTAAAAATTGGAAGTAAGATCCCCCTATCATTTTGTTCCTCTGTGATAGGGGGTGTGGTGATATCTGGAAGGGATCATCTCTATAACTGAATTGTAGAGATGATCCCTTCCAGATATCATCACACCCCCCATCACAGAGGAACAAAGTACCTCCCCTCCTTAGGCGGTGAACAATACCTCCTTAACAACAGACCCTTAACAATCATAGACAGGTTTCACATTAGAAATGTATTAAATGAGACAATCCCACCTTTTAACGACCCCAACCCCCCCCCCCCCCCCCCCCCCCCCCCCCAAAAAAAATGACCGACCTTCAGAACCATTTATCGGTTTCCATTTGCATTTTTCCAAGCTATACAAGGCCTTGTATCTATAAAGACTCAAACTCACTGCGGATCCAGACATTTGAATTAAGAAAGCTTCCTGGAGGGGAAGCGAAACGTCTTAAAAACTTGGAAACCAATTCCAGTGGATTTTTTAAAAACTTTTATGGAATTATGAAAGCTTTATATTGGTTCACAGAGGACATTGTCTTGCTGGCACATCTACATAACATACCATTACTGTAAAGTGCCCTGAACTGTGTTTTTCAAGGCAGGCAGGAAATATTTTATACACTTTGTTTGGTTCCTCCTTCTTCTCCTCGCTTCTGTCTGTGTGCCCCATGGCAGCTTTGGCTATAATGTAGCTGGACATCATCAGAGAGTGAATGTGTGCATAAAAGGGTGAATGAATCAATACAGTATAATCTGCTTTACTGTCTACTGACTAAAAAAAAATATGTTATGCAAATCTCCAGCTGAGATTATTCACGGAGGGTTAAGTTGTTTAATGTCTTGGAGCATTTGTAAATAATTAAAGCCAATTAATTGTTCCACAATGGGAAAATATTTCTCTGCATTAACCCGTCTCCTTAGGGAGTGCACTGTAAAAAACGATCTAGAAATAAGTCTCCATCTCTTAAATTAAGTGTATTTACCCTTAATTTAAGTAAGGCAATGGGAGTATTTGCCAATGAAATGAGTAGTTTTACTCTTAGAATAAGATAATTAGAAAATATGTACCCGAAATTAGACAATGCAGTTGTTTTTTTTCTTATTTTAAATGTTAATTGTCTTGTTACATTGGCAATATGTCTCACTTACCTCCTTAATTCAAGAATAAATGCACTTATTTTAAGAAAATATGCAATGTGGCACTGGGGAGCAATTGGGGGTCTCGCTGAGGGGCGCTTAGTGGCAGGACGTGGGGTTTAAATAAGGGTCTTGCAGCCTTTCATAGAACAAAAATTCCTCTCAATTCTCCTCTAACTATAGGCCACCACTTCCCAAATCTCCTTAAGTAAAGAAAATTTATTAATTATTGTTTGAAAACAATAATATGTGTTAAGAAACATGCATCTCACAGGTAGGTACCATGTTTACCTGACCTCAGCACTCACCATCTCTCTGATCAGTTTCTGCTCCAGTTGAGGGTCCTCCAGATAATGAAAAAAACGTCCAGGAGATATGCTCGCGATGGCCTGGAGCTTCTCCTTACTCTCTCCCTGCATGGCGACATTGGACAACCCTATAGTGAAGACCTTGATCCCATAGCTTTTGGCATCTCTAGCAGCGGGTATCACTTTAGGGTTACGGGGATGATCAACTCCATCAGTCATGAGCACTGCAATCCTAACTGCGTCCTTCGATGTTTCTTCCAGCAGCATCTGTGTAGCGTTCTTAATGGCATAAGTGGTGAAGGTTCCTTGTCCAATGTAGCTCATGGAGTTAACTTTGCTCTGGAATGAGTCCAGGTCTTTCCAGTTGGTAAACCGCTGCTCTATGGAAACAAAGCTGCTGTACTGAAGTGCAGCCAGTCGAATCTTCAGCGAAAAGCCTTTCACCTGGAGCATGGACAGCGCTGTGCTAAATCTCAACACAAACATCTTCTCCTCTGTAAATAGCTCAGCGGTTGCACTCTCGGAGCTGTCCAGAATGAAAACCACTTCCAGAGAACATTTAGTTCCTGTAAGTAAAGCAAATGACAGATGCTGAAGCACATTACTTCTAATAATGGCTATTTCTAAGACCTTGCTCAGCTACACAACCTTTTAGGGAGACCAGAACACAAGCAAGTTAAGAAAACATCCTTTGATCCTGAGACATTAATGATACTTCTACTATCTTATAACTCCTCAGACATCTTTTTTCAGGGTATTACCCTTCTAAGATTCTGCTTTATGCGTATAGAAAATCTTCACATTGATGGCATTGCCTTAAATTCATGCAAATAAATGCTTGCTCTAGAACAACTTTTTCAGATCATGTTGAAGAAACGATCTAGAGCATCTCGCAATGTTACTACAACATTGCTGCCACTGATACCATGTTCCTTGCTGTTGGTTTATCTGCTAGCTGCCACATTTTCAGATCTGCCACACTTCTCTGGGCCTCCACTATCAGTTCTAGAGGATTGGATTGAGGGGAGTTGGCAGGAACAAGATTAAAAAGGCAAAAAAAAAAGTGGTTTTGGTTCATCTTTAAAGCTCAAAGGATTATGCAGAGCAGGCAATAAAGATTAATAGTGAACTAAATTTGCCTTTTTTGTTTCATGGACCTATTTAGTGCTAAAGACCAGCCCAAATAAAAGTATGGTGGACCTGAATAGTGGCTTTGGTTAAAAGTCATTTTGTGAAAAGTCATTTGCATAATTTTGCAATCATCAGCTTTTTGCTGTGCCAAATGGTATGCGCTCTTTTTTTTATCCTTTTTGACATGAAAACCAGCTGAGACCTCATCTGCTTTACTGCTTCTTTCCTCGGCAGAGGGCAGCTCAGTCTGAGCCTGGTTCTGCTGGAGGTTTCTACTGTTAAACTGAGTTTTTCCTCTCCACTGTTGCTGCATGCATGCTTTGTGTAAAGGATTGTTGCAGAGTTAACGACTCAAAGAAACCGAATGTCTTCTGTCACCACATGAAGTCAGCTGGGTTTCTTTAAACAGAAAATCTTTACCCAATTTATTTTATTTAGTGATTTAACTGTAAAGTGCCTGAAGATGTCGTGTCGTGAATTGGAGACTTATAAAAAACTTAATTAATTTGAGTATTTGAGTTTTTCCTTTCTCACATTCCCAAGGGATGTTTCTTAACTTCTCCTTGCAGTTCCCTCTGTTGTTTTTAGATTAGCATTACTTCCATGTTTAATATATTTCACCCAAATTTGAAGATTTATATAGATTTATTACAATATAAATTACCACCCACTTTTTTTAGAAATAAATTTAACACAAAACTATTAGATAAACCTTATATGATGCATATTCATTAATGTAATATAGATTATTTATTTAAAATATCTACATAAATGTCAGGTGTACAGATTTAGGATTAATAAAGTATAATTATACTTACGGCATACTAAAAACAAATACCAATAAGTGTATTTATTTCAAATTCATAAAGTTTATTTTTTTGAATTGCATAATAATCAGGCTACCTTTAAGTAGTTAAAACGATAAACTTTATGTATTTGAAATAAATAAACTCATTAGTATTCTGTTGGGGAAAGCATACTTTATTCTTACTAAACACATAAACCTGATGATTATGTATTTCAAATGAGTATGTTTTATTATACAAATGAATATAGATCATGTAAGGTTTGTTTATTGGTTTTATGTTTAAATTATCTACAGAAAGTGAACGGGAAATGGTTATGTAATAAATGTACTCAAATCTAGGAATTTGGGTGAAATATTTCAGTGATTGTGGCCACTTGTTTTTGTTTCCAGTTTCGAATCACAACGATCCAACAAATATTTTCTGGGATCTGTTCACCAGGTCCGCACACATGGGTTTAGGTTTTCCGTACATTTTGAGTGTGCGAGATGCTACAAATTAAACTCCTTTAAAAAAAAAAGAGGTCTTCTGCAACCCAAGACAGGACACTGTTGCAGATCACATGTGCTTTATATAAACAGCTCCCATTAGTTTTAACAAAGAGTTCAAAATGTTCACCTGACCTAAAAGGGAAGAGCAAGAAAAACAAGTCTGATCCATGTGGGCTCCTGTCTGACAGTTTAAAGAACATAAAGGATTTATTTAAAAGTCACAGTAGGCTATGTCTTCCTGGGAGTCATGAAATCCATATCCTGATGGTTCATGACTGTTTTTTAAGATAGTGTGGTAACTGGAATATTTTTGTCCAGAATTATTTTTTTCTTTGTTGTCTAGTTAGAAGCTATAAATGTAAAACATTGGTAAAATGAAATAACACCCAAATACATTTAGAGTTCATTTAGTAAAAAATAAACAAGAGGTATTAAAAAAAAAAAAATCAAATAATACATTTTAAAAGCTGTGCATTACTTGAACTCATCAGTCACCACCCTTGTTATAAAATGTGCCCTCAGTGATCTGACAATAACGGAATAAAAAGTTCTCACCTTTAGCTTGTGTAGTTCTGTCAAAAATAACACCATTCCCTCCATCATCACGCAGTTTGTAGTTTTTCCTGTGTGCCTCCTTTTTCCTCTTGCCTGAGGCATCCTGTGTGAGCGCTAACACCAGAAGCCAAAGCGCCAGTCCTCTGATTAGGCTTCTGTGCAGGAACATTTTCACACTGAGCTGTTGCAGCAGGTGGAGAGATTCTTACGGAAAAGAAGTTCCCTAAACACAAAACAAGAGCAAAATCAAAGAATCCTGACAAAAATCTATACAATAATTCAACAAGGTGATTAAGGTAGTAATGATTTCATAAAACTTCATGTAGATAACTCAAATTTCAAGACCAGAGTTTACTTCAGTCTTCAAACACTGGAAATATAAATACAATCTTTTAAAGTCCATGGCTGCTGTATATAAACTGTATATGTCTCTAAATAACTAAAAAAAAAAAGTTTAAACAAAATTACAAAATATTTTAGGTGGACTGGAAGGTTATTTTACCTCATTTAGTTATGGTCGGTTACTCTTGTCCATTCAGCAGAGGCTCTTTGGGAGGCATTTCGCTCTCCCTGCAGGATCGGATCTTTATAAACCCGGCTGAGATGATCAGAGGAGCGGCAGACGAGCTGATACGTTGTGGCTTACTGCCAGCATTTTCATTTTGGTCGAGATACTGTCAGGTTGGGCTTTGCTATTTAAGTAGCAAATATCACTTGATAAAATCAAATTATATTACATTTAACCATATCTAAAGTGTGAGTGCTACTTCCATCTGTATTATGTAACCATTACACTTTTGTGAAAGAGGTAATGAGACCGAAGATCCAAAATAATTAATATCAATGAGGAGGAGAACACATATGGACACATTTTTGTTGTTATTGTACTGAAAAAAACTAATTCTTATGCTTTAACAAGTCCTGTGTTCCTAGTTAAAATAATATGAGCATCAAATCAGTTTTTTGTGGAAAATATCTCTGATTCTTTGGTGTTCAACAAACACAAAGCTAATTGGAACCAACAAGATATGATGTTTGGGATTTACTTCTTTAAATTTTGTAATCCTGTTTGTAGGCAACTGTTTCAAAATTTCTGTTCTGGATTTTTTTTTTATGCTTTTGAAGAAAAACAGAATTTATATTGGTGCTGATGTTTGCATTTAGTTGATTAGTTTAATTATCTGCCTTGGTAGTAAATAATTTACAGATGTAGATGATGAATCCAAATGAGAGATATAATAGTAACTAGTTACAATTAATCAGTTAAATTTACTTTAATAACATTTTTGGGAAAACAAAAAGAAATAAAACAGCAGCAAAAGCTTTTCTTGCTTATTTTTTTATCTCTAGTTGATAAACATTAGTTTGAAGTAACACTACTCTGGGTTTTGGCTTTACATTCCTTAATTACCTTCACCTAATCCAACCTGTTTTAACCAACAATGCATCAGATACACTTGGATATCTACTATTTACTACAAGTATCAAGCATCCATCGAGAAACCATGCATTTACAAATAGTTCATGCAAACTCCATGAAGAAAGACTGTGGGCATGGATTTAAACACCTGCAGCTGTCCCACTCTGCAGCAAAACTCAGAACCACATATCTAATTCCCTGTACCTCCAACTTCATGTTTTTCCACAAGCTATTGGTCAATTGATCGTGAGTTCCTAACTTAACAGCCATTTAAAGACTTTTGCAAATTAAAGAGTAATTCTGTGGATGTCTACCTTTTACTATGGCCTTAGTACATAAATAAAGTGGATTGGATTAGTACAAACAAACTTTGTTAAAAAACCTGGGCTATTTTAAGGTAACGGAAGAGATAAACCGCTTTCTTTTATCTATATGGAATATTTAGGAATGGTTCAATTAGAATAGCACTGAAAAAAGATAAAGATATCTGTCTTTTGTCTAAATGAAATGCAAATGTAGTTTGTATTTATTAGATTAGTTATTTTTTGCTTTCTAACTTTGGACAAAGGATGTGGGCTGACATTTTTTATTGTTAAACATGTATATTGATAAATAAGTAAAATGGAAATGAGAAGATGTACTTAGATATTTATTTTAAGATTCTGTAAAAACCAGTTACTATTTCTAGGTTTTAATTGAACAAAAAATTCATTAACACCCCCAGTACATTTAACTTAAAGTTATTTTTAGTTAATCATTAGGTTTTATCTGGATTGGAACTGACACATGTGTCTTGTCAGGAAAAGACTATAAGTCTGCATCAGATGTTTTCTGGAGTCTCAGAGGCTACAGAACAAAAAATTATTAAAAAAAATACAAATTCCACCATCTTTGAGGATGGTTTGTGGTTGGCAGCTAAAGGTAATCCCAGTGCTGGCCAGGAAGATAGTGAAAGAGAGGAAAATAAATCCAAGGATCAGCACCCAGGCAATGGTGGTAATCAGTTTTTTTCATTTATTAACTCTTCAACAATACACAGTTTGTGAGAAAGATTATTCCCCCTAATGAAGTACCTATAGTTAGTCATTGGATAAAAATTTGAATCACACTAGAGATTAATTTTATTTTTTGGATAAACACAGGACAATAATTCTACCTCTGCTATTTTTTACATGTATTTGCATGTTTGTAATAAACCATTAAAATTAACACTGTAACACAGGGCCCCAAAAATGTTACAATGCAACACCTCTAATAATAATAATAATAATAATAATAATAGGTATTCGGATTATTTTATTTCTACATTTTATTTCTGCCTGCAGCGCCCTCTAGTGGTAAAACACATCACATCTGAGAAAGAGAGGAGAACCGTTACATTAGTAAATATTCATGAATTTGCTGTTTTACTTCATACTTTGTAGTGATTGGTTAATGAGGCATCATGAAGTACATTCGACATATTGCCAAACTATTGTAGCTGCCCCGCAGAATACCGACCCCTGCTGGACATTTAAAGACACAACAGGCTTATTTGACAGACTAATCTGAATTGATTTGATGACCTTGTACAATAATATCATTTAAATTGTTGTAAGTTACATTGTATTATTACATATCAATGTTTAAATTTAAAATATCTTTGATATTTTTAGATGCAGCCAATAAATAATGTAAAGATATATCATAACGTGAACATTTAGGGGAAAAATTTAAATGAGGATGCTTGTGGACTAGGTTTTTAAATCGTGATTTTAAAACAATAAGTACAGTAAAAACAGTACATAAACTGAGAGTCAATTTGAAATAAATGTTTATTCAGATAAGAGTGATCACTGGGAGGAAAAGTATGATACAATGAGAAAATTAAAATAAAAACGCAACTGCTGAAACGTTCCTGTTCATTTTTGGCTTCTGCAGAATTTTTTTATAATTTTAATGATAAACCGCAAAAGATTAGACTTTTTTTTTTTAGCAGATGCATCATGTGGTGAGATACATTTTTAAACACAGCTCCTGTATCTGTCACATGACTTTCTTGAAACGTCACGCGCACAGATACAGTGTTACACTCTATGGGCTCCACGCTGCACACATGCATCGCATTTGCTGGACCCATCACTAATATTTAGCATTAACAGACTACATAAAAACTAAAAAACTATTTTAGATGAGTTTTGCTACAAACTCTTGACAGGATTAAGATTTCTGTTAAAAAATAACTCTGTTAAGATTTCAAAAAAATGTGTTCAACCCTATAGGCTCCTCTGCTTGGACTGTAAAGATTTCTTTCCACATGTTTCACTGTTGCTGCATTTGCAATCAGTAATAATAACCTTTTTGATATTATATATTCTTCAGATCATATTGCATTAGTTCAAACAAAAAGAGATACAAAATCCAGTTTACACGCAAAACCTTTTTGATTATTACATAGAAACTTTTTTTTTTTTATAGTTGCTTATTAAAAAGAAACGTCAATAAAAATGCGAACTTGGTCACAATCTCGTATTACTTTACATGTGCCGTTACTGTAATTTCTTTTTAAGTCAAATTAAAAAAAAGCTCTACCTTATCCTGGACAACCGTTCTCTCAAATTTATAAAGTGCACTTTCCAAAAAAATACGAGACAAGTTTACAAACCTCTGATAATATGGCTTTATTTACAACTCACTATATTAACATCTAAATTTTACAATACGCAATACAGATACAGAGTTGTTAAAAAAAATATCTTTTGTTACGTTGTCATTCTTCTACAAGCGGAACCTGAAGTCAAACCGTGTCACGACACGGACTTGTTTTGGTGTAACCCATAACATATTTGCGGCTGCAACCTCGCTCCCAACGACATGTGTAAATCTAAACGTAAAGCTCTCTGTCGTTTAAGCTTTTTTGTGTAAGTACTGTTGTTAAATGTATCTTGTAACAATATTTTAAACTGTTATTTTAAACTGCTGCATTTACCGGTCACAGAAAGGCGGCTCATTTCACTTAACTCTGCAGTATTAGCTTAAATATGCTAGCCTGTCACCAAACTTGTTTAAAAAGTCAAACATCGACTTTTCTACGACTTCTAAATCATTTAAAAGCACAAAGATTGAGGACATTTTTTAGGAAACCTAGTCATATTAGTCAGTTATAACCCTGTAGAAGCAATCCGTTTGTTCAATGATAGTTCGGCTAATTAACACGTTGACAGTGAGCGCTGAGAGGTCTGTGTCACATGTCTAAAACCCTGAGTAAACCAACAGCCAGGATATCCTTGTTTAGCTCTAAACTGACATACAGAAAACGTCGTGTGTGTTATATATATGTGTGTATTTTTATATATATGTATGTATATATGTATGTATATATATATATATATATATATATATATATATATATATATATATATATATGTATATATATATATATATATATATATATATATATATATGTATGTATATATATATGTATATATATATGTATGTATATATATGTATATATATATGTATGTATATATATATGTATATATATATATATGTATATATATATGTATGTATATATATATATACATATATATGTATGTATATATTTGTATATATATGTATGTATGTATGTATTTATGTCAATATATATATGTATGTATGTATGTATATATGTATGTATATATGTGTGTGTATATATATATACATATGTGTATCGCAAGTAACCTTTCCCCGCAGTAATAATGTGTTAGAAGTAGGTGTAATTTAACGAATACATTTGACTGAAGATTTCTTTAGCTTCCTATGAAAAGTGCGTGTTTACATTAAATGTAGGAAAATCGCAACGCTTTATTTTCTGTCCAAATATAAAAGTTTTATCTGAAAGTAGTGTTGCGCTGATGCCATTCTTTGGCCCCGATACCGATACGATACCAGGCTGTGCAGTATGTGTCGATACCGATACCATTTGTTGATGTGTGTGTGCTTATATAAAGAACTGCATACTACTCGGATGTAAAATAATTGCCATCATAGCTTTGTCAAGCTGCTGCCTACCTTTGTGAAGCAGGAAAAAGACTAATACAAAGTGAACAGTAGAACTTTTTATTGCCTACCTGGAATGGGTGACAATAGTTGAATAAACTTTTGGCTCTCACAATGGTATCGGTGCACTATTTGTTGGTACTCGCTGATACAGATACCACCATTTTAGTGCTGGATCGGGACCCTGCCCGATACTGGTATCAGTATCGGTGCAAAACTAATTGAACGAGCAATAAAAAAAAGCTGATTCACTGATTACTCATGTTTGGTGAGAAGTGAAAGTAACAGCGTTTTAATTTAAAATCTTTTGAAATATTGTGTCTTCCTGCATTTACTTTAAAACTTGACTAAACCTAGGACCTGTTTTTTTCTTTTTTTTTTGCACAAAAAATGCCTTTATCTCTAGATTTTGATATAGTGATGTCCCAATCGGATATCAGCCTAAAAAATATATATGTATTTATAATGATATCGGATTATGTCATCGTGCACTTAAAATCTCATGTCATACAGTGCAAAGAGGCCCAGTTTAAGGGAGCCTCTGCTTTTGAAATGAAAGTTCATAAAACATCAACCAAGAAACTCTTTGATTAATAAAGAAAGACATTTCTCTGTTTTGGATAAATAAATAAAAATTAGTTGAGACAATGTTCATTTCTGAAGTTAGACAGAATAACGGAGTATGCAGGTTATATTTTTCATGGTACAAATGGTTCATTCTATTCCATAACATGAAAGCTTCTTTGGTAACATATGTTAAGATTTTGTATGATTCTTTCAGATTATATTAAGATATTTAGTTGCACAAAAAGAAGTAGATTAAGAAAAATAATCATTTATTCCAGCAGCCACATAATCTCTAAGAGAATAGTACCATCTAGCTGTTTATTGCTCTTTATTAAGTTTTAAGTCAGAGGAGGGGGACAGTAATTACTGCCTGTTTATTTTTTGTCTGGTATCCACTTCTGAGTTAATCTTAGCATCCTTATGTACAACCCTATGATGAGTCTCATCCAGTTTTCTGGCAGAATATGCTAGATTTATTTAAGTTGTCCTGGTATTTTAAATTTGTTGTAATGACCTGCATTTTAACAAAGCCCTGGTGTCTTTGGAAGGGAAAGAGGCCCATAACATCACAGCTCCTCCACCATACCAGGCTTTAAATTTATTGTTGTCTGTCCCACCTAATATTTTTGTTGCAGTTTTCAAAACTTATCTGTTAATAAATTTTTTTTATTTCGCTGGCAAGCCCTACATACAAATACCTGTCATGTAGATGGAATCCGATGATCGTCACGGGAACTCGGTGACCCCATCATGCCACTGTGCGATGCAGTTCTCTTACTGCTTGGAATTTACCGTCCTGCCACTAAGTTGAGCAAGATAAACTTGACTCTTCATGCAGCCTTTGTTGTTACTGTTCCACATGGTTTAAACTTTGCAGTTGTCATTCTGTCTTTAGATGCCCTGATTTGCCTTACATGAAAGATCTGTTCTTTTGATTCTCCCATTTTGTAGAGCAGCTAAGACAAATCAGCCTTGTTGTCATTTAATATTTATGCCCCAGGAAGCAGGAAGTCGTGTATGATAATAATAACTACACCAAAGTCAAGTTATAATATAGATCATAAATGTTAAAACAGATTCAGTTACATTTATTTTATAGGAATCATTGTAATCAGTAATTATGAGACTTGATTTTGTTCAAAACATTTCCTGGTGTTTTTTTTCCCACCTGAATATTTAGATACTGAAATGAAATGTTCTATTTATCTAAAATTGTCTGTGAGGTCATTCTTCTGCATTAACAAAAAAATAAACAAATTGTAAGGCCTTTTACACACCTTTTCAATGATGAATCCTTATATATTCCAGTTGCTGTACTTATTTAATATAACTTAGGCAATTATGTCATTTTTATGTCCATGTGAACTCAACTTTGTAAAAAATGTAAACGATTTTTATTGATAAATGTTTGATTTATCTGTATCTATATTTTTAGGTTACTAAAGGCAGACTCCCTTGAAATCCTCCTTGCTGCTTCGCGACCATGAGTGGCTCAAAGCCGGACATCCTGTGGTCTCCTCACCACCCGGACCGATATGTCATCTGTGACTCTGAGCTGGGCTTGTACAGCATCGGGCCTGTGGGCAGCACAGAAACCAAGCCTGGCACTCTTTCTCTCTCTGAGGAAACTGCTGCTACATTACTAGCCATAAACTCTGACACTCCTTATATGAAGTGTGTGGCCTGGTACCCCAAACATGAGCCTGAGTGTTTACTGGCTGTGGGACAAGCTAACGGAAGGGTTGTGCTCACCAGTTTGGGCCAGAACCACAACTCCACATGTAAAGAGTTGGTTGGGAAAGAGTTTGTCCCCAAACATGCTCGTCAGTGCAACACTTTAGCCTGGAACCCTGTTGACAGCAACCTACTGGCTGCTGGGTTGGACAAGCACCGCGCAGACTTCTCTGTTCTTATATGGGACATCAGCAGTAAATTGGCCCCTGAAACCGTCGTAGCAGCTGAGAAAATCCGTCTGTCCTCTGTCGATATGGACTCCAGCAGTGTAGTGACTAAGCCACTGTACGAATTAGGCCAAAATGATGCCTGCCTGTCCCTCTGCTGGCTGCTCCGAGACCCAAAGCTGCTCTTGGCTGGGATGCACAGAAACCTGGCAATATTTGACCTGAGGAACACAAGCCAGAAAACCTTTGTGAACACTAAGGCCATCCAGGGGGTGACGGTTGATCCACACTTTCCCGACCGTGTTGCCTCCTTCTTTGAGGGGCAGGTAGCCATTTGGGACCTGAGGAAGTTTGAGAAACCTGTGCTCACGCTCACAGAGCAGCCAAAACCTCTGATTAAGGTACGCTCAGGCAAAGTTCAACAGCTAACATCAAACTGTATAAACAAAATTGAACAAGTCAGAGTAAACGTAACAAAGGTAAAAGGTCCAGTACAAGAATAGCAATTTCCCTTAGCTGAGGTTTTAAAAAGAGCTTTGGACTGGGGGGTCGCAAGTTAAAAAGTAAGGCGTGTTTAAACCAAATAATAAAAGTGGTCATGATAAATGCATATTTATTGTGTAAAGCACTTATACATAGATTAAGAGAACATATTTTCTTTTGATGTTCTTGGTTTGCAATCATGCGCTTTGTGTTAATGCTTGTAAATTACACTGGTGGTCAAAGCCATGAAGTCAGTATTATTTTAAAGCTTAAAGGCTGAAAAGAACCTGCTGTTTGTCGTGGCCACAGGCTTAATGAAAGTGGAGGAACCACGTTATACTACACAGTGACGCATTGTGTGTCATTATTTAGTTTGGAAAAATAAAAGAGCAGTAATACAATGAAAAGGAGGATGTAGAATTATGCATAATGTGACCATAGTGTCTGAACGAGTTTGTTTTTTTAGACTTACAAAATTGATAAAGAATCAGTTTCTCTTTTTTACTAATTGCTTATTTTGTATTCTGAAAAAGAAAGCCAGAAGCTGTTATATATCTGTTTGCTAATACTCTCTTGGTTGAGGCTAGGAGGTGGAGATTTATAGAACACCATTTGAGGAGTTTTGGGTGGAGCATTTTTGCAGATAAAGATGGTTTTTCATCTTAAAATGCATAATATTTATATTTTTTGTCTATTACTGCTCTGACTGGATTTTCTTTTTTAACAGATGACATGTTTTAGAGTCTGTATGCTCCAGTTAATGAGTATTTGATCACCATTAATTGCAGATAACAAACAGATTGAAGTTAACATTGGTTACTTAAAATTGGCCTAGTTGTACATATTCGACCTAGGATTGTCTTTAAAAAACTGACCAACTTTGGCCAGTACTGATTTTTAAGCAGATATGTAGTGTTTTCCTTATCATGTTTGTTTTTTAGGATATTTCATTCTTTTGATCCCAGTTTTTCCTTGTCTTATTCTCAGGTGGCGTGGTGTCCGACTCGCACCGGCCTCCTGGCGACCTTGACACGTGACAGCAACATAATTCGCCTATATGACATGCAGCACACCCCCACTCCTATCGGCGATGAGACTGAGCCCACAATCATCGAAAGGAGCGTGCAGCCCTGTGAAAGCCAGATAGGCAGCTTTGCCTGGCACCCCTCCTCACAAAACCGCATGGTGGTGGTCTCTGCAGCCAACCGGGTGATGACCGACTTCACCGTGTTTGAACGCATCTCTTTGGCCTGGAGCTCCACCGCTTCGCTGATGTGGGCCTGTGGCCGACACTTATACAACTGTGTGGAGGACTCAGCTGAAAGTGCAGGAAATGCAATCGATAAAGACATCGCCACTAAGATGAGGGAAAGAGCTCAGTCCAGGTACGGACACGATACTGTCCAGGTATGGAGGAACCACCAGCTGGCTGGAGGGAATGATCCCCAGCTCAGGTCTTTATGGTTTGACCTGTCCTATATCCTTTCAATATAAATACACTTGAATCATGGATGTGACTGTTTTTAAGGTCCCATGTTATGAAAATTTAATATTTGAAACATTTTGTAACAGTCACGGATGTATAAGGTTCACAAAAGACCACCAAAAAACCCTTTACCTTCTCTCACTGCCTTTCTCCTCCTCTTAGCTAATGCGTGCGTAAAATGCTCCATTTAAAAAATCCTTCCCCTTATGATGTCAGAAGGGGAAATAAGTAGTCCATTGATCAAGCTACAGCTTTCATCTAATTCTTTATTCCACATCCTGGTCTATCTTTACAAACTCTGTCTGGTTGTCATGGTTGCGGGTTGTGGGGGCGTGGCCTTCGGGAGGCCAGGCACATGGAATCCAAAATGGCTTTTCCAGAGGAGGGCTGAAAGAGATTTTTTTGGTAAAGGCTGTCCGCTTAATCTGAGAGGTATTTTTCTGCACAAATGGCATAAACTTTGGGGCTCTCATTGTTCATATTCTTTTTTTTTTTATGCAGATTAATTTGGGACCTTTAAGCTGCAGGGTGAATACCAAAGGTGTAAAAAGTACCTTTTTAAAAAAAAATGTTAAAATCATGTTTGGGCAAGTAGGTAAATTCAACGGTTTTTAAGCCTTTTTTTTCCCCAAGTTAAAATCTGATGTACTAAGATTATTAGAAATCCTGCTTAGAAAATACATTAAAAACTTATTTTGATTTCAGGTAATTGCTTTTCAGTGTTTATTCCAGATACTTGTTCTGGAATCTCAAAAAAGTATGATAAAACTAGTTTTTCACGTTTCTAAATGTTTGTTTGATCATTTTTCTTGTGTTCAGTAAAAATGAGCAAATGCTTCATAAAGGGAATTAAAATGCATTGCGAATTTATTCTAATTTAAGAAATACAGTTTTGTCATTAGTGCATCAATGGGGAAAATGTGATCAGTTCCAGATATTATTAGGTTTTTTCCAGAGTTGCCACTTATCATACTTCTTTATGAATTTATGATTCCTATGTAAATGTCACATATGAAACAGTGTGCAGAAGACATGGAGCTAAAATTGCAAGGAAACAAACAGTCTGTAGTTTGTTCGGGCATTAAGAACATTGTCAAGACAAGTTCAGGTAAGAAAACAAACCCTGAAATCGAATCATTCAGCTGTTTTCTCATTGTCATTGAAGTTTGTGTTTTCCTGATACCTGAAGGCACCACAGAGACCCGCAGGTGTTGGAGCGGCTCGGACCGGCAGACACACGTAACCCGCTTTCACAGTGAGGAGCGCAGCCTCGCCCTCAGGCTGTGTGGCTGGATCAGCCGGGGGCCCGACATCGACGTGGAGACTTTCCTGCGCTCGCTGGAGCAGGAATGTGAGTGGGAGCGAGCTGCTGCCATCGCTCTCTTCAACCTGGATATCCGCCGTGCCATCCAGATCCTCAACAAGGGAGCCATTACTGAAAAAGGTGAGAAAAGGCTGAATACCTCAAGAGAAACCCAAAGATGTTTCCATTTTCACTCTGTAGGATAAATTGTTTTTTTTTCCTAAATTGAATCCTAAATTTCATATGATGAGGATATTTGTTTTATTCATTTTTTATATTTTTGCCTTATTAAATGCGTAACAAAGGTCCTCCAGCAGGGAGATGGAAAACTCTCTCATCAAATACTCAGATTTATTTCTATTTCAAGACAGTAGATGGCGATACATTCAGCTTTAACAAAAAACAATAAAACCTGTGTTAAACTGTTTCGTATAATTAACATTTTCAATTTAAAAATAAAGAAAAATAAAACAAATAAAGAAATATATTTGATGCCTATACTCAAGAAAATCCTTTTTTGTTTTTAAAACTGCTTAAATCTGCTTTATTTGATATGTTTTTGATATTATATGTTTTTGATAGGGTTTATTCAGTTGTAATTTGGGAAATGGTTTAGTTAAAATGCAACAAAAGAACAGCTCCTCTGCTCGCTCCAGCCATCTAGCTATAAATGGACCCAAAGATATTTATCTTATCTAATAGGATTCAGTTTTTCATATGAAGGCTTTAGTATACTCTTAGCTCACCTGATGCATGTTCAGCTATTCTGGGAATGTTGTTTGGAACGTTCAGGAATACGTTCATGGAAATTTTTGACTGTTCTTCTAGGAGTGCATTCATGAGGTCAGGCACTGATGTTGGACTAGGCTTGCCTCACAGTTTCTTCTCTAAATCCACCCACACTAAACTCTAATCTATATGGATGGATCTTATCTCATACACTGGTACCCAGTCATGTTGAAGCTGGAAGACGCCATCTCTAAACTGCCACACAGTCTGTCTAAGGTCTGGATGTTCTGCAGCCGCTCACTCAAACTGTGAGGTCAAATCCAGAATCTGAAAAATAACAAACAGTTAAAACAGGTACATTTAATGGAAGGACTTATTTCACAACCTGCTGGCTGGAATTCGCTGATCCGCCTGACGGCGAGGCAGTCTGCAAGACCTACCTGTCGCCATGAAAGGGATTGCGACACCTGATTTTAACGACTCGAAGGGCTCACACGGTACTTTTAACGATGTGGTTTATCCTGATGAGCTGTGGTGTTACCTTTTTAGAGTAAAAATATGTAAAAAAAAATTCTCTTTTTTACTGCCTGGAATTAATGACGCATTTACCTTTGTGTTTTCATTGGAGTATTATTACCTCCTAGGGTTGTCACGATACTAAACTTTTCAACTCGATACCGATACTAAGGAAAATATTCGATACTCGATACCCTTTTCGATACCACAAGAATAAAAACAAAGACTCTAAAATTCAACAGAAATATTTTCATTACTAAAAAAATACAAGAAATAAAAAAAACAACAATAAGAAATTGAAGTCTTATTGTCTGAAACTGAAAAATGCACAGAATTATTCAATCACACAGTGTTCAGAAAGTGCATTTTCCTCTATTCTGCACTTTAGATGGCTGTATCGATACTTTTGAAAATGAGTATTGTATCCGGATACAACGTTTCAGTATCGATACTTTTTTGAGTATCGATACTTTTGACAACCCTATTACCTCCACTAATGATCAGGTCTTAGGTAAAGAATTTTATATCAAACTGCACACACCACAATAATATAAACAAACATATTTTGCCGGCAGGTTTGAACTGTTTCATTGGAGTGATCATAGGGTTCTGCATCAGCAGTGCTGTGTCTCTCCCTACCAGCTCCCAGATCAGCTTCTCTAATTGGTTGATGTGGCAAGTCAAGCAGCAACAGTTCAATTTTTCCAACTCCAGGAGCTGCTGCTTCTGAAACGCATCATGCACGTCAGATGCTCAGAAGGCCATGAGGCACTGCTTCGCCTTCTCTGATGCGTCATGATGAGCTGCTCCTGCTGCTCGAAACGCGCTGCAGGACCTTTTGATGCGCCGTGATGCACGTCAACCACAGACTTTGCATGTATACCAGCTGCTTCTGCTGCTCCAGCAGTGTGCGGTCTGAACGTAGCACGCTATCCCTTTAAATAAAAGTTAAAATAACACTTTTAGCAGAAGTAAGAAGAAGCTAAGATGTTCTTTCTTTTGGTTTTAGTCTGCCCAGTATAGAAGATGGATGCATGGATGTTTTTGAATTCCAGTTTATGAGGAGGATACTTAAATTAATCGTTGCATGTGTTTTTTGGGGTTATTTTTATTCATCATGGAGATATCACTTGTAGGTTTGGGTGATTGGATGAATTTAATGAGTAAAGAGGATTTTTTTTTGAGTCACCGATCACTCTTTACTGATTTGACTGGTGTAAGTTTAGGAAATAAAATGGCCTTTTACCCAACTGTATTTCCCTAGAAGAATAGAAACAGTTGTAGGCGCCTGGGGCTGCCTTGCAGGAAGACATGTAACACAGCAATGTAAAAATTTAGTTCAAAATAGTTTTTTTCACCGAGAAGTATTTTTTAGACTCATTGTTTAGATTTAGAAGAACCATCTTTGGCATTACTCATTGAACTCAGTGTAATGTTTTGTATTGAATGCATTGTATACTGGATTTGTCATTTATATAACAAATATTCTTTCCAAAGTCCATGTTAGTGTTGATATAAATGTTGTTGTTAATAACCAGTGAAAAAACATCTGCTGAACCCTGCAACAAAGCAGCCAGTGTCTCCAAATGTGCTATGAATACTGGCTGTAAATAAGGTCAGACACCAAGCAGTGTTAGAATTTAGTCCAATAAAGTTTTTTATTCCAGAGAATAGTGATTCAAGGATAAAGGAAACTAGGGAGAGCAGTCTGCTGTTTACACAAGTGTGACAAGGAAAAAATTCACTAATGTAGGTCAAGCATTTCTCTGCTGTTTTCTGAGTGCTTCCTGTGCATGACTGATAGTCATTCATTAGATAAGGTGTGTCAACAGAGACATGTCAGCTTGAACCGTTGCTTTATTTCAAACGGAATGTGTTGATTCCTCTGCACATATCTGGACACAATTAAGAGGAAATATGATTAAGTATTTTCCAACCAAATGAACAACTCAGTCATTGTCAAAGCATAAGTCAACTACAGATTAGAGCTTTTTTTCAAAACAGTTTATTATTATTATTAGTTTTGCTTGGTTAAAATATGAGTTTTCTATTTTAAGTGCAGATGAATACATGATTTTTTTTTATATCTATGTGGTTTAGGAGCCAATTGATAGATCAAACTCTTGCCGAAACCAGTCGGGAGAAGAGCAAAAACATCTTTTCCTCTGAGAAAAGCCTCCAGAGCAGTGTTTTGCTCTTCTTTCAGTGAAGAAATACTCTGTCATTCCGATAAAACTTGCTCGATAGCCACGCTAACGCTAGTTTCATCGGCTGAAGCCGCCATGTTCTTTAGACTAAACTGTCGCGCTTCTCGTTGCGTCGCACCTCAACCCGACCGGCTCCAAATTTTCTTCAACGGAGAGTCTCCAGACTGATTAGCGAGTGAAATCTTGAAAGCTTGCGAGATCAGGATGGTCTCACGAGGCTAACAGAACATCAGTTCAACTCTAAAAATGATAAAGGATCTAAGTAGTTTATATGACAGGCCATAGGATTGAAAGGTAGTTTTTTTCCTCATACAGATAAATGTAAGTCCTGCACACACATTTCAAAAGAACCTTCTTTATTAAATAATGCAGCCACATTCAGTTTATTATTTTAAATATCATTAAAAGTCCTTCCTCCAAACAAAGATCAAGGATTTCTAAAAAAAAGAATTAGGTACACAAACCTCTGTCATCTACTTAGTATCAGACATACACATGCCAGCTCTAAAATGGTTAAATTCCCTCTTCTAATATTTAGTTTGATGTCTTCAGGCTAGTTGGAGATGTCAGACGAACTGCACACCTTTTAGAGCCATCAGCAGATTCTGGGTGGATGCTGGTTGGAATTTTAACTGCTCTTCTTGAGACAAGTAATTTATTTGAACTGGTTTGCTTTCAGCCTCGGGCCAAGCTGTTAAACATAGTCCATCAAATTTCAAGGTCAGGCTGTTGAAAAGGCCTTTTCAGGAGCTTATTGTTACACTCCAGTATTTTATCCACAACCAGGCTGGATGTGTGTGGCGCAGGTTTCAGGAGTTTGTCACGCAGTTGGAGAGTCGCCGGTGCAAAGCCTACTTCCACTCATCTCAGTCAAGCCTTGAGCAAGAGACTTCTCCTGCTTTACATACTGATGGTGGTCAGATGGCCCAGTGGTGACTCTGTACACCAGCCGTGCTTCTGTTATTGAGCCAAAGGGCCGCCATTGCTTAAATATACCTCGCCATCATCAGTATCTAAATGTGTGAATGGATGGAAGGCTGAATGTTGGCCCGGTCTAGACAAAGCTGGGCTTGAGTATATGTGCAAAGCTTCTTTATTGGTTCGTTCCATCATGAAGAATCGGCCTTAAAACAAACAATAACTTCAGCAAACTTTAGTGTAGCAGTTCTGTTTTAGAATCCGTGATTTACAAACTATTGTATTTATTTGGGATATTAAACATTTTACTGGCTGCTCCTCTTTGCAGGTCTCATGTTTTTCTCTCTTCTGCATTTATTCTATTTATCCTACTTCTACCTTTTTCACCAGTGTGACAGCACTAGTCTGCCACCAACTGGTGTGGCATAAGTATAATCACACCTATTACTGCTTTGTCAGCTTTAGGCAGATTCCTCTTTGCACTTAAAGGAGATATGTACACGTTTAACTCCTTCCAGTCAGTTAGTGCTACAGTTGGCTCGCCTGTTCTCGTTTCATACTGTTTGTCAGCCAGTTTCCAGGTCCACCTTACTTACCTTTCCAGATGGAAAGTGTTTACCGTTGCTTGGCTTCTGAGACCCTTTGCTTCCTTAAATGAGCACCAATTCTCAAAATCTAAACAGATGTTCAACATAGTTTTACTTCTTTCTTGGCTTTTTGGCTTGAATCTGAGAAAAGTAACGCCAGAAAAAGGGCCTTTTCTCACAGCTACTAGGATCTGGTAGCACCTGAGCTCACGTGACTTCTAACTATCCATATTCTCCGGCTTAGTCCTCTTCAGTGTCGCTGTGGGGCTGGTGCTTAACTGCGGCAGTCTACAGGCAAGAGTCGTGTCGACCCTGGACAGGTTGCCAGTCTGTTGCAAGGCAACACAGAGACACACAAAGACACACACTCACAGCTAAGGACAATTTTGAGAAACCAGTTAACATAAGAGTCAAGTTTTTGGACTGTGTGAGGAAGCTGGAGTACCCGGAGAGAACCAAAGCTTTCACAGGGAGAACATGCAAACTCCATGCAGAAAGACCCTGAGCCAGAGATTGAACCCAGAACCTTCTTACTGCAAGGCAACACCGCTATCCATTGCGCCACCATGCGGCCCAATAATTTCAAACGCTTATATTCCTTTTGGTGCAGAATCATTTATATCATAACCAGAAGTAAATACACAAAATCTACTAAACAATTATTTATAAGCTAAATATTTTTCAGTGAAATTGATTGTTTTATTCTGCACTGCTCGACTTTCTGTAGATGTATTCTTTAAAAAATTTAATCATATTAATTAAAAGATTTTAACCATGTCCTTTAGGCTTTTTCTGTGTTACTTCTTGATTTGTTTTCATGTAGCTGTAGTGTAAAGCACTTTGGAGTCCTCTGACTTAAAAAAGGCCCATTAAGTATTAGTTATTTACTCACAAGAAGCTCCTGCTGTAAAATGACCATCTTTAAAAGTAACTAAAATTTGTAGTTTCCAAGTTTCCATTCCAAAAAAAGTGGATTGTTTTTTTTTTTACCTTTTTTGGAATGAATTACGAGTTCTTGCTTTTAAAAGTGTTGAGGACTTTTTACCCAAAGCTGGAACAGAGAAGAATCAAACTTATCATTAAGAGCTTTAGAAACAGATGGGTATGAATCTCTGAATGGATCTTCTGACTGATTCTCCTCTCAAACTGCAGGCAGTGGATGAATCTTCTTCTCTTTGTTCTTTTTCTACAGGTGACCTGAACCTGAATGTTGTGGCCATGGCTCTGTCAGGCTACACTGATGAGAAGTCCTCCCTGTGGAGGGAGATGTGCAGCTCTCTGAGGCTCCAGCTGAAGAATCCCTACCTCTGCATCATGTTCGCCTTCCTCACCAGTGAACCTGGAGCCTACGATGGCGTGCTGGTAATAAATACCCCACTGTCATGGACCTTTAAAGCCAGTTCGTGAAGAAAAAACCCAATAATGATAACAATGGACCTTTTGTTCTGATTTTTTTAAAGAAAAGTTTATTTATGCTTAAGATGAATAAACTGAAGTATTACATCACTGGTTTTATGTGGAAAAGCCGCAGGTGCAAAGGAAGAGCAGTGTTTACCATTTTCATCATCAGTTTTATAGATCATAAAACTGTTGTGTAAAGGAGAAACCTGTGGGCCAGGCCAAAATCCATGTTTGTTTTCCATTTTAGTTTATCAGTCCAATTTCCCTCAAACCTGTTCTTGGTAAAAACTAATCAGAAGACCCATTGAGTCATCGAGCCATGCTGGTTTTTAGAACTGACTCAGTTTGGCTTTATGTTTATTTAAATCTGAATCTGGAGAAGGCTAAGAATTTGAAATATGTTAAAATCCAAGTACAACTAAAGTTCATTTAAAGAAACATCATCATCATCATTGTTTCTGTTTCAGTATGAGAGCAATGTTGCTGTCCGGGACCGAGTCGCCTTTGCCTGCATGTTTCTCAACGATGTTCAGGTAATTACAGAGGGAATCTTTCTGCTGCATATTTCTACAGATAGCCTGTCAAGACTATTATATGAGTTTGTGTCTGCCTTTGAATCTTCCTGTTGCAGCTGCCACGTTACATCGACAAACTAACCAATGAAATGAAGGAGGCTGGGAACCTGGAGGGAATCCTGCTGACCGGACTCACTAAAGATGGCGTAGATCTTATGGAGAGCTATGTGGACCGAACCGGGGATGTGCAGACCGCAAGCTTCTGCATGCTCAAGGTACTCAGCTGAATTGTCTAGAATTCTTCGGAAAACTGCTCATACCCATACTTTGTTATATGTTGAGATAGATCAACACATAACAGAGTAACGTGCTGGAAAAATGGTTTATAAAATTTTTTACAAATAAAATACTAAAGTTTGGTATTATATTCTGCCCTCTGTATTTAAAGGAGAAGTTCGGTTTTTTACACTTTAAGCCCATTTTCTGTAGTGTCCAGGATGAAATCGAATGATCGACACCAAAATTTTGACAATTGGTCCTGTCTCTGCTTTTTGGCTCATTTAGAATCCACCCCTGGCTGCTTCAGAACGGCTTCCATAGAGCATGTCCGATAATGTCCTTAAAACAACCTTAAACGTTCTTTTTTTTAAATATGCTACTCACTGGGTCGTCAGCGCTGTTCAATGACGTTCGCTTCACTCTGTGTACTCCGACGTCGAGAATCAAGAATCCACCTTTCGTATTCCATTTTCAGAGTTTTTTAAAGTGTTTAACAGAGACGTTAGCACCTCGACGTCGGAGTACACAGAGTGAAGCGAAAAGACTACAACTGTGTAAACAGGCCCCATTTCCGTTTCCGGTGGCAGGGGAATATTGAATATTCCAACAGAACTCAATGGGATTTACAAAATGCTAAATAAAACACTACAGGAAAGTTTTTTCTTCACGAAACTTTTTTTGGAACGTCATTGAACAGCGCTGACGACCCAGTGAGTAGCATATTTAAAAAAAAAGAACGTTTAAGGTTGTTTTAAGGACATTATCGGACATGCTCTATGCAAGCCATTCTAAAGCAGCCAGGGGTGGATTCTAAATGAGCCAAAAAGCAGAGACAGGACCAATTGTCAAAATTTTGGTGTCGATCATTCGATTTCATCCTGGACACTACAGAAAATGGGCTAAAAGTGTTAAAAACCGAACTTCTCCTTTAAGAGTCTGTAGAGTTCGGCTCTTAAAAACCTACAACAAATCAATAGAGTCGATTCCTTCCCGCTATCATCTCAACCCCCATCGCTGTGCAGGGGACCAAAACATCCTGCCTGGTTAGCCAGGCCAACAACGACCCTAATGACTCCCTTTTCAGAGACATAGGCCAGTATCGGGTTTGGCAGGCCAACAACAAACTCAACGACTTCCCATTACTAATGGGAGTACCTGTTCTTTTGGCTCAGTTTGCATGTTTTATAAGCCATAACAAGGCTTTGTTGGGCTACTGTATAAAGCTTGGAACGCAACGTTAATCCAGGCATTTGGAATTGAAAAAAAGCTTCCTGGATGGGGAGCGAAACATCTTGAAACTTGGAAAACAAAGTCCAGTGGGTTTCTTTTTTTTTTTTTTACTTATTTGGAAAGTCTGTAGAGTTTTCCGTTACTGCAGTTACTGCTGGAGTCTTTAGGGGTTCATCTCAACCAGCTTTGCTAATTCAAAAGCTTTTTTGTTCATTCCTTCTTGCTGAAAAAAGTCTTGCAAAGATTTTTTTTTTTTGTCTTGGTTCTCGGTTTTACTAGATCATTTACTCCTGCAGCCCTTACGCTAAGAAAAATTTAAAACAGCTGCATGGGTTTAGGTGTTTACTTTGAATGGCCCTTTCTAACGCTAAAACATGCACTGATTAAAAAAACAACTCGTTTTTATAATAACGTAAACATGCAATCAGTTCTGGATAACCCAATATTTCCTGACTTTCTTTTTCATAATTACATTTTTACCATAATTTCCTCTGATCTTTAACATATCAGCCTCCGGTATACACACAGTCTGCATCAGACATGATTAGTATGCTAGGTATGCAGCCAAGCCAAACCTTTTTCTGAAACTCATCAGTCTTCATGTTGTTTATGCTCCCATGTTCTTAAAGTCTGAATCATACAGAAAGATTTTAAAATGTTCTTTTTTGACCCTTTATACGACACTCAGTGAAATACTTTGAAAATATAAATTTCAAGCCAACAGTGTTGTTGGAATCCAGGACAAGACTTTATAACCTTTTTAACAATAAAAAAAAATGGATATTTTGATGGTAAAAATAAACGTCAATGTAATAACAGTAAACGCCAACTTGCCTTAACATAGTGAGAAAAAAAACAAAAGTGCTTCTATAAGAAATTCATGAAAAACACCCTTGAGAGTGAAAGAAAAACGAAAAGATATTTTTTTTTCGTACAAAATAACCTTAGAGGCATTAATGCTGATAATGGCACTTACATTTTTTATTACATTATTGTTTACTAGGCTTATTATATGTTTGACTTTACTTTTTAACTTTATGCTTTTAACTTTTTTTTTCTTGACTTGTTAACTTTTTTTTCAGCTTAGTTTACAGTATGTAATATATCATTCCAGGGCTCATCTAACTGGTCAAATGCCAAAATAGGATGTACAGACATGTAGCAGTATCTTTGCTGAATGGCTGGATTGGGGGGGTTCCATTTGTACGGGGTATGCAAGTGATCAAAAACGGTAACTTGTCCTATAAAGGGTTCAATAGACCCCAAAGATGACTTAAATATAGTAGATAGAACATTTTCACTCCTACAGTGTGTGCACAACGCACCACACACGAAAAAGGTTTTAATCAGACATGTTCAGTTGTAACACCAGAAATCTCCCAAAAACTCTTCAGATCTAATGAATTCGTTGAGCAATGGACAGAAAAGGTGTTGGTAATAGAAGTGAGGGGCAGGGGCACTGCTTGCTTACTGGTGAGTTGTTGTTTTTTTCCCTGGGAAACACTTTCTCATTGGCTACACGTCACTGCGTCCTTCTGTGTACTTGGGGAAACAACACACTCTGATGTATCAGGACAAAACAATCCATCATGTTGGATTTCTCCAAATTACACTGCGAGCCGTCCTGGTGTCCTTTTAATTAGAGCAGATAACTTAACACACAGAGCAGGATTATTTCATAAGGTTATCCTTAAAACATCCACATAATCTGTGCCTTTCAGAATTAGATCAATAAAATCGGCATCATTATCTTGCCATGTGAAGTCAGCGTCAAAAACCTCAGTTCACAGAACATCTGGATGTAGAATATTACTTGATTCTGTGCATTTTATTTCCATCACACAGAGTATGACCAGAATACAGAAAGTGGCCATTGGATGAAAAAAAAAAATCCCCCTGCAGCAGCGAAATAAATATACATTTATGTTACTTTTCTGTGTAACCAGGACTTACAATGACTTAAGATATCAGTGAACTGATAACAAAGTTCAGAATGACCCAGTGCAAAAACGAATCTAAAAATAAGTAAACATTTCTTAAAACTAGGTGTTTGTTTGTATTACTTCAACAGATAAAGGGATGATCTGCCAATTGGATTAGTATATTTGCTTTAGAATAGAAAATAATTATATATTATGGACTTGAAATAAGATAAAAAGTTGTTTTTTTTCTAATTTTAAATGGAAATAACTGTTCCATTGGGGAGTATCTGTCTGCTTAAATCAAGGGAAAACACACATATTTTTAAGACAAATTAGCCTACTTAGATTTTATTTTTTGGTACAGTGAAATAAGTAGTAAATTACAGTAGCATTACATCTATATTCCGGACAGACCTCTGACTTTTCTCTTTGGATCATCCCTTCTGGTACTATTAAAGAGAAGTAAGACTCATAGTAAATGTAAAAAATAAATAAATAAATAGATATGTTACCTAAATTTTGTGTGTAAACTAAACCTGTATTTCTACATATTTTAATAAATTTACAAGATAAATCAAGGGGCCGTTTAATTAATTTAGTTTTCTTGTTATAACAAGTCCTGCAGCCTGTACCGACAGGAGCTCGGTTTAGAGTGTCGGCTGCATGAGAACTGCCTTTCCCTGCGTGAATGCTCTCATATATGAAGGTGAAGAGGTTTTTCATAAATTATCACTTTTATCAGGGTTCACCTGGCGACGTGTTGAAAGACCCCAGAGTGCAGTGCTGGATCGAAAACTATCGCAACCTGCTGGACGCATGGAGGTTCTGGCACAAACGGGCTGAATTCGACATCCTCAGAGGCAAGCTGGACCCCAGCTCCAAACCACTAGCTCAGGTAACGCTGCTCATTACCTGGCCTGTATTTCACACCATGTTACCATTACAGTTGTTTTATCTGCTGCTCATCATTTGATCTCATCCAAATAAAAAAAAAAGTCCAGGCAGCTGCTGAGCCTGCAGTCGTTGGGTTTTACCTTCGCTGCGGCCAGGTTCTTATCAGCCCAGTGCTGTGTTTGTTCTTGGCAGGTGTTTGTGAGCTGTAACTTCTGTGGAAAGTCCATCTCCTACAGCTGCTCGGCAATGCCTCATCAGGGTCGAGGGTTCAGCCAGTACGGGGTCAGCGGCTCCCCCACTAAATCTAAAGTCACCAGCTGTCCTGGCTGCCGGAAACCGCTGCCACGCTGCGCCCTCTGCCTCATGAATATGGGCACACCAGTTACCAACTGCTCAGGTACAGAGGATTAGTGAAAGACATGCAATTACTGCCGATAAATAAATAATTAACATCGACCAGCATTTAAAACCTGTTTTCACCTGAACATTTGTTGCTGTGATATCAGTTCTACCAGCTCTGAGAGTTGGATTTCTGAGGATGAATGTTTTTTTTTTTTGCAGGAACAGGAAAGTCTGATGAGAAAATGGACTTAACAAGGGAGAACAAACTCGCCCAGTTTAACAACTGGTTCACCTGGTGTCACAACTGTCGACATGGCGGCCATGCAGGTCACATGCTGAGCTGGTTCAGGTAGGGGAGATTTTTCTAATCAGTTCGATCTAATGGTTTGTATCACATACTGACCTCTTCTCTCTAAGCTGTAGTGCACATTAGAGATGTACTGTGAACGCAGCTGAGCTCTGCTGTTTTTCCCCGTTTTTTTCCTTTCTTTATTAATCCTGTTCTGTGACTAGTTGGTTGGAAACTCAGAAATACAGTTTTATCACCACACCTAAGCTCTAGGTCATGTGGAAACATGTCAGTTTGGTTCATTCAGCCACTCAGAGAGAAGAAAATTAGTTTTTAAAAACACAGTCTAAACTTTATTTACAGTCTTTCAAGAAAATACTAAATTAAATCAGTATTGGTGGTCAAGGCTTTAGGGAAACTAAACTTTAGAAATAAACTTTAAAAGTTTGATCTGAGCATCTGTCACTTTTCCTGACATTTCACCAAATGTAATGGAAAATATTTTTTCCAATTTATTTATTGATCGCTTGTATGTTTATAGAACATTAGTTTAGTTTTATTAAACCATTCATACAAATAGAAAGAAATAAAGTAACAGTTATTCTGAGTCTCTTATGTTAAACTAATTTTATTCTGTTTTGCATCTTTTTTTCTCTTTTCTCTTTTTCTTTCTTTTTTTTCCACAAGCCTTTAATTTGAGATCAAACTAAATGAGTTTTCAGGTTTTAGGTTCTATGAGGTTACAGTTTGTACTTTGACTAGGCCATTTATCTGCCCTTCTAAACAAGGCCACATCCTCATGCATGTGCTACCATGTTTTACTGTTGCCAGGAGGTGTCTTTGCTGTGATGTTTTTAGGGTTTTCTCCTAATTTGGTCCTTGACATTACGGCTAAAGATCTCTTTTTTAAATTTGTCTTTGATGTCCAGGAGTCTTGTTGGCAACTTTCCTCATTTAACTCATGCTGCCATTTCCTTGTTTGGTTCTTCCAGCAACTCCTCTAACAAGCCATCCTTGTTCAGTTTTTTTTTCCTAATTTCCAGCCTTAAATTCTAAGTAAGATCCAATATATATTTTTTCCATGTTTACTGATCGTTGCCCAATCTAAATTTTGACTTCAAATGAAGTGGAAATAGTCTTATAATCCCTCCCAGAATTATGCACAGCAGCAGCTGCTTTGCTGAAGTCACCGCTGATGTCTTCCCATCCTGGCATGGTGTCGATTAACACCTGCAGGCCTCGGAGCTTCAGAGATTTAAACAAGTTATGAACAAAATCATTTTCCTATTCTGTCCTGATGCTTCAAACTCTCAAATTCAAAAAACATGAAGTTTCTTTTTTGCCATTGAAATGTATAATCTGAAGCTGGTGAATCTTTGGATATCTAGTACCCAGTTTATTTCTTTTTTTTGTGTGTGTTTTTTTTTTTTTTTTTAAGTTCAAGAATTACGTTGTTTCTTTAGCTTGCTTAAAACAGTCTGTATGTTTTACAGAGACCACACAGAGTGCCCGGTGTCAGCCTGTGCATGTAAATGCATGCAGCTGGACACCACAGGAAACCTTGTGCCTGCGGACAGCAGCTAAACGGGACATGCGTGTTGGAAACTGAAGCCTAACACAAACCGGGAGCCAACTGGTGCAGGCTAACTGCTACGACTCCACACCAGCTACTGGGCAGCTTCAACAACGTCCCTCTCCGAAGTGGCTGCTTGGATAGAAAGATATACTGCTAAATAATAGTCTAGGGAATGTTATCTAATACCAGAGCTCTATATGAAGAAGGGAATCAAAGTGTGGCGTAATGATTTGACTAACTATGTTAAAGGCAGAAAGGGAGCGGAAACTAATTTACTGCTCTACTAATAAGAATCACTCTCAGGAGAAGTTGAAGAGGACATAATGTTATTAGCCTCAACCAGATTAACCTGAATCAGGATGCAGTTTTATTTCCAGAGATCCAGTCAGATATCTGGTTTAGGAGATGTGATCAAATGTGCCATCATTTCTTAGGTTTGTTTTGTTGTGTTTCGGTCCATATTTAATGTGCGACGGGCAAAATCTTCACATACCTCAATAAAGTTTTATTCAGGGTTCGATGACAATGATAACAACCTCCTACTCTCCTCATCTGGCTTTGTGAAGGAGGGGCATCCAGTCTGAAAGGTTTGCCTTAGAGGGCGGGTTGGGTGGGGGGGGGGGGGGGGGGGGGGGGGGGATTAGAGGAGCTGCGAAGGGACAGAGAGGAGGAAGAGGAGGGTGCGCCTTCATTCACCAGCTTACTGCAGGCCTGTGGCCTATGAAAGAAGCTCGCCAGAAAACGGCAGCTGCTCGGCACCCTGACAAGACCCTCCAGATTGTTTCCCTCATAAAGAACCTCAGCTGCCGGAACACTATTGACTCAAAAAAGAAAACTAGAGAACAGACACCCTGAGCCCTGTACAGCTACTCCCCTCCCTCCTACAACCTCCAGACCAACACACTGCCCTTTCTTTCTTTCTGTACTCAGATGCCCAAATTGCACCCAAAATCTATGCATACCACACATGAATCCAAGGATGGGTGCCATCTGTGGGGTAGCTGTCGTCTGCAAACCACAATGGAAATGGTATTTATGTCTTTCTTTGCCACCTTCTCTGCACAGTCTCTAACCCAGGGACTTATTGTAAATAGGGCAGCCATCCCAATAGCTGGCTAACTCACTTAGTCATGGAGTGTTGAGGAGGAGTTGGGAGGGGGCAGAGCAGCTACTGTAGGCAGCCTTTTCAAAGGATTTTCATCTTGGAACGGGGCAGACAAATTGGTGAGCCATGTAGCGTCCTGGAAAACACAGTGGCTGGAATTTCTTTTTTTCTTTTTGACAGTTTCTTCTGTTCTGCTTTTTAAATAAACCTCTGCTGACAAATTGAAGTATTGTTGGATGTATATGTTTTCCTTGTTTCTATGGTTTATTTTAAAGTAGATTTCATAGACACAGATGGTGTGGGTTTGTTTTTCTGCCCTGCACTTACAGATGCTTGGCCAAGTCTAGTATGGAGACTTTATAGAACTTAAGCTTCCACTCCACTTCAGGAGATAAGCAGGGACTTCACTCCAAGAAATTAACATAAGTCCTTAGTTGAAAAAGAGGCTATTACCTTAACTGTCCAACTAAAAGCTGACCTTACAATCTGACACAAACCGTCAATTACAGTACTTTGCAAAAGCTTTAAACCAGCTCTTGCTTCTTTGTTTTAAGATCCCACAGATAATCTTTCAAACATTTTCTGTTCCATTGTACCTGAAAGAACAAAATATCTGCATGAAATACAAAAAAAAAAAAAAAAAATAGAGCATGAGGTCAAAGGATAAAGCTATCAGGCCTAAAAGTGATCTAAATCATCTTGCAAATGTTTTTACAAAGCAAACACCAGTTTATAGCTATTTTATTGAGATCCTATGTAGCCAACCAATCCAAAGAGTGTATTTGTAAAGTGAAGGGGAGATTAATCACGAATGTAAAAATCTAGAAAACAAAAGATTAAAGTTGCATTATCAGTAAAAGTCTAACAAAGTAATATATTTATTTATCTTTGGTGTTTTTCCACATAGTTACAAAATGCTTTACATCGCATAAAAAAGATCAAGCATAAAACGCATAAAACATAAATAGATATTAAAAGCATACAATGCTCATCAGTTAAAAAACAGCCTTTAGTAATTAATCATTCAAAGAACATATGGAGGAGGCTCGTCTGATAATAGGCAGCAGAGCATTTTATGAAAGTGGAGCCATGATCCTAAAAGCTTGATGGGCCTCTGCAGTCTTGCTCTGGGCACAGAAAGTAGCCCAGTGAGATGATCTAAGAGGTCATGGGGAAGTAAGCGACAAGAGGATGATAACCTGTTTATTGATTTTCAAAAAACTATTAAAATCCACCCTGAACATCACAGGTAACCACTGCAAAGAAACAAGAATTGGAAAAAATGTCATTTTTTATCTTGCCTTAGATAATAGAAAATCCCTGAAAGTTTGGCTCATTTCACATGAACAATGTGAAATTGAAGGATGATGCATTAGAGTAAAGTGCAGTGTATGTTTGTCTCTTTAAGTATGTTGGCAGGTTCTTATGGAATATTTGTGTGGAGCTCTCAGAGGTTGAGGGAGAAACTCTGCCCTGCCAACGGAAAGCAGCCATTGCCCGACTTTCTAACCACACTGGTTGGCTAAACATGTTAAGGCATAAAAGGAATTTGACTCAAGTTTCCAGAAGCTCTGAGCTCTTTTATGCAAAAAGAGGGGCAGAGACAAAACACAGATGAAAGCTGGATAAACAAAGGTTTGCCATAAAGATCCGTGGACTTGACTTTGTGTAGTTATGTTAGGGTGTGTAAACACAGCTGTGATCACTAAAATTTATTACAAATATATATATTGTGTTTAAGCAATTCACACAAGCCATAACTTAACTTTTTCAGATACATATTGTAAAGATCTGTTCCCAAAGTTGGGTTTATTGTGTTTACCATAAAATGTGTTAATGTACTTTTGCCTGGTATGGGGGGCCTAAGCACTGGCAGCTGTTGAATTACTTCAAAATAAGAGATCCTGAATAGTTAGGTTTTAGATTTTTTGATAAACTGTATTCAATCTGATACAGACCTAAACGCGTGAGGCTAAAATTTATAAAGAATATTTAGATTTTAACATCATTAAACGTATTTTTCTTAAAATGAAAACCACGGAAAAAAAGTTTAACATGTTGCAATTCTGATTGGTTGAAAGTGCTCGGTATACACCGGTGCAGCCTATCACAGACGTTACTGTACATTATGTTTGACCAATCAGAAACCCAGGCACTGGGAACCAAACCCTGCCCACAGAGATCAGCCAGTAGTCGAGCCGAAAAACTGTCAATCGAGTGAACAGGATGGGGAAGGTCTGAGCGCAGCAAAAACACGTAAAGATGTAACGAGAAGTTGTAAAAACAACTCTAAAAGTTATCCATGCCATGTTTGGAGTTTACCACGGCATGTGTTAATAACCCAGAGGTAAGTCTGCCTCAAAATAAAACATGTTGAATTGTGTTTTACCCATTGATACAGGAGTTAAGAGGTTTTAAAGGAAGCTAACGTTTTTTTTGCTAGCAGGCTGATGTTTATCTGAACGCTCCAACTTTTTCGTCCTTTTCTAGAAAAGCAGCAGTTTGGGGCAGTGTGTATTTTTCCCTGCGATAAGAGTAACTAGACATCGTCGGAAGATGTCAGCTCCCAGTAACTCCCTTCAGCAGCCGAGGGTGAGGCGCAGCAATGCAGGCTCTCCGGGCTCGTTCAGCCAGAGCAGCAGCAGCAGCCGCCTCCATCCCATCCGCGCAACCGTGCCCTACCAGCTCCTGCGTGGGGGTCCGAGCAGTCCCACACGGCCGCAAACCCTGCACGGAGGGGCAACGGCCAGCCGGGTCTCAAGCCCCCCATCCAGTCCTCCGCTCAGTTCAGGAAGTACCAACGCAAAGCAAATAATATCCCCTGAAAATAAGGAGGCTTCATGTCCCCCAGACTCTCCAGTTTCCAAAGGTAAAAAACAACATTTGAATACTTGCATAAACATGGAGGATCACATCACGTGTGGTCCCCTGGAGCTCATTACTATAGCTTCTGTTGTTGCTGTTTAGTAAAATAAACTTTGTGGTAAGTTTATATTAAAGGGTGTAAAACGAGAATTTGTTTTAAAAGTTTGTGAGCTGTAACCAAGGCTGGATTCAGAAGCATGTGGGCCCCTGGGTAGGAGCCAGCTTTGGAGGCCTCCTCACACACATTTCCTTTAGGCATGCAGATTACACCAGATTGTTAGTTAGGTTCACATTAGTTTATGGCACTGGTTGTCCTGCAGTGTTTTGTCAACTTTGTTCTACTGATATTGGGGGTATGGATGTTAAATGAAATTAATGAAATTCACCCAGCATTTGGTTGACAGCCTCATGGATGGATTGATATAGTTATGAAGAATAAAAAACTGATATAATTTTTTTTAAGGGTTAGTAACAATAGTGAATAAACTCAATAGAAAAAAAGTAGTTGAAATGATATCAATCATAATATTAATTGAGCAGCATCAAAATGTAATAGGTAATAAAACTAACAAGACGCAAATTAGTTCACCTGTCTACAATTCCATCCATCCATCCATCCATAAAAATATAATATCCATACAAATGTTGCATTTGTAACAACTTTCTGATATTGATATAGCTAAGAAAAACAATCTGATTATGATATTTTGTATTTATTGTGTTCAGTAAGAGATTACAAAACAAATACAGAAGTCCGTTTGTTCGTAAGTAAGCCAGTCGTTGACGTTTTTTGGTGTAAAACTTTTAAGTTGGGATATCTGTGCTAATTTTAAGAACACTTTTTTTATTTTTATTCTTTCCGTTGTTTGACTAAAACAAAGTAAGATCATTGGTCAGGTCATTAACTTTGCAGTCTCAATACCAGATTTTGACATGATATTATAAACACAGTTTTTTGTTTGAGTTTGTGACAATATATCCATGTAAACCTCGTCAGCTACTTATTTATTTTTATTTTTTTTTATTTTGACAAAAGCTATACAATTCAGTAAATCGAAGTTAGGGCTAGACTGTATATGGTCATTTGGAAACTCAAGGAATATCAATCATTGAATGTCATTCCTCAAATGCCATGTGTTCGCCTTTTGCACCAAGTATTAGATTTGGCCCTTTTGTCCAGACATTCATCGTCCTCTGCGTCCAAACCTGATAAATATTTCTAAGAGTGAGATGCATAAGATCACAGAGAGTGGTGAGCATCCTTTATTTAATTCATAACACTGTTATTGTGGTTTTCATTCAGCCCTAACCTGTTTGTAATGAAGCTTTGCATATTTTATGCAGACTACAGTCTAAGGGCATCATGACAGGAGAGCCCGCTAACACTGTTGCCTTGCAGCAGAAGAGCCATGAGTGAAATCCTGGCTGGAGCCTTTTGGGTATGGAGTTCTTCAGCTCTGCCCAAGCATTCTTAGGTCCTCTCTGGGTACCCTGGCTTCCTCCCACAGTACAAAATCATACAGGTTTCATTAACAAGCCACTCCAAATTCCCTAAAGGAGCAAGTGTGTGCATGCAGGGCTTTCTGTCTTCATGATACCCTACCCTACCATGCAAAATTTAATCTATGATAGGCTGGTCCTTCCAAGGATATACTTTGCCTTTTTCGACTGGGGTGAATACTGGATTTGGAGAACAGCTCTGCAATAATGAGGGAAATCTGCTGCTATATGCTTTCCACTGCAATATGGCAACCTAATGAAGGCCCCCTCTGTGCATACAGCTTTAAATATTAAGCACATACACAACAGATGATGCACCATGATGTCCTGCATATTTTACATTGTGCAGAAGGATCCCTCTAAGTTTGTTTAATGTAAGGTTTTCTTCTCTGACTACTTTTGATGCCTGTTATTTGGTAGAACTGTTCTCCTAGAGTCCAGAAAAACACAGCTCTGTTATTGTCTGGAATGTAGTTTTCTGCATGAAGCACAAGCATAGCTGCAGACTGTCTGGTAACTATTTTAAAACACGTCTCAATATTGAAGTGTGTAAATAAAACTGTCTGGAGACTCAGACTCCACTTTTGTTAACATCAGTGGGTTTTTCTGGATCAGCAGTCAGATGAGTCCCACTTCCATTAGGCACATAATATAGCTTCTACACTCTTACCTTTAACTGAAATGGCTCTGCTCTTTTCCCAGTGCAGCGTTGTGGTCATTGCGATGTTATAACTGTGGAATTTTATGTTTTTGAAGTGCCTCACATTCCTTGGTGCTTTGAACGGGATGACCTCCAGCCTTGATGACCAGCCTACCATGAAGGGCAGGAAGCAAAGTCTCTTCAATAACAACTCTGAAGTCACTTTTAGCAGGCAGGATGAATATTATCCGTGTTTGGTTAGCTCCTGGTGTTGCTGTCCTTCTTCAGCTGCATGCCCCACATAATTCTTCCAAAGGAGATGACCTCAAACCCAAACTAGTATTCCATGTCAGCTTTAATGAAGAACCAGGACTTCATTTTTGTATATGACCTTAAAAATCCAAACAACACAAAAGGTATTGACAATTAGCACAGATTTGAGTGCTATTTCTACTAAGACACTCCGTTACTTTGCAGAGCATACAAAAGTTCTTTGCATAATTTCGTTATGATTACTGTACTTTGGACTCTGCATAACGTTAGTCATGGTGATGGGATGCATTGTGTCTATAGGATTAAAGCATTACTTCTTTCTAAATGCATCAAAAGTGTATATTACATGCCCTGACCTTTAAGCTTCAGGATGACATCATTTCACTACATTATTGTTGCTTCTAGTCTATAAGCTAAGTGTGCTATGACTGTTTAATCTGCAGAGAAGGACCAAACTTGGATCTCAATTTCATGTTATGTTATGAAAATGAGTTTTTGCTTTCATTCTTATAACATTTCAACTTGCATTTAAGGGATTTTCACTCCACAGACCAGGTTTTGTAAAAGGTTCATTTGTTACTATTAATCTTTCCTTCACACTAGCAACAGTGTTGCTAGTGTTATCTAGGTTGGGATTAATATCAGAAATATTAATGTTCAAACTTTTAGGCCTTGTTGTAAAGGGGACTGCTATAAATGCTTAACAGTATAATGTGGATTTCATAAGTTTAGTCCTTAGTTGTTAAATATCTCTTAGAGTTAGGTAAAACCTTTTGTGGCCATATTGCAAAACGTTCTAGTAAAAAAGTTAACCGTTTTTCAGTGCTAAAGCAGTGTTTTGCTCATGCCCTGTGTATTTAGGTTCATTTATCCAAAGACAACTTAGTATATCTGTTATTGAGCACAATGTGCCATCTTTTAGTTGAGTCAGCAGCACCAAATGATAAAAAAGATGAGTCTGTTTAATCAGAAAGTTCTCAAAAGATGCCTGGATGTGAAAGTTTTGTGATATACTTGTCCAATATTTAGCTGATAACAGGGAAAAAAGTACTGGCACCTTTCTATGCTGCTTTTTATTAACGTTTGAAGTTGGAAAGTTGCTCCAGAAATAACATATAACCCTGACTGAGGTGTGTTATTATTGCAGGTTTAAAAGCAAGTCATATCTGCTTATTTTGAAATAACTGAACAACTATTGGCAAACGTACATTTTCACTTAAGAGGTAATGTAGAACAGTCAGTTGAAGTACCTGAATTGATTGCATCATTAAAAATGTCCGTCACACGCACATGCAAGACAGCCATCCTTGTTTAAAAAAAAACAAGAGTGGCACTACTGTGTTTAAAATGTTTTAATAGATGGCGCTCTTAAACTTAAAGATAATAACCATAACCATACACTTGGTTTGATCACACATTTTCCCCTGACTAAAACTTTAAGCAACTAATCTTTTTGTCATTAAGTTTACTAAATGAACTTAATCACAAAAAAAAATCATCAAAATGAGAAATAAACAGTTTTCTTCTGTGACCTTCTGCATCTTTTTCAGATCTAGATCCTTTTGCTGCTGTGTACCCTTATTTTGTAGCTATGCCTCATCCCTTTCATCTCCCTGTACTTTCATTTCGTACCTCTAAACAAAACACGTTGTACCCGTGTACTTTAAGTAAGAGTCAGCATCTTGCAGCTCCAGGCTCTTCACAGTTTTTCTCTGTATTCTGTAAAAATTAATAGAAAGATGCTAATTTGAGAAGTTTTTCTACATCTTTTATTGCAGTATCTGCTAAATAATTGCAAAACAGTATAACTCTGAAGCTCTAGGGAGGATTGATTTGTGAATTCTTGAATTTTTATTTCCATAAATATTGCCCTTTAAATGATAGTTCAGCCATATAGTCCTTTGTTTGGGGCAGTTAATGGTGACAAGCCCTATTTATGACTTAAATATAAACCCAGATCTCACTAAAACCTTTTATAAGTAGAAAACAGAAGTGTACTTTTAATTAATCCAATTGCATGATATGCTCTACTTGTTGGGAGATTTGATGCCTGGTTTCCTATTGGCACGATTTTGTACATGGAACTATTGGGTAGAAAATGACCAAAACTGCAAATTTCTAGATGACCAGCAATAAGTGATTATGACATAGTTCTGTTGTCTTCATGTAGCCGAATGCTTCAGTATGATGGGATTTGGAAATGTTAGCATTTACATCATTAATGAGAAGCAGTGGAAAATAAGAATCAAATTTTGAAAATGCCAGGAACCAAGTTACTGACCCCAGTTATAGCCTCAGTTCAAATGCTGAACTTGCAGTGAGTTTGGTTTTGTGAACGAGCTCAAATCTGGGAATTTTGTTTTCATATGGTGTCAGGATAAAGCCTTGTGAAAACCCACAGGAAAGTGCTGACCGCGTGTTTGTTTTAATATTTGCTTCTGCCTTGCAGATCATAAAACCGAACAGACCTAAGAAGCGTTCTCTATTTTCCTGCCTCCTGAATGGGTCTGAAGGGAAATCCTACATTTAAAATGAAGCTAAAAACTTTTCCTTTAGTGTCACAATCTCACCAATGAAATCGGCAGATGGTTTCTTTGATGTTTAAAGTTCTTTTTCACTGCTTCATTTTTTTCCCTCATGAGGAGATGATTGCCGTGTGGTGAATGGGAACGGGGGGTTGGTGGGGAGTGGAAAATAACCTCATTCCCAGTTCAGGGAGCACCGCGTTGGCTTATATCAATATTGATGGAAATTTAGCCTGCTTCCCTTGTCTGCAATGCTTCAGGGAATTTTACTGTAGCCCAGTAAGCTTACTTAGGCAATACCTTTGGGTGGGAAGGCCTGTGTGTTTTATGAACAAAGAACAACAATGACTGGCTGTGCAGCTCCACGAGGGAAGGGGTGCCTCATGTGGATGGTTCAGCCTGCGTGTCCTTTGTGTATGTGTGAAGGGCCTTTGACTTAGCTGTTCTGGCAAGAAATGAAGTAAATAAGCATATCTCCCGCCTGTCCTTCAGCTTTTGACGAAGTTGAACTATGAAGAAGTTGAACTAATTACACACCTGAATGTTTTCATTCAGGCTAATAAACACTTTTTTGCTGCAGGCTCAGTGCTTCTTCGTTTATTTTGGATTTGCATTTTTCATTGTGTTGTGTTTGTTCTTACATTGCATGCCTCTGCAGGAATGTTATGTGGATGCAGGCAGTATTGATGTGCATTGCAGTGTGGTGGCTTATGAGCTCTTATGTGGGTGGTGTATGCTTAGCTGCTCTAGGTCACAGCAGATTGCTCCCATAACATTAGATACTCCTGCTCAGCCCAGCATTTGTCTCTGCTTTCTTACTCTTTTTCTCTCTCACTCATGTGGTTCAACAACATCTCTATAGTTTTAGAACAAGAAAGGATCAAGATTAAAACCTCCTGCAGAAACTTGCTTAATTGAAATAGTTTGAGCTCTGGGGTCTTGTTTCTTTTTTTGATTATCTTGGAAATCAAGAATGTTGTTTAGAAATTGGTTTTGTTTAACTTTTTAATGAGTTGTTGTGGAGTTCTAACATAAATGCAACAGTTTGGTTGCAAATGTATAGACACAATGATGGAAATTTAGACATGTGAAGAAGAGAGAAAAACAATTAACAGCAAATGTTTCTTTTCTAATCCACAGCAGAAAGATCCAAACTTCAAGTGCGGAGTTCTAGTGCCATACGAAGAGCGTCTTCCTTGGACGCCATCACAGGACCTTACCTCACTGGCCAGTGGCCTCGGGACTCTCACACACCCTACCCTTCCTGTATGAAAGACAAAGCCACCCAGGTGAATACCATTCCAGTAGAACACAGCAGAACAAGATGTTTACATGAACTGTATGGAAAATCAGAATGCTTTTTATTTCACTGTATGTCTCTTTGTGATTTCATAATAAACCTTTAACCTCAGTTAGCTAAAATTGTATAGATTTGGTATCGTCCATGATTGGGAGAGAGGTGGTTTTATTCTGCTTTTCTACAAAGGCAGACATTTACAGGCATCATGTTAGTATTTTAACCTTTAAACTTTATGGTTTTGGTCAAAATTCAAAGGCATATTTTACAAGCTTCTGTGCCCGAGCTTTGATTTCCTAGCTGATACCTTAATATCTCACTTTTCCAAACCCACATAATGCTCTTTTAACTTGATATGTGCACCAGTCCTTCCTGAAGCAAAACATCTGCACAACATGATACCCTCACTCTTTTACATTACAGTGAAAATGGTTTACTCAGGTTAACAATCTTCTCCTAATTTCCTCCAAACGTTTAAATAATCACTCTGGTTGTTCGTCTCTGATGGCATTAGCAAACTTTAAATTTACCTTTTCTTTTTGCTTTTGAAGTGTCTTTTCAGTCCATATTGCTACAGGTCTTGTTTTATCCTCAGCGGTCTTTCCATCACCCATTTTTGTGTAAGGCCCCCTCACGCTGTTAGCTGAAAAAAAAAGGCACTGTAATCAGAAAGTTGCGGTGTGATGGCCTGTCTGTTGAAGGACATCACAGCGCTATGAAAACGTCTTATATTGATGGTACAGTTGCTCTTGTTTAGGTGTGCTTATCAGCTGCCATTGACATAAGGGGCAGCCCTCCCCTGCCCCGCCCCGCCAACGAGACCGCCTGCCTGCCCCTGCTTCATAATCTGCTCACACTTAGTCAGCTCCTCTAGCATGCAGACGAACACATTTGCTGTAACCTGCAGACCTTCGAAGACCGGGTTTGGATGGATGGGGAGGTTATAAAGGATTCCCACACGGCTGGTTTGTCAAACCTAAACAGCCAATGGAGAGATATTCATGTTGTAGCCCATAAAACGCGGCATAATTTCTGCGCCGATGTGTAGCCAGGTGATCTGGCCTCTACTATTATGAAGAAAATGGAAAGTATACAAAGAAACTGGAGTGGGCTAATTAGCAAGGATGCTAAAAGGAAACAAGAATGAGATCAGTGAAGCAGAGAAGGAGAATAAAGAATTATAATTTAAAAAAAGTCAGAATCCTGACTGTAGTTAAGGACATTTTGCTTCCAGCTGAGAGCATCTTTATCAGGTCTTTTGATTATTGGATAGATGCCCAGATCAACTGGATGCTGCTCTTTTTACATATAGCAATTTGAGTGAATGATGCTGCCTTTAAAAGATTTGGAAAATAGTTTCCTTACTTGTCAAAATGCTTCTCTTCAAAAAAATGAAGGGAATCAAAAGCTTAAAGATTTATTCAGGGGAATATGTGTGATCAATCCAAGTGTATGGTTATGGCTCTTATTTTAAAGTATATGAATTAATCAAAGATAGTTTTTATGTCAAGTATCTTCCCACTTTACAACTAGATCATCTTAAATTCTCCATTGCAACTCACTGTATCCATGCTTGGGTTTTACATTTCGCCTGATCACACTGTTGCTGGTGGGCAGCACTCTCATGATTTTCCAGTTTCAGTAAAAGGGCTTAATTTTTGAAGGGTCAGGGCTTGTTGCGGGCATGTGTTATGAAAGAATATTGAATATGTATGATTTAGAAGAGGGCAGCTCTCCCTATTTCTAACAGGAGCCTTTCAAGTGACTGAATGAAGACCGCCAAGCCTAATTTACATGGCTTCGTCCCTTTTACCCCTCATTTGCCTTGCATTTCTTTGTTTGTTCTGTGAGGAAGTGGCAGGGGGGAGCTAGTGAGATTTCATGAAGTGGCTATGTGCAAAGTAAACAAATGTAATTACAAGGTTCCTGTCTGGATCTGGAAAGTATGGAAAATCAGTTTGTCAGTTATCAAAGAGAGTATATAAATGCAGAGGAATATCTGGACACATGTATGCAGCTTTCTCATGGACTCCATGTGTTTTGACAGATGTTGATGTTGGCCTGTCCTGGTGAAAGGAGCCCAGTGTTACTTACCAGCTCCTAAAGATCAGACAGAATATAATGTGTAAAACCAGAGCTTAAAAAAGAGCCATGGAACACATGTTTTAGTGTTTTAAAAATCATGTTGTGAAAAAATGTGACTCAAATCACAGCTCCTAAACAATTTGGTGCTTGAACCCCCTTAAGGATAGTCATAGACCACTTCCTGTTTGCAAGTTCTGCTCCAGCCCAGCTCTTTTTAGAAGACAACAGCAGAAAGTGGCAGACAAAAGATCCCTGCTATCTTTTGTTTTGCATTGCGCAAGTTCAAGATGGGCTCTCCTTTGAGCTGTAATACAGCTCGGCATGGAGGTGAAGTTGTTTGCACCTGTCCCCCAGGCAAGGCGAGGAGAATTCCCACTGCTTACCACCTGGCCCTCGTGGCTGCCTGCCTTTTGTGTGGGAGTTGAGGAGCAGAGGGTCCATACATATGCTAATCACTCCTCCAGAATATGTCTGCAAGCCCTAGACCCTGCAGTTACAGAGCACAGGGAATCTGTATAAAGATTAAAGCTCGGACACACCAATTCACACACAAAAAAGCAGGCTGATCAAACAGTTTGTGTTGCCTCACAATCTACATTATTAGTTATAGGAGAGCACAATGCACAGATTGCCAGAGCTTATTGGTGTTCGCTTCCATGGAATAAGTTCAGCCCCATTCATATCACATCCGAATGAAGCCAAAGACTGCATCGGTGCAGATTAGTCTGAAGGTAAAGTTGAGCTATGATTGGTGTTTTATAGGTTACAGTAACACCGACATTAAGGGAAAGAATTTCATACTGTGAATGTGCATGAAATGTTAAACACAGGACAATATTACCCAGTGACTTCCGCTGGTTGGCTGGACTTTGACTGGACCATTGCAACTTTTAGCTGCTCTGCGAAACATCTCACGCTGTGTTTGGGATCAGTACCCTGCTGAAGACAAGCTTCAGTTGTTGTACATATACGGTCTTATTTGGGTATATGGGGAGTGTCGGCCTACTGGGTAAGAGCAGTGTGCTTGTGCTCTGAGAAGGTTGCAAGTACTCATTCCATCCCCACAGCCACACCCCACACTGCTCCCCATTAGCTGCACAATGGCAGCCCACTGCTCCCCAAGGGGATGGGTTAAATGCAGAGATAAATTTCTCCAATGTGAGATCAATAAAGTTTAATTATAATTATTATATTTGGCTATAGAATACAGTCGGTCCCGTGATGACCTCTACCCATCTCAGTCCGACCAGTTTAGGGACTGATGCAGCATTGAGGTTAAAGTCAAATCACCACAATTACCTTCCTGAGTCACCATGGTTAGGTCATCTATATGTCCATTTGGTTTTTAAATATGACCAACAGTGTTAGTTCTCTAATATAAATGTATGTTAGTGAACTTTTGGGTGAAACAGGACAGGGGGTTTGTGATAAGGCTTTAAATAACTGATAGGTTTCAAAATAATCAGCCCTCCTCCTCTGAGCTTCACAGTGAGTAATGGTTCTATGTGCTGATATGCTTTGTTGGACTGTTTTCTAAATGTGGTGTTGTACATTTGGATCAAACACTTTCACCATGGTTTTATTCATACAATACACTTCATTTCTCAAAAGGCTTGCAATATGTGCAGATTTCAGAGATTGCCAACCCAAGCAGAGCTCCATCATCTGCTTTAGAAAGAAGGAGGAAAGGCTTTTCCCACAATGATGTGAAAAGGTTTTGGTCTTCTTTGGTCTGATGGTTGTGTTCAACATAAAATTGCACCCATTGGATTGTTTCAAGAAAAAGACTACAGACCAAAAAGCAGTCAAAAGCCCTTCTTACATTTTCCCTCAAACACATTTTCCAAAATTTTTGGGGAAATATTCTCTGGATTGACGAGACAAAAGTTTTGGAAGTAGCTCCTATTTGTCGTCAGGGTGTCACTAGTCCCAGCAGAGACACACAGACGCCTCCTTCTCGTTTGGGGGAAGCCTGACACGTTCCAGAGCCAACCAAGAAACCAATCCAGATAGGTGTCCTGGGGCGCCCCCTGGACCTGCATAATCTCTTAAGAGAGGCATCAGGGGACCTCCGTAGCAGATGCCCAAGCCATCTTGGCTGACGAGGGCATCAGCTAAAAAATCCTAAATGGGAATATACTAGCATTTGTTTGTGTCCTGAAACTTGCTCTAGAATGTGTGCTCTAGTATTTAAAGAATTCAATGACTAAATGCACATCAGCAGGTTCCCATCTGAATGTCTCTAAAATAGAATAAAACATTGAACCCTTTCAAAAATGGATTCCTCATCACCTGGAGCAGGCTATTCAACCCAAAAACTCATCAATGTGGGGAAATTAAAATTATTCTTTATTGAAAAAAGACTGATTTTTATTAAACAGTTTATTAAACAGTTTATTAAACACTATATGGAGAGCTGTGCCTGTAAGATTGGGTTTGGTTTAATGCTTCAGATAATGAGTTGATTCATCGGAAATATGTTTTGAAATCCCCAATAGTTTATATGTATAATAAAATTCTTATGATTACATTTTTGAATATATTTGATTAATTTCAGGTCCAGTTGTTTTGTCTTGTTTAACCATAACTTGTACTAAATATTATTCGTTATCTAGAATTAGTATTAACTGAGATATCCGGTGTGGAATGTGTTCTGCTGGTCTGGCGCTGCCTCAATAAAAACTGAACACAGAAATGCCAAATTTCTGATAACTGTAGTTAACTACATATATTATTTGACAGTTACAGTGAATTTAAGGCATGCTCAAGTTATTAAGACAAACAAGTTACAAGCCAAGTCGAGACATCATGCTTTCCTCAACCTTAAAAAAAAAAATCCCACCAAATGATAGCAGCAGTGCTCTGCACGCATGTCTCGGTGTGCAATCTAAACAAAACAGCCCAAAT